TTGTTGTTTGTCAGCATCTAGAGAGACGTCTGTTGAGTTGTGACCACATCCAGCACGCGTCTTGCTCTGGCTGTAGCTCCTGTCGGAGTCACGCCGACTCCAGACTCCAGCCATGAGTGCCACGGCTGCCCGGTGGGGCCGGCTGCTGCTGCCTCCTCGTGCTCCCGGCACTTTCATTGGTCTCCTCTCCTCGCATTCAGTCTCACAGCTCACTCCACACTCCACGGCAGCTTCTCCCAGCCCTCGATCAGTCTCCCTCCTGCCTTGCACCAGTGGCGTCGCCATAGCCCTCCTAGCCAGCCGGTCTCTGTGTGAGACCCCTGGGTCTCTGTGGATCTATGCGTCTCTGTGCGAGTCTCTGTGCGAGTCTGGGTATTGATCCGAGTCTGTGGGTCTCTGAATCTCTGCAGCCCTTCCAACGCCACCGTCTGTGTCGCTTCTCATCGTTGTGCCCAAACCATCCTGACCCCCTTCCAGAATCCTCCACGCTCCTTTCCCAGGGAGCTTCCTTGCGAGAGGCGACGCCCCGGGGTGGCCCCCCGAGCGTTCGATCGGCTCCTCACGCGAGTCTCGTCCCACGCGAGCGAGCCCACTCGCGCATCTTGTTTTGTTCCACCGCACAACCGAGCGAGCCGGGCTGCGCCGGGGCCTGGGCGACCCGGCCACGGCTCGGGGAGGTCGCCGCCGTTGGTTTTTTGTTCCGCCGCGAAAGCCGAGCCGTGCCGCCGACGTCACGTGCGGTGAACGAGTCTGGGTCGCGACGTGGGACTGTGGTTGACCCCTGGCCCTGCTTGGCCCCAAGCTCGAAGCTAGATCCCGATGTATTATCACGAGGCGAGCGTATCGCGGTTTTGCTCTGACTCCGCTCGGCAAAATGGCCGGTGGTAAACCCTCCCGTACCGAGAGCGTGCCAGTGGACATGAGGGGTATTGCAGCCGAGTATCCGTGCCGCCGCGATGCCACTGCGATCGTGAGCTGCCCCTCCAGGGCGGCTCGGTTGGGCACCTCCGGGTGGGTGAGTGCGGTGGGGTTCTATGCCCCCCGTCCCAGTTCAGGGCGGCTCCTTGGGGCGACTGGGGAGGCGCCCGGGGTCGAGTGAAAGAGGCCGTGGCGCACAGCGCCGGTGATGTCGCCATCGCGTCCTTCCTTCTGCCAAATCGGACCTCGCCTCGGCTCCTCCGGGGCCTGCCCGGTCGCCCGTGACGCACCGCGCTGCAGCTGCCGCGCAGCCTCGGCGGCTGTCCCGATGCACGTGGCCTCGGAACGGCGGATTGCTATTGGCCAGAGGATGTTTGAATCGACCAGTGACGATGCCCACGTCACGTGTAACCCGTTTGACGGCGCAACTCTCGCGTCTCCCGTTCTCAAGTTCATATCCCGACACACCCCGCGGCACACCCCGTGTCACACCCCGTGTCACACCCCGCGTCACACCCCGTGTCACACCCCGCTACACACCACAGCCCGCCATACCCCACAGGGCTGGGGTGTTGGGGGGTGCGAGGGGGCGGTCGGGACGCGATTTGACGATGACGTCACACGGTGGTGGGTGTGAAGTATAATTATGGTGCTCACCCCAACACTCACCCCAACACTCACCCCAACACTCACCCTCACCCCAACACTCACCCTCACCCCAACACTCACTCTCACCCCAACACTCACATTCACCCCAACACTCACCCTCACCCCAACACTCTCACTCAAACACCCCACCACTCACCCTAACACTCATCCTCACCCCTACACTCACCCTCACCCCAACACTCACCCCAACACTCTCACCCCAACACTCACCCTCACCACAACACTCTCACCCCAACTCTCACCCTCACCCCAACACTCACCCTCACCCCAACACTCACCCCAACTCTCACCCCAACACTCACCCCAACACTCACCCCAACACTCACCCTCACCCCAACACTCACCCCAACACACTCACCCCAACACTCACCCTCACCCCAACACTCTCACCCCAACACTCACCCTCACCCCAACACTCACCCCAACTTTCACCCCAACACTCACCCCAACTCTCACCCCAACACTCACCCCAACACTCACCCTCACCCCAACACTCACCCCAACACTCACCCTCACCCCAACACTCACCCTCACCCCAACACTCACCCCCATACTCGCACTCACACCGCAACACTGACACCCAACCTTCACACTGAACTCCTGACACCGACTCCACACTAACAAACACCTGAGTACAGTGCTCAAGTTGATCCCAACCCTGCCATCAAATCTGACGAAGACGCCACCGCCTCACCTGTAAATGGGTACACTATGTAAATGAGCACGCTGCCTACAGACCAAATGGGCTCGCCTTGTAAATGGATACACTCTGTAAATGTGCGGTCGGCCTCGGCCACCTAATCTGAGGTCCTGCGGTTCGCTCAGGAATGGGGTAGCGCCCCCCCCCACGATCCACATCCACCACCACCCCTCCCTCACCACCACGACCCCTCCCTCACCACCACCCCTCCCTCACCACCACGACCCCTCCCTCACCACCACCCCTCCCTCACCACCACCCCTCCCTCACCACCACCCCTCCCTCACCACCACGACCCCTCCCTCACCACCACCACCCCTCCCTCACCACCACCCCTCCCTCACCACCACCACCCCTCCCTCACCACCACCCCTCCCTCCATCCCTCCCTCCCTCCCTCCCTCCCTCACCACCACCACCCTCCCTCACCACCACCCCTCCCTCACCACCACCACCCCTCCCTCACCACCCCTCCCTCACCACCACCCCTCCCTCACCACCACGACCCCTCCCTCACCACCACGACCCCTCCCTCACCACCACGACCCCCCCCTCACCACCACCACCCCTCCCTCACCACCACCACCCCTCCCTCACCACCACCCCTCCCTCACCACCACCCCTCCCTCACCACCACCACCCCTCCCTCACCACCACCACCCCTCCCTCACCACCACCACCCCTCCCTCACCACGACCCCTCCCTCACCACCACCACCCCTCCCTCACCACCACCCCTCCCTCACCACCACCACCCCTCCCTCGCCACCACCACCCCTCCCTCACCACGACCCCTCCCTCACCACCACCCCTCCCTCACCATCACCCCTCCCTCACCACCACCCCTCCCTCACCACCACGACCCCTCCCTCACCACCACGACCCCTCCCTCACCACCACCACCCCTCCCTCACCACCACCACCCCTCCCTCACCACCACCACCCCCTCCCTCACCACCACCCCTCCCTCACCACCACGACCCCTCCCTCACCACCACCACCCCTCCCTCACCATCACCACCCCTCCCTCACCACCACCCCTCCCTCACCACCACCCCTCCCTCACCTCCACGACCCCTCCCTCACCACCACCACCCCTCCCTCACCATCACCCCTCCCTCACCACCACCCCTCCCTCACCACCACGACCCCTCCCTCACCACCACGACCCCTCCCTCACCACCACCACCCCTCCCTCACCACCACCACCCCTCCCTCACCACCACCACCCCTCCCTCACCACCACCCCTCCCTCACCACCACGACCCCTCCCTCACCACCACGACCCCTCCCTCACCACCACGACCCCTCCCTCACCACCACCACCCCTCCCTCACCACCACCCCCCCTCCCTCACCACCACCACCCCTCCCTCACCACCACCACCCCTCCCTCACCACCACCCCTCCCTCACCACCACGACCCCTCCCTCACCACCACGACCCCTCCCTCACCACCACGACCCCTCCCTCACCACCACCACCCCTCCCTCACCACCACCCCTCCCTCGCCACCACCACCCCTCCCTCACCACGACCCCTCCCTCACCACGACCCCTCCCTCACCACCACCCTTCCCTCACCATCACCCCTCTCTCACCACCACCCCTCCCTCACCACCACGACCCCTCCCTCACCACCACGACCCCTCCCTCACCACGACCCCTCCCTCACCACCACCCCTCCCTCACCACCACCCCCCCCTCACCACCACCTCTCCCTCACCACCACCCCTCCCTCACCACCATGACCCCTCCCTCACCACGACCCCTCCCTCACCACCACCCCCCCCTCACCACCACCCTTCCCTCACCATCACCCCTCCCTCACCACCACCCCTCCCTCACCACCACCCCTCCCTCACCACCACCCCCCCCTCACCACCACCCCTCCCTCACCACCACCCCTCCCTCACCACCACCCCTCCCTCACCACCACCCCTCCCTCACCACCACCCCTCCCTCACCACCACCCCTCCCTCACCACCACCCCCCCTCACCACCACCCCTCCCTCACCACGACCCCTCCCTCACCACCACCCCCCCCTCACCCCCACCCCTCCCTCACCACCACCCCTCCCTCACCACCACCCCTCCCTCACCACCACCCCTCCCTCACCACCACCCCTCCCTCACCACGACCCCTCCCTCACCACCCCCCGTATGCTAGTGGCGAGTTGGCGGGGGCTCGTGGGTTGCCCTCGTGGCTGGCGAGACGGCCTCGTCCCGGCCACCGCCACTCACCAGCTGGACCCCCCCCCCCCCCCGTGTGGCGGGTCGGGGCTCGCGGCGCCGCCCCCGCACCGAGGCGGCCCCGAAAGACAAAGGACCCCCGTGTAGCTCACACGGGTTGATGGGGACAAGTGTTGTTCGCGAGTGGCACCCATGAAGGCCACCGCTGCGCACCTGTGAGTGGCTGGTGTGTCACGGCACCACGCCGGGCCGCCTTTGTCTCCCCAGTGGTGACGTTGACGACCCACTGCGCCGCTGGGATCGTAGCGCAGTGCGCTCACCCCCACGTCGCCGGGTGCGGCGTGTAATAGGTGCTCGCAAACAACTCGACTCGGCAATCTATGCAGGCTGCATGCGGGATGTGTGTGTACGTGTGCCAATAATGAAATACTGCATTACCAGTCAACCTATCGCCCACCAAAGTATGAACAACCATCGACTCGTACCGACCCATAGCATTGGATATCAACAGCTTGACGCGGCCGTCTGGTGACCCTGCACTTTATTGACAGCTGGCACACGGGCAGGGTTGGCAGGACTGCTGATGGTGGTGGTGGTGATGGTGGTGGTGACGGTGGTGATGATGGTGATGGTGGTGATGATGGTGATGATGGTGGTGGTGATGTTGGTGATGATGGTGGTGATGGTGGTGGTGATGATGGTGACGGTAGTGATGGTGATCAGGGTTTAATTTCTCTGAGTCGGGGTATGTGGCAGGTGAGATGAAATGAAGCCCTGATATTGTTGTTTCCGATGATGATGATGTTTGTGATTATGACGTTCTTGATGACGTTAATCCTAATGACGTTAATGCTGATGATGTTAATGCTGATGACGTTAATGATGATACTTGTGATGATGATACTGTGATGATGATGCTTGTGATGATGACATTAATGATGATGATACTTGTGATGATGATACTTGTGATGATGATGCTGTTGAGCATCACGTGAAGGCTGACGGTCTCGCCATTCGCAAACGATGTCAGGAAGCGAGCGTTCACAAATTAAACGACACAAAGCGACTTAAACCAAAAGCATTTAAATACAAGGCGGCTTATACAGGGCTCGAGTTCTCACTGCTTCGGCACAGCCAATGCGACGACCGGTATACTGGACGTGGTGTGCCGAGTGCGTAGATATTCTCTGGGTCGCTGTAGGTAGACTGGGGGTCCACCAGCTCTCCGTGTTGACCAACCATCGGGTGCGTGCAGTGTGTGTGTGCAGTGGCTTGAAGTGCGTACGAATGAGAAAAGACAACCACGGCCGTAAACACGGAGAGGTATTCTGGACGTGGTGTGCCGGGTGAAATTCAGCCCTGGACCGAAGGCACTTAAAGGGTGGGGGGAGGACACGGCGGCAGGGGATCGCCATGACGGTTTGGCAGTGTGGGGGGAGGGGGGGTGGGGGGAAGTGGGGGGCAGACTCCCCCCCCGTGCCCCCTCTCTTGTTTGGCAATGTGGTTTTTTCCTCCGGTGATTGTCTCTGCTTAGTGGCACGAGGCCTGCGTCGCTCACCTGCACAGGTGAGGGGACAGGTGAGCATACAGGTGAGCGTGCAGATGAGCACACAGGTGAGGGTGCAGGTGAGCGTGCAGGTGAGCGTGCAGGTGAGTGTACAGGTGAGCGTGCAGGTGAGTGTGTAGGTGAGCGTGCAGGTGAGCGTGCAGGTGAGTGTACAGGTGAGTGTGTAGGTGAGCGTGCAGGTGAGTGTACAGGTGAGTGTACAGGTGAGGGTGCAGGTGAGCGTACAGGTGAGTGTAGGTGAGCGTGCAGGTGAGCGTACAGGTGAGCGTGCAAGTGAGCGTTCAGGTGAGTGTACAGCATACAGGTGAGGGCGCAGGTGATGTGAGGAGCGGCTGGCGTTCTTAAAGGGGCTGCGAGGTAATTGACCACAAAACAAGCTGTGGATGGCGATGTCAAATCGACCAATCGGATTGAGGGAGGAATCGGGCCAGCTCCGCAGGTGAGGCAGGTGAGTGGGCACACCAACTCCGTGCACAGGAGACAGGGGAGTCAGAAATAGGTGAGGAGTTGAGCAGTCGGGGAAAATGAAGGATGTGATGAGGTGAGTTTGGTGTGGATGAGGTGAGGCTGGGATGATGGTGATGAGGAGGAGGCACTCACGTGGACGAATCAGGCGGTGGATTGAGCTGCACACACGCACACAGGTGTCACAGGTGTCACAGGTATCATAGGTCACGGATAGCCATCACACCGACCCACACAGGGTGAGTGGACGAGTGGGTGGGTGGGTGAGCGAATGAGTGGGTGGGTACGTGAATGGGTGAGTGAGTGAGTGGGTTAGCGATCTGGCAAATGGGTGAATGCGTTGATGAAGGAATGAATGTACGAGTGTGTGAGCAATTGAAAGGGCCAGTGAGTGACTGAATCAATAATTGAATAAGTGAATGAATGAGCGAATGAATGTGTCAGTGAGTGAACAAAACATTATTTGGCGACTGAATAATTGAATGGGTGAGTGCATGGGTGAGTGCGTGGGTAAGTGCATGGGTGAGTGAGCGTCACAACCAAGGCTCCTCACCTGGGATGAGGCTATCAGAGCGATCTCCACGGTGCCTGCACAGACGGTCACAAGATACAGTTACGCGCAATCACACAGAGCCACAGTTACAGGAAGTGACGTGGACCCTCACAGCTCCTCCTCCTCACCAGGTGAGGGCCAGGGGAGCTCTCCCCTGGCCCTCGCCTGCTCAAGGGTCTCACCTGTCCTGCGGGAACCTGCAGCGGCAGTGTTTACCTGCACCCAGAGACAACGACACACACGCACACGTCAGTACTCGCGATTGTGTCTCGGTGCGGTCCAGCAGTGTGCATGTCTGTGCATGTCTGGGTGTTGTGTGATGCTCGTGAAGGACGCTTCTGGGCAGTTGGAGGCAGTCGCCCTCCAACAACAACGGAGGGCGGAGGAGCGACGCTCACAACAACGAGTGGCTAAAGCACAGCAAGTTGGCACAGTAGGGGGCACAGGTGGTGCATCAGTCAGTCGTCTCTGACAGTCGACCCGTGGCACCTGCTGGGTCTGCCCCGTGACCTCCTGCCAGCGGGCGTTCGACACTTCACTTGGCCTCAACGTGCACATAGCCTGGCACAAGCGTCGTGGTGACGTTACCGCCACTTAGTGGTGAATGGCGGTTGTTGTTGCGTGATACATTGCGTGTCTGATTTATGGGGAGCGGTAGTGGTCCTGGGCCTCCCCTAGGTCGACTCAACCTCAAATTAGTAACTGGTGTCGATGTGTAAACATCTCCATTCGGGAGACAAAGGCGGCCGGACGTAGCGCTGGCCACACACCCCCCGACTTCATAGGTGCTACTCTTTAACGGTACTTGCGCCACCAGTCTGTTGAGGCTACACGGGGGACCTTTGTCTGTGCACGCTGCGTGTGTGTGCGCGCTCACTGAACACGATGAGGAGTCCGGCCACGAAGAAGATGAAAGCGAGGGACAGCCCCCACTTACGCAGCGTCTCGTAGTCTGGGGGGGGGGGGGCAGGGGGTGTTAGAGGCGAGGCGCACAGCGGGGGGGGGGGGGGGGTTGGAGGCGGAGGGTTCTGGGTTGGGTCCGGTTTAAGGTGCACGGTGTCATCGTGTTTGTGTTGGGCCACGTGGTATAGGTTCCTGTTGAGATTGTGTGTGTACACACATGTACCCGTGTGCGTGTGTGTGTGTACACATGTACCCGTGTGTGTGTGTGTACACATGTACCCGTGTGTGTGTCTGTGTGTATACACATGTACCCGTGTGTGTGTGTGTACACATGTACCCGTGTGTGTGTCTGTGTGTACACATGTACCCGTGTGTGTGTCTGTGTGTACACACATGTACCCGTGTGTGTGTGTGCACACATGTACCCGTGTGTGTGTCTGTGTGTACACATGTACCCGTGTGTGTGTCTGTGTGTACACACATGTTCCCGTGCATGTGTCTGTGTGTACACACATATACCCGTGTGTGTGTGTGTGTGTACACACATGTACCCGTGTGTGTACACACATGTACCCGTGTGTGTGTGTACACACATGCACCCGTGTGTGTGTCTGTGTGTACACATGTACCCGTGTGTGTGTGTAAATACACATGTACCCGTGTGTGTGTATACACATGCACCCATGTGTGTGTGTACACACATGTACCCGTGTGTGTCTGTGTGTACACATGTACCCGTGTGTGTGTATACACATGCACCCATGTGTGTGCATGTACATTACATGTACGCGTGTGTGTGCATGTGTGTGTACACGTGTTTGCATGTGAGAATTCGTATCCTCTCTTAGCAGCAGCCACTCACCATAAGTCAACTTATCGGGCTGTTTGGGATTTCCTGCAGGGTGGGAGGGAGGATGGAGGGAGAGGGAGGGGGAGGGAGAGAGGCAGGTTTAGGAGGAGTTATCAAAGCACCGCACGTCTGGACGTGGTGACCACGACTGTGATGATCCCGTCGACGGTTGCCATGACGATGATGGTGAAGAGAGCGCCATGGAGACGATGACAGATGGATGGAAGGATGGGTGGGTGGAGGGATGGGTGGGTGGAGGGGTGGGTGGGTGGAGGGATGGGTGGGTGGAGGGATGGGTGGGTGGAGGGGTGGGTGGGTGGAGGGATGGGTGGGTGGAGGGGTGGGTGGGTGGAGGGATGGGTGGGTGGAGGGGTGGGTGGAGGGGTGGGTGGAGGGATGGGTGGGTGGAGGGATGGGTGGAGGGATGGGTGGGTGGAGGGATGGGTGGGTGGAGGGTGTCATGGTAGAAGTGATCGTGATGATGACAGTTGCCACGGTGATGCTGATGATGCTGATGATGGTGATGAAGCTGCCATCGCGGTACTGACTGATGGTGGTGGTGATGGTGGTTGTGGTGCTCGTGGTTGTGGTGCTGGTGATGCTATGTGGTTGTTGGTGGTTGTGGCGCTGCTGCTTGTGGTGCTGGTGGTTATGGTGGTTGTGTTACAAGTGTTGCTGGTGGTATTGCTGTGGCGCTAGTGGTTGTGGTGGTGGTTGTGATGGTGGTGGTATTGGTGGTTGTGGTGTTGCTGTGGTTGTGATAGTAGTGGTTGTGGTACTGGTTGTGGTTGTGGTTGGAGTGGTGGTGGTCGTGGTTGTGTTGCTGTGGTTGTGATGGTGGTGTTGGTTGTGGTGGTGGTGGTTGTGGTTGTGTTGCTGTGGTTGTGTTGCTGTGGTTGTGATGGTGGTGGTGGTGGTTGGAGTGGTCGTGGTTATGTTGCTGTGGTTGTGATGGTGGTGGTTGTGTTGTTGCGGTTGTGATGGTGGTGGTGGTTGTGGTGGTTGTGGTGGTGGTTGTGGTGGTGGTGGTTGTGTTGCTGCGGTTGTGATGGTGGTGGTGGTAGTGGTGGTGGTTGTGGTTGTGTTGCTGCGGTTGTGATGGTGGTGGTTGTGGTCGAGTTGCTGTGGTTGTGATGGTGGTGGTGGTTGTGGTGGTGGTGGTTGTGTTGCTGCGGTTGTGATGGTGGTGGTTGTGGTCGAGTTGCTGTGGTTGTGATGGTGGTGGTGGTTGTGGTGGTGGTGGTTGTGTTGCTGCGGTTGTGATGGTGGTGGTTGTGGTCGAGTTGCTGTGGTTGTGATGGTGGTGGTGGTTGTGGTGGTGGTGGTGGTTGTGTTGCTGCGGTTACCGTCCACGGACGTCGCGTCCTCGGCCACGGCGACTGAAACAGAGAGGGCAGCGCGTCACCACACAGCCTCCTCACCAGCTCCCTCACCAGCTCCCTCACCAGCTCCCTCACCAGCTCCCTCACCAGCTCCCTCACCAGCTCCCTCACCAGCTCCCTCACCAGCTCCCTCACCAGCCCCCTCACCAGCTCCCTCACCAGCTCCCTCACCAGCTCCCTCACCAGCTCCCTCACCAGCCTCCTCACCAGCTCCCTCACCAGCCTCCTCACCAGCTCCCTCACCAGCTCCCTCACCAGCTCCCTCACCAGCTCCCTCACCAGCTCCCTCACCAGCTCCCTCACCAGCTCCCTCACCAGCTCCCTCACCAGCTCCCTCACCAGCTCCCTCACCAGCTCCCTCACCAGCTCCCTCACCAGCTCCCTCACCAGCTCCCTCACCAGCTCCCTCACCAGCTCCCTCACCAGCTCCCTCACCAGCTCCCTCACCAGCTCCCTCACCAGCTCCCTCACCAGCTCCCTCACCAGCTCCCTCACCAGCTCCCTCACCAGCTCCCTCACCAGCTCCCTCACCAGCCCCCTCACCAGCTCCCTCACCAGCTCCCTCACCAGCCTCCCTCACCAGCTCCCTCACCAGCTCCCTCACCAGCTCCCTCACCAGCTCCCTCACCAGCTCCCTCACCAGCTCCCTCACCAGCCCCCTCACCAGCCCCCTCACCAGCTCCCTCACCAGCCCCCTCACCAGCTCCCTCACCAGCTCCCTCACCAGCTCCCTCACCAGCTCCCTCACCAGCCCCCTCACCAGCTCCCTCACCAGCTCCCTCACCAGCTCCCTCACCAGCTCCCTCACCAGCTCCCTCACCAGCTCCCTCACCAGCCCCCTCACCAGCTCCCTCACCAGCTCCCTCACCAGCTCCCTCACCAGCTCCCTCACCAGCCCCCTCACCAGCTCCCTCACCAGCCCCCTCACCAGCTCCCTCACCAGCTCCCTCACCAGCCCCCTCACCAGCTCCCTCACCAGCTCCCTCACCAGCCCCCTCACCAGCTCCCTCACCAGCCCCCTCACCAGCTCCCTCACCAGCTCCCTCACCAGCTCCCTCACCAGCTCCCTCACCAGCCCCCTCACCAGCTCCCTCACCAGCTCCCTCACCAGCTCCTCACCAGCCCCCTCACCAGCTCCCTCACCAGCTCCCTCACCAGCCCCCACCAGCTCCCTCACCAGCTCCCTCACCAGCTCCCTCACCAGCCCCTCACCAGCTCCCTCACCAGCTCCCTCACCAGCTCCCTCACCAGCTCCCTCACCAGCTCCCTCACCAGCTCCCTCACCAGCTCCCTCACCAGCTCCCTCACCAGCTCCCTCACCAGCTCCCTCACCAGCTCCCTCACCAGCTCCCTCACCAGCTCCCTCACCAGCTCCCTCACCAGCCTCCTCACCAGCTCCCTCACCAGCCTCCTCACCAGCCTCCTCACCAGCTCCCTCACCAGCTCCCTCACCAGCTCCCTCACCAGCTCCCTCACCAGCTCCCTCACCAGCTCCCTCACCAGCCTCCTCACCAGCTCCCTTACCAGCTCCCTCACCAGCTCCCTCACCAGCCTCCTCACCAGCTCCCTCACCAGCTCCCTCACCAGCTCCCTCACCAGCTCCCTCACCAGCTCCCTCACCAGCTCCCTCACCAGCTCCCTCACCAGCTCCCTCACTAGCTCCCTCACCAGCCTCCTCACCAGCTCCCTCACCAGCCTCCTCACCAGCTCCCTCACCAGCTTCCTCACCAGCTCCCCCACCAGCTCCCTCACCAGCTCCCTCACCAGCTTCCTCACCAACTCCCTCACCAACTCCCTCACCAGCTCCCTCACCAGCTCCCTCACCAGCTCCCTCACCAGCCTCCTCACCAGCTCCCTCACCAGCTCCCTCACCAGCTCCCTCACCAGCTCCCTCACCAGCCTCCTCACCAGCTCCCTCACCAGCTCCCTCACCAGCTCCCTCACCAGCCTCCTCACCAGCTCCCGCACCAGCTCCCTCACCAGCTCCCTCACCAGCTCCCGCACCAGCTCCCTCCTCTACCTTCACCAGCCTCCTCACTGAATCCCTCACCATCTGCCTCACCAGCTCCCTCCTCTACCCTCACCAGCTCCCTCACCAGCTCCCTCACCAGCTCCCTCACCAGCCTCCTCACCAGCTCCCGCACCAGCTCCCTCCTCTACCTTCACCAGCCTCCTCACTGAATCCCTCACCATCTGCCTCACCAGCTCCCTCCTCTACCCTCACCAGCTCCCTCATTGTCTCACCAGCTGCAACTCCACTCCCTCACCAGTGCTGGCAGGGAGAAAGAGAGAACGAGCGATGTCCCAGACGCGGTATTTACTCTGCCGGCACCAGGGTGAGAGACAGGGCTGTCTAGAAGGGGAGGGAGAGCGGGTGAGCTGGTGAGTGAGCTGGTGAGGAGGTGGAGGAGGGGGATGGTGAGGAGGTGGGGGCTGGTGAGGGGGTGGGGGCTGGTCAGGGGGTGGGGGCTGGTGAGGGGGTGGGGCTGGTGAGGAGGAGGGGGCTGGTGAGGGGGTGGGGGCTGGTGACCTCCCGTCCCCCACGTCACCCGTAGAGTAAATATTGACACGAAAACAGCTCCCGCACACAAAGCCAAAGATCCCCCGTGTAGCCTTAACAGACTGTTTGGGCAAGTGCTGTTGGTTAGCGAGTGGCTATGAAGGCCGGCACGGCACGCGAGGGGGTGGGTGGCCACCACCACGCCGGGCCCTTTGTCTGCTGATGTTTACAATTGGCATCAGGTGCTCATTTGAGGCTGAGTCGACATGAAATCACATTGGAGTTCTGCAAGCCTCTCCTCATCGTGCCTGGCAAGGGGATGTTGAATAATCCTTGCCAGGATCTTTCCTGGCCTCACACTTAGGAGGGATTTGCCCTGATAGTTAGAATCAGTGTGGCCCCCCTTATAAACATGCAGACCCCACCAAGGCATCCTTCCAAACCTGTGGAACCCAACCTGATGTCATGTCGGGCAGCCTGTATGTAAATGCCACCTCTCTCACCAGTTTACTTGGGAGGTCGTCTCTGCTCAGTGCTTTACCTGGTCTCATGCTCTGGATCACCTTCGCAATTCGTCAACTGATGTCACATCACGCAGCTACTCACAGGGGGTGGCTACTTCCTCCAATCTGAGGCACCGCAGCCACCCGGCAGGCTCAATCCCCGTTGCCTCGTGATGTTATCTGAGCTGAGGGGGTTCCCCTCCTCCAAGACCTCACAGAAATCCTCAGCAAACCTGAAAATATTGTCCCTTGTGGTCAGAGATAAGATCACCGCTCTTTCCTTTGAGGACAGTAATATATGTGGCGCTGCAAGTTACTTTTGTATGGAATTAAAGAGTGAGTTGTGATCGCTACTGAGGCAGTTTCCATAGCCTCGGCAAACCCGCGACCTCCACTCATCCTTGCAGCGCCACAAAGCTTTCCGAACCTCTGAGCGAAGGCTGCCGCGAGCCTCCTCAACCTCAGACGTGGGGTTGAGGAGCCAGGGTCTCTGGGGGAGGGTCTGGACCGTGTTCCCAAATGCCGTCATTGCTGCTGCATGAGCCACAGTCCTGAACCTCAATTCATCCTCAGCATCAGGAGGGGGGGGGGGGGGGGGGGCAACCCCAGCTGCAAGCGATGATGACATTCTCGCTTGCAACCTTCATCAGCGAGCCGAGACCAGGCCATTGTGGGTTTGAATGGGGTCCTAGATGGGCACCCACCACCGTAGTGGAAGAATGGCAGGCGCCTCTTACAGATGACTGTGGGCATGTCAGCTCCACGGTAGGTCCTGGCGTCAAGGGCATGGGCTCGCATCATCCGTTGCTCCGTCAATGTATCGTGGCACACACTGATACTGGCACGCCATCACCACAGCGCTTGTGCCTGGCTAGGTGCACCTTGACACGCACTCACAACACACACTCCCTCACCTGTCAGCCCCAACGCGAAGACGCAGATGGCGGCGAGAACGTGCATGGTTCTAGAGTCAGACGAGAGGGGAGACAGAAGCAGCGTGTTGAGGTGTGAGTGGCAGCGTGGTGTTGGCGTGCGAGTGTGAGAACGTGTTTTGAGGTGTGAGTGATGTGACAGTGCGTGTGAGTGTGTGTGTCACCGCCACTTAGTGGCGAATGGCGGTTGTTGTGTGCCAGTGAGTGTGTGCGAGTGTGTGTGCGTGTGTGTGTGTGCGAGTGTGTGCGAGTGAGTGTGTGTGCGTGCGAGTGAGTGTGCGTGTGTGTGCGAGTGAGTGTGTGTGCATATGTGTGCGAGTGTGTGCGAGTGAGTGTGTGTGCGAGAGCGTGAGTGTGTGTGCGAGTGAGTGTGTGTGTGTGCGAGTGAGTGTGTGTGCATGTGTGTGCGAGTGTGTGTGCGTGTGTGTGTGTGCGAGTGCGTGCGAGTGAGTGTGCGTGTGTGTGCGAGTGAGTGTGTGTGCATGTGTGTGCGAGTGAGTGTGTGCGAGTGAGTGTGTGTGCGAGTGCGTGAGTGTGTGTGCGAGTGCGTGAGTGTGTGTGCGAGTGCGTGAGTGTGTGTTAGAGTGAGTGTGTGTGTGTGCGAGTGAGTGTGTGTGCATGTGTGTGCGAGTGAGTGTGTGCGAGTGAGTGTGTGTGTGTGCGAGTGAGTGTGTGTGTGCGAGTGAGTGTGTGTGTGCGAGTGCGTGCGAGTGAGTGTGTGTGTGTGCGAGTGAGTGTGTGTGTGTGTGCGAGTGAGTGTGTGTGCATGTGTGTGCGAGTGAGTGTGTGCGAGTGAGTGTGTGTGTGTGTGTGCGAGTGAGTGTGTGTGCGAGTGTGTGTGTCGAGGTGGATTGTGGTGGTGTAGCGGTTAGCGCGCTGCGCTACGAACCCAGCGACCCAAGTTTGATTCCGGCTCACAGTCAACATCGGTGATGATTATCAGAACCGGTCCTGGGCCTCCCCTAAGTCGACTCAGCCTCAAATGAGTGCGATGCGTAAACATCGCCACTTTGGAGACAAAGGCGGCCGGGCGTGGTGCTGGCCACCCATCCCCTCGTGTGCCGTGCCAGCATCAATTGGTGCTCGCTAACAGCACTTGCCCCAACAGTGTTAAGGCGACACGGGGATCTTTGTTTTATTGAAGTGTAAATGTGAATGTGTGTGTGTATTCATATGTTCATGTGTTGGGGTTGGTGGACTGTGGCGTAGTGGTTCACGTGCTGCACGAAACAATTCCCGGCCACGGCCAACATCAGTGGCGATTTATATTTGAACCGATCCTTTGCTTCCCCAAGATCGATTCAGCCATACATGGCCACGTGATGGAGTGTGAAAAATATCAGCACTGGGGAGACAAAGGCGGCCAGGCGAGGCGCTGGCCACACCACCTCCTCGTGTGCCTTAATAGCACTTGCCTCTACAGCCTGTTAAAGGCTACATTGGAGATATTGTCTTTTGTGTATCAGGGAGCGGCGAGTGAGTGGGTGTGGTGTGTGTGGGGGCACGTTGGGATGTATGAATGCTCGATGGTGTGTGTGTTACACGTGGTGTGTGTGTGTGTTACACGTGGTGTGTGTGTGGTACACGTGGTGTGTGTGTGGTACACGTGGTGTCTGTGTGTGTGGTACACGTGGTGTGTATGTGGTACACGTGGTGTGTGTGTGGTACACGTGGTGTGTGTGTGTGGTACACGTGGTGTGTGTGTGTGTGGCACACGTGGTGTGTGTGTGGTACACGTGGTGTGTGTGTGTGTTACACGTGGTGTGTCTGTGGTACACGTGGTGTGTGTGTGGTACACGTGGTGTCTGTGTGTGTGGTGTCATGTTTCTCGTGCAGTCCCCCCACCCCACTTCTCGCTCTTTCGCAATTCCCCCTCTCTGCCCCCACTCGATTGTCCACGCGGTTGGGGCGCGGGAGGGTGGTGGTGGGGGTTAGGGAGGTGGTGATAGTGGTGGTGAAAGAGAGTGGTGGCTGGTGGTGGTGGAGGAGAGTGGTGGTGGTGAAAGAGAGTGGTGGGTGGTGGTGGTGATGGTGAAGGAGAGTGGTGGGTGGTGGTGGTGAAGGAGAGTGGTGGGTGGTGGTGGTGAAGGAGAGTGGTGGTGGTGGTGGTGAAGGAGGGTGGTGGTGGTGGTGAAGGAGAGTGGTGGTGGTGGCGAGGGACAGTGAGTGGAGGGTGGATCACTCGAAATCATCCTTGGCAGTGAATCTCGTTTCTCCGTGTGCCGAGTCCACCACCACCATCACCACTATCATTGTCATCAGCAGAATCAAGATCATTGTTATCATCATCATCATCAGCAGCAACTACAGCCGCAACAACAATACAGTATGCTGATTCTGCTGATCATGGCAATTATTGATCAATGTGTTGAGTTTGTGTCTCGTAATTCTATGATTTATGCTGCGGCTAATGATGCGGCCACTGATGATGACGCTGCCACTGATGATGATGCTGCCACTGATGATGATGCTGCTGATGATGATGATACCGCCGCCGCTGCTGATGATAATGAGCCGTGGCTTGCCCCGCGATTGAGGGTGTGGAGCAATGCGCGGATCGTGACAGTAAAATTAACCTCGGCTCAAAATAACACAGCGACGCCCTGGGACAGACACACACAGAGACAAAGATCCCCCGTCTAGCCTCTGACGGATGTTTGGGGCAAGGGCTGCTCACGAGGATGACCTTTGAAGGCCAAGGTGGCGCACGAGGAGGATTGTGTCGCCAGCGACACGCCCCGGCCGCCTTTGTCTCCCCAGTACCGACATTTGCTATATACATTCTGCTACAGGTACTCGTATGGGGCTGAGTAGATGCAGGGGAGGTCCAGGACTGGTTCAGATGTCCGTCACTCTTGTTTGGTCGTGAACGACCTCTGGCTGCCCGGTCCGGAGCGCAACGCGTTAACTACTGCGCCACTGCTCCCCAAACGCACACGGACATACACGTTCACACAATGTGCACCGACCAGTGCGATGAAGTATGGTGAAACAAACACAACGCATGGCTCGACATAGTGCGGGCCCCTTGAGCTGCTTGGGGCTCCTTGAGCTACTTGGGTCATTAGCCTGTTGCTTGGTTTGCTGCCAATAACAATACTGGAATAAGAACGTACAAAAGGAGTGGCTCGATCTTGATTTGAAGCTTTCGTGACTGCAGGAATCCATCCTCTCTGGTTCTTTCGGTAAAGTCACGTAGGGGCCGCTCTCATCCTATCTTACAGTTACATGCTAATCTCTCATATTAACATCATGATAATATCTCACATTAACATCATGCTAATATCTCACATTAACATCATGCTAATCTCTCACATTAACATAGCCAATTCCGTGCCCTCGTCGAGGAGGCCGCTCTCCTCCTATCTTACAGTTACATACTAATTTCTCACATTAGCATCACTAGCCTCGGCCACTTCTTTATGACCCTGGGGCTCCACCCATTTCAAACTTTTTAAAACAGTCTGACTCAGCAGCAGACCATGCTTTCCCACCTGATGACGGACGCTTGTGTTGCGCCCGAAACGTCGTGATTTATTTAATTTTACACCTACGTGACTTTACCAAAAGAGCCAAAGAGTGGCTCTGTCTCACTCTCACGAAGAGAGTCGGAGTTGCGAGGAGGAGGAACCACAGACGAGCGGGAAGGCAGCAGCGGCAGCCACGCGGTGAGTGGCCACCCCCCCGAGCTGTCGTCCTCCATGTATCCACGTGTTATGGGCCAATGAATACGTGTTTACATGTGGGAAGAAATCGAGGCAACGCTCTCTGATACAGACGGAACGGGTGGAGTCCACACTTTGCGGTAGCGCCTCCTCGTGGCGAGCCAGGGAGACGGCTCCTCGTCGCCGCTCGCGAGAAGGGAGTTCGACAACAACATCCTTGTGTGATCCACCAACGCTCGCAGCCGCGTGCAGCGTAGCCATCGCCACCACCACCACAATGTCCACAGACAGCACCACAACCATCACCGCTTGCTTGCAGACCGCAGGGGCAGACGCTTCTCTGCCAATCTCCGTCGGGAGCTCGGCTGATTCACGGGGCCAGATTGTAATCTTCCAGCAAAAACGAGGATCCCAAGCATTCGGCCGATGTGTGGAACATGGATTTCTGGGCCAGCGCAGGGAGCCAACAACGCGCGGCCTTGGCCAGGACAAAGTCCGCACGCGGGGGGGGTGGGGGGGGGAGGTGGGGGGCGGCACACACAGGGAAGTCGCACGGTGGCTGGGGCCAGTGCTGGGGAGGGGGGGGGGTGGGGGGGGGAGGTGGGGGGCGGCACACACAGGGAAGTCGCACGGTGGCTGGGGCCAGTGCTGGGGAGGGGGGGGGGGTGGGGGGGGGAGGTGGGGGGCGGCACACACAGGGAGGTCGCACGGTGGCTGGGGCCAGTGCTGGGGAGGGGGGGGGGTGGGGGGGGGAGGTGGGGGGCTGCACACACAGGGAGGTCGCACGGTGGCTGGGGCCAGTGCTGGGGAGGGGGGGGGGGTGGGGGGGGGAGGTGGGGGGAGGTGGGGGGAGGTGGGGGGAGGTGGGGGGCTGCACACACAGGGAGGTCGCACGGTGGCTGGGGCCAGTGCTGGGGAGGGGGGGGGGGTGGTGGGGGGAGGTGGGGGGCTGCACACACAGGGAGGTCGCACGGTGGCTGGGGCCAGTGCTGGGGAGGGGGGGGGGTGGGGGGGGGAGGTGGGGGGAGGTGGGGGGAGGTGGGGGGAGGTGGGGGGCTGCACACACAGGGAGGTCGCACGGTGGCTGGGGCCAGTGCTGGGGAGGGGGGGGGGAGGTGGGGGAGGTGGGGGGAGGTGGGGGGAGGTGGGGGGCTGCACACACAGGGAGGTCGCACGGTGGCTGGGGCCAGTGCTGGGGAGGGGGGGGGGGTGGGGGGGGGAGGTGGGGGGAGGTGGGGGGAGGTGGGGGGAGGTGGGGGGCTGCACACACAGGGAGGTCGCACGGTGGCTGGGGCCAGTGCTGGGGAGGGGGGGGGGTGGGGGGGGGAGGTGGGGGGCTGCACACACAGGGAGGTCGCACGGTGGCTGGGGCCAGTGCTGGGGAGGGGGGGGGGTGGTGGGGGGAGGTGGGGGGCTGCACACACAGGGAGGTCGCACGGTGGCTGGGGCCAGTGCTGGGGAGGGGGGGGGGGTGGTGGGGGGAGGTGGGGGGCTGCACACACAGGGAGGTCGCACGGTGGCTGGGGCCAGTGCTGGGGAGGGGGGGGGGTGGTGGGGGGAGGTGGGGGGCTGCACACACAGGGAGGTCGCACGGTGGCTGGGGCATTGCTGGGGAGGGGGGGGGGGGTGGTGGGGGGAGGTGGGGGGCTGCACACACAGGGAGGTCGCACGGTGGCTGGGGCCAGTGCTGGGGAGGGGGGGGGGTGGTGGGGGGAGGTGGGGGAGGTGGGGGGGAGGTGTGGGGAGGTGGGGGGGCATGTGGAGGGAGGTGGGGGGCTGCACACACAGGGAGGTCGCACGGTGGCTGGGGCCAGTGCTGGGGAGGGGGGGGGGGTGGTGGGGGGAGGTGGGGGAGGTGGGGGGGAGGTGTGGGGAGGGGGGGGGATGGTGGGGGGGCATGTGGGGGGAGGTGGGGGGCTGGTGGGGGGCTGGTGGGGGGCTGGTGGGGGGGGCATGTGGGGCGAGGTGGGGGCTGGAGACCGGATTGGCACCGCGAGGCGGATCGAGGAGCGCGTGGATTTCGGCAGCGCGCGCAAGTTGGTGACGTCACTCGGCGTGAAGAAAGCGAAGTGAAGTGATCGTGGTGATTGTTAACAACTCAAGACGTTCGTCAATAAAACTGTGGCCAGGAGAGTAGATCGATGTCATGGACAACATTTCAGGCCATGGCCCTTGTTTTCGGGCCATGGACTGTGAAGAAGGACCATTGCTCGAAACGTCGCCTATCATCTACATTATTTTGTCTTTGAAGACCAGGCCGCCTTTGTCTTCCTAGTGGCGATGTTTACACACCGCACTCGGTACTCATTTGAGGCTGTTCAGATTATCGTCACTGGTGTTAGTCGTGAGCGGGAATTGAACCCGGATGGCCGGGTTCGTAGTGCAGCGCGCTAACCACTGCACACGTGTGTGTGTGTTCAACTTCTTTCGCACCGTGCGTAGCCAACCGTGTTAATCGGAAGGGCAACAAGCTAAACACAAAACGCAGTTTTTTGTGTGTTTAGTTTAGAACCGGTTCAGATAATCGTCACTGGAGTTGGGCGTGAGCGGGATTCGAACCCGGGCGGCCGGGTCCACACACGCGCGGTGTCAAGAGCCATGGCGAGGGTGACAGCCCAGCAAGCGGGAGCGCGTCCGAGCGGAACGGCCACGGAGATGGAGCGATGAAATGACGGCGTGCGCGGCGTGCGCTGGGTGGATTATCATCGTTGGCGACGGCGTGCAGAGAAGGCCTTGGTCCCAACAGTGAAGCCATCATGGCAGCAGCAGCAGCTGATGATGATGCTGAAGACTGCAGGATGTTTTAATAAAACGTTGTGCACAGTCGCAATTGGATGTGCGCGGCTTCTGCGCGACGCTCCCGACTGTGCGGGAAATTGGCATCTGTGTCCGGGCGGCAGGAATTGATTTGTACCGAGCGCTGTGACCGGTATCGTGCTGAACTTCATCCCAGCAAACGGCTCGGTATTGACAACAGACCCAGTGGTGACTGAGAAACGTGGTCCTGGTTTGCGCCACTGTGGGCGAGGTGGCGGCCCCACTTCAGAGTCGGGCCTGCCCATACACACTCGCGAGTCAAAGGTCACGGCCGCATCGCTGACAATGAAACGTTGAATCGCAAAATGAGTCATGAAACGTAACAGTGTCAAACGTGCCCGCTGTTCACAACGCGTTTGAGTGCGGGTGACAGTGTGCGCTGAGGCTGCTGTGTCCGCGCTGGGCCGCAAATCTGGCGTGGGGGGGGTTTGGGGGTGGATCGGAGGGGCTGGTGGTGGTGGGGGGGAGGTCATTGAGGTCACGCCGTGACGCGAGACCAGACCAGGGAAATTCAGCCTCCAGCCCGAGCGGACTGCCCGGCTGCAGTTGACACAACAGCCGCAGTTGACACAACAGCCGCGGCGCCAGTTCACACCAGAGTCGTGAGGTGCTCGTGGGCGGCACAGACACCCGCGCCTCGCAGCAAGGAGGCCCCCCCCCTCCCTCACTCCCTCCCTCCCCCCGACGCTGAGTTCGAATACCGACTGGGGCGCCTTCCTGAGAGGCGCGTGGAGTTTGGATTTTTTCTCCCTCTGCTCTGTTGAGTGTGAGCGAGAGTAGTTTGTATTCTCTCCCCCTGTCCTGCGAGGGGTTTTCTCCGGGTTCGCCGGTTTCCTCCCATAGCTAAAACGAAATCAAACACGATGTAACTGAACTTGGCCAAACCACATCCCCAAAATTGAAACAAAAAAGCCACCAATTACTCAGCTGGGGACCACACCCAACAGCAGCAGCAGTAACATCGCCTCCCCCCCCACCGCGAAAACCCGGCAGGACCCTCCTCAAAAAGAGTCTTGAGACTCAGGAAGGCCTTCCTGGGTACACTAGTACAGTACAACAACAATAATAATATATTAGAGAACAGATAATGGAGTCCCGCCACAGAGTGCCGAAGGCAAACCCCTTCAGGAGCCATCGACGTGGTGGGAGCGATGCTGCCAGATTCTCTCCAGACGATGGTGGGCACGGCATGGCTGGCTGGCACTCAAAGACAAAGACTCTTCGTATAGCCTTCAACAGACTGTAGGGGCACGGCACACGAGGGGTTCGGTGGCCAGCACCACGCCCTGCCACCTTTGTCTCCCGAGTGGCGATGTTTACACACGGCACCAGGTACTCATTCGAGGCTGAGTCGATCTAGGGGAGGCGCAGGATCTGTTCAGATAATCGTCACTGCTTTTGGCAGTGGACGGGAATCTAACTCGGGTCGCCGGGCTTGTAGCCGAGCCGTGCTAACCGCTGCGCCACCGCTCCCCACATTCACGTACAAACACACGGACACAGGCAGACACCATAACAGCCACACAAGGGCACGCGCAGTTCAGAAGTTACACAGTCACACAATCACACAGCCACGCAGCCACAACAAATACAAGGACCCGCCGTGTCGCCTACAGCTGCACATGGGATAAGTGCAGACAAGACAAATACACGCAACAAAGATCCCCCGTATGGCCTTGACAGAATGTTGGGGCAAGTGCTGTTAGCGAGCACCTATGAAGACCGTAAGGGGCAGCAACACCCACACACTCAGTCACACGTACAGTCTCACACACACACGCAGTTACACAATGATAAAGATCTCCTGTGTAGCCAATGCAGAAAGTGGGGGGAAGCGCTGTAAGAGAGCACAGACACACAACCACATGGTCACGCGCAGTCTTTCACACAAAGACAAAGATCCCCCGTATAGCCCACGTAGAATGTAGGGAGAGAGTAACGTGAGCGAGCGCAGGAGTGGGTGGTGTGGCGAGCACCACGCCCCAGCGCCTTTGTCTCCCCAGCGCCGATGTTTACACGCCGCACCCGTTATTCAGGGCCGAGTGTACCTAGGAAAGGTCCGGTCGGGACCCTTGTGAAAAATATCACTTCGCTACAAAGGCAAAGCCCACCCATGTAGTCTGCACAGAATGTCGGGGCACGTGCTGTGGGCGCGCCATACACGCGGAGTGACACACACGGCCGCACGGGGAGAGGAGGAGGTGGTGGTGTGGCGATGTTGGGAGTGGAGTGACGGTGTCACGCCTGGACACGCCACGACAAGACCAGGGTGACAGAATGTCACGGACCTCACAGCGACACGCAAACCAAGTAAAACATCAGACGCGTCAGCAGCATCAGTAGAACCATCAGCAGCAGTAGCAGCATGGCTCGTGAGCCGCGTTCAGGGTTAGGACGAGCACCGCCGTCTTTGTGTCCCTGACTTCCCTATATCAGGGTTCGCACGCGCCTCAAGCTTAACGCGGCTCATCAGCGAGACAGCTGCTGCTGCTGCTGATGAGTATGGCCCCTATGGGGTTCGCGTCGACCCGAACCCCGACTCGCACCGATTCCGCGTGCCCTTCACCCACATCTAACGGCCCCTCTCTCCACACCCTCTCTCCACCCCTCTCTACACACCCTGGGTCCCCTCTAAAATCCCCGAGATGTGGTGGCGGGGACTAACACCAACCCCTCGTGGCTCACCAGGCGAGGAGGAGGTGGACGAGGAGGAGGAGGAGGTGGCGTTGAGGAGTTCGTGGGTGTCGATCCGAGCGAGGCTGCCTCTCGAAGTGCGCACTCCCCTTGCTGCTGCTGCTCTCCCCTCCCACTGCCTCCTCCTCCCCCTCCCGTCCCCTCCCCGGCTCCACCAGCCCAGCTCCCGCCTCCCCTGGTTCGGACCGTGTGGCCCATGTGCGTGTTGGACTTCTTTCGCACCGTACGTAGCCAACCGCGTTCATCAGAGGTGCGGGGGAAGGACAACAAACGAACACACACAAAGCAGTTCTACAGAAAAGAGTTTTCAATTGAGATTTAAAAGTGCAGAGCTTCAGTGGCTTCCTAATATCGGGAGGAAGAACGTTCCAGACGGCCGGAGAAGCGCATCTGAAAGCGCCACGCGATGCGGTGCCCTCTTTGTTCGATTGACGTCAATGCTGATACTTTACCCGCACGGCCGCCTTTGTCTTCCCAGTGCTAATGGTTACTCGCTGCCGTACACGAAGGGACTAATGTCTCGTGTCCCTTGGTGTGCGTTACTGTGTATGAGTGAGTAAACATCACCCCTGGGGAGACAAAGGCGGCCGGGCACGATGCTGGCCACCCCCACCGTGTGCCGTGCCGGTCGTCATCAGGGCTCGCTAGCAGCACTTTCCCCGACAGCCTGTTCAAGTAAGTGAGGCTGTCAGTGTATCCGCATTGTTGACTCACTCGCTGCCGCCTTTGTCTCTCTGAGCGGCCTCGAGTCGACGAAAGGGAGGCAGCAGCCGCAGCTGTGGGCGGGGGTCTGTTGTGTTTTGCTGAGGAGGATGTGGGGGAGTGGGGTAGCGAGGGGAGGGGCTGTGGGGGAGGGGAGGGGCTGGGAGGGGAGGGAGAGAGGGAGAGGCCGTGCCCAGCGATGGTTGTGGGCGCCGAGGGAGGGGGAGGAGGAGAGGGGGAGGCGGATTTGGCAGTAGTCGAGTATGGGAGGGGGGGTGTAGTGGATTTGGGAGGCTTTCAGTGACGTGGAGGTATGTGTGAGATGGCGGGAGCTGGGATGTGGTATGTTTGGGGGCTAAGGGGGTATGCTGGGGTAGAGAGGGGGTTGGGGTACTGAGAGGGTGGCTGCATGCACAGGGGGTGTGCAGAGGCCAGCATCGCCATCACCATGAGCCGTGATCAATGTCTCGGTGGTGGTGACGAGCAAACAGAAAGGAGACGAAAACAAGTTGACAAGACAAATCGAATCGCGTTCCCTGAATCGCGATCATTAATCGACGAACCGGCAGGGCACACGAGGGGCGGTGTAGCCAGTGCCCGGCCGCCTTTGTCTCCCGCAGTACTGATGTTGACTCTCTTGCACCAGGTACTGACTCACTGGCTTAGTCTCTTGGTGTGTGGCTGCGCGGGGGCTCCCGACCATCCTCAAGAGCTCCGTGTCACCTCAAGATCTGTGTGTCCCACCTCAAGATCTGTGTGTGTCCCACCTCAAGATCTGTGTGCTACCTCAAGATCTGTCTGTGTCACCTCAAGATCTGTGTGTGTCACATCAAGATCTGTGTGTCCCACCTCAAGATCTGTGTGTGTCACCTCAAGATCTGTGTGTCCCCTCAAGATCTGTGTGTCCCACCTTAAGATCTGTGTGTGTCACCTCAATATCTGTGTGTCCCCTCAAGATCTGTGTGTGTCACATCAAGATCTGTGTGTGTCACCTCAAGATCTGTGTGTGTCACCTCAAGATCTGTGTGTCACATCAAGATCTGTGTGTGTGTGTCACCTCAAGATATGTGTGTGTCACATCAAGATCTGTGTGTGTCACATCAAGATATGTGTGTCACATCAAGATCTGTGTGTCCCACCTCAAGATCTGTGTGTGTCACCTCAAGATCTGTGTGTCACCTCAAGATCTGTGTGTGTCACCTCAAGATCTGTGTGTCCCACCTCAAGATCTGTGTGCCACATCAAGATCTGTGTGTCACCTCAATATCTGTGTGTCCCACCTCAAGATCTGTGTGCCACCTCAAGATCTGTGTGCTACCTCAAGATCTGTGTGTCCCACCTCAAGATCTGTGTGCCACATCAAGATCTGTGTGTCCCACCTCAAGATCTGTGTGCCACATCAAGATCTGTGTGTCCCACCTCAAGATCTGTGTGCTACCTCAAGATCTGTGTGTCCCACCTCAAGATCTGTGTGCTACCTCAAGATCTGTGTGTCCCAACCTCAAGATCTGTGTGCCACATCAAGATCTGTGTGTCCCACCTCAAGATCTGTGTGCCACATCAAGATCTGTGTGTCCCACCTCAAGATCTGTGTGTCCCACCTCAAGATCTGTGTGCTACCTCAAGATCTGTGTGTCCCACCTCAAGATCGGTGTGCCACATCAAGATCTGTGTGTCCCACCTCAAGATCTGTGTGCCACATCAAGATCTGTGTGTCCCACCTCAAGATCTGTGTGCTACCTCAAGATCTGTGTGTCCCACCTCAAGATCTGTGTGCTACCTCAAGATCTGTGTGTCCCAACCTCAAGATCTGTGTGCCACATCAAGATCTGTGTGTCCCACCTCAAGATCTGTGTGCCACATCAAGAGATCCGTGCCACCTTGTGTGAGCGCTGTGAAGCCCCCCCCCCCCCACCGCGTTACATAATGGCCACGTGTTCAACCTAAGCCGCGTCTCACCTCCTTGGCACGCCTCAATCTGACCGCAAGAGCCCCCAGCGTGTCTCCGTGACACATCTGTGATTCTTGAGCAGATGAAGAACAGTGATTGCAAGCGGCGGCTGAGCGATCGCTGTGAGGCCGCCGTCTCGCCACCACTCATCCTTGAGGGCCCCTCCACGACGCTAGGAGACCTGCGCATGGTTTTTTATGATGTTTCTAACACGATGCTTGTTTATGAAAGTAAAGCCTTACTGAGTCTTAAGACTACTTTTCCAGGAGGGTCCTACCAAGGTTTTACAGTAGGGGTGGAGATTCGATGTTGCTGATGTTGTGTGATCTCAATTAAGTATTCTGCAGGTGATTTGTCAGCATTTAGGATGTTGTTTGGCCAATTACATTTACGTTGAGTGGGGGGGGGGCTATAGGAGGAAACCGGAGGACCCGGAGGAAACCCATGCTAACAGTGGGAGAGAATACAAACTCCGCACACTCATCCATACACACGCTCACTCTCTCACACTCTGCAGAACACGGGGAGAATATACAAAAAACTCCAGTCACACACTCAACAACAACAACCGCCATTCGCCACTAAGTTACAGTGACGTCACCACGGCGCTTGTGCCAGGCTCGGTGCACGTTGAGGCCACGTGAAGTGTCGAACGCCCTCTGGCAGGAGGTCACGGGGCAGACCCAGGTGCCATGGGTGGACTGACTGAGACGACTGGCTGATGCATCACCTGTGCCCCCTACTGTGCCAACTTGAGCACACTCTCACACACAAAGACAACGACTCACATTCTCATAGCCTGCAGAACAGGCGGAGAACACACAGACTCCACACAGACTGGTGCCTGAGTAGTCGAACCCAGGGCCCTCTAGCTGCGAGGCGCACGTGCCACAACTGCGCTGCCGACCTGACATTCTCTCAGATTTTACGCTAATTTCTGTTTGGTTGATTTTCCTGTCAATTCTCTTTGCTTCATTGTGGCCTCGTATCCTATGAATATAACAAATAAGCAGGACATTCACCTTCTACCCACATCTGTCCCACCACATAAACAAATATTAACGTATTTATTTATCCATCCCATTAGCTACACGTGGTGACCTTCTGGGAGTGCACGGGGAACACTTGTAAGTGAAGGAGGCGTTTTGCCTTCTCATTGCTGCTGTGATTCCAAGTTGTTGCCTTTGTCATTGTGGTGACCCAAGTCACTCTTACACATGAGATTCCTTTTCTGGTCTCTTGACTTCTCACCCTGGTTACACAAAATCAACTTGACACTTGAAACGAGCTGAGCTTACAGCGGGCGGAGCGGTGGCGCAGTGATATGCGCACTGTGTAGTCCATCAATGTAACCAGGCTGCCCGAGTTCAATTAATTCGCTGCCACGGCTAACTTCAGTGGCGATATCTGACTCGGTTGTGCACTCCTCCCTCTCACCACCCCCTAACCAACCCTCATTGACCAGCGTGGTGAAGTATGGTCAAACAATCTCCCCACAACTTACACGGCGTGGAGATGCCTTGATCCAGCAGTATATTGATACAGTGCTGTCATGTACATCTGTTTTGAAATCTCGAGAGATCTGGCTCATTACCATCAGTCCTTAATTAGAGACGGTCAAAGGTGCAGCCCTGCAACTGCTGGCTCACGCCACTGCTGGCGCAAGGGTCGTCACTAGGAGGGAGCTCTGGAGAGCCCCTGCAGAGGGTATTTGGTCTACTCTTTCACGCTGGACAGAAGGCTTGGAAGAGGTGTGAATTACCCACACTTTATCCCGCCACACGCGACTTGCATGCCGATCATAGACTTAGCTGGGGTGAACACATTTATACTGTCTCATCATTAGATCTCCTTTGCCAGTACCAAAATATAATAATAGGGGTTTTCCACTTTTTTCTGGCAACAAACCTGAAACCTTTTTACGAGGGTTCATGTCTGCATTAACCACAATACTTGCAGTCAAAATGCAAACAAAAAACATACTATGATAATAAATGCATTGTATTTGGTGTGGACCAATCAGTTTAAAGGACAATGCATATATTATCATAGTATGTTTTTTGTTTGCATTTTGACTGCAAGTATTGTGGTTAACGCAGACATGAATCCTCGTAAAAAGGTTTCAGTTTTGTTGGCAGAAAAAAGGGGAAAACCCATATTATTACATTTATACTGCTGCCGTGGGATGAGTTGGGATGGGTGGGAGGTGCGTGAGGGGGGTGGGATTTGCGAAATTCGCCCCCATTGTTTGAACTGGCGCGCCGGGAGATAGAACCGGCGGAGTGTGGCTCACAAGTCACGTGTTCAACACAAGTCACGAGTTCAACACAAGTACGTATTCAACAAGCCTCAGTAACACGAGGGATGAACAGGGGCTTCCGTAACAAACACGAGCTCGCGATCTCTCAGCTGGCAAGGTAATAAACCCAATTCATCTTCAGATATAGCGCCAGGGCAATTAGTTAAGACGTTAAGGTCGTCGAGTGTTTGTTTCTTCACATCACAATGAATCAACAGTTGCGCGTGCTACAGCGCCACCTCGTGGGCTCACGGCTCCCATCCCAGTCCCAGCTGCCAATGGGACCGCGTTGGACAGTCATTCTCGTACAGAGACGGCTCGTCTCTTGCCAATTCCACTGCTGGATGAGGGTCGCCCTTTCCCACACCGTGTGGGTCGTGGGGGAGTTTATTCTTTGACCACACTTTACCACGATGGTCAGCAAGGAGGCGAGCAGTGGTGGATCTAGAAAATCCTACTCTTTGTTTTTTTCGGTAAAGTCACGTAGGTAAAAAATGAAATAAATGAAAAAACAACTGAATTAAATCACGACGTTTCGAGCGGTTGCGCTTTCGCTACGTTGTCCCCACCTGAAGAAGGACGCTTGTGTTGCGCCCGAAACGTCGTGATTTAATTGAGTTGTTTTTTCACTTATTTTATTTTTTTACCTACGTGATTTTACCGAAAAAAACAAAGAGTATGAATCCTTGGAGTCACGAAAACTTCAAATCTAGAACTAGAAACTCCTGTGGCGGGAGAGGGCCCGGTCCTGAAAAGTTTAGCTTTTTGAAAAATGGCTTTCTTACCTGGGAAAATAAATCAATTTAATATTTAGAGCAGACGATGTTAACTCTACAGCTGCAGAACACGCGGAAATGTTTAATGACGGTGATTAAGCGACTGGCACCGAGTGAACATGGAACATTTGGCCAACGTTGAGCCAACGTTTCCAACCGCACGCCAGCATTGTCCCGACGTTGGCTCAACGTTGGCGTGTTTACTGGGAAAGATGGCTTCAAACAAATGGAGACGTCTGTCGGAGTGGCCCGTCTGGGGGAGACAGCAGAGTGCGCTCTCCAAGGGCAGTTGCTGAAGGCAGCCCGGGATCAGAGCGGATGCAAAGCAACTCTGGAAAGTGATTAAAGAGGTCGGGTTTCAATGGGTGCTGCATTGCCCGCTGTGACAAACAAATCTGAGTGATGGACATCCACAAATAATAAAATGGAACACGGTGTTTAACGTGCGCAGACAAGCGCGGTGAGGTGCACGCTTGGAATGACGCCGAGTGGAAGAGCAGCACGTGGAGGAAGGGGTCACGCACAGGTCGACTTGTGCGGATTTGACCCTCAAGGAAAGGCAGTGTGCTTGGGCAGGGCGCGACCCCAGTAAACACGCAACGTTGACCCAACGTTCCGTGATCACTGGGTCATGCCGAGTAGCGATGAGGGCCGGTGGTCGCGACTAACGACGGAGCGGCAGGCAAGTGAAGCAGCAGCAGCATTGCCAGGGGGCCGTGAGAGATGGCCATGACTTTGGGAAGGCCTTCATCCAGCGATGGATAGCTCATGGCCGGTGATGATGGCGATGAGGGGGTACAGTTGTTTTGGAGCTAAATCACTGGCAAGGTTTAGACGTCGCTGGCAAGTGTTTATAGAGGGGTGTGAGGGTGACAGTGTGATGTTTGTATATGTGTGGGTGGGGAGCGGTGGTGGAGCGGTTAGCGCGCTGCACTATGAACCCGCCCTACCCAAGTTCCACTCCCGATCACGGCCAACACCAGTGGCCGTGATCTAAATCGGTCCTGGGCCTCCCCTAGGTCGACTCAGCCTCAAATGAGTATTTGGTGCGGTGTGTCAACATCGCCACTCGGGAGACAAAGACGGTTGGGCGTGGTGCTGGCCAACGTTGGGCTCACGCTGTCTACTGAGTTATTCGTGGGTGTTGCTATTAAGATAATGTCCTATTTGTTGAGCCCGTTCAATAAGCAGCATTGCCCAATGTTTATTATTTTGTTAGATTGATGGAGAATTCTAAACAGGGATGGAGACTGCTTTAATAATACTGAACATGAGCAGCCTACACTGTATCTGCAGCCGTGTCATCATCAGCCATGATCAATCCACTGCTGGATGAAAGCCACCAGTCGTCTTCTCGAGTAAACGTGGAGCGTTGGGCCAACATTGGTATCTTCGCTGGGTCCGTGTGGACAATTCGCATCCTCCCCTGCCCACATTCGTCCCTCCACATCAACAAAACACATTCCTGCGGAGGGAGCTGGTAGGAACGTTGGGTTGCTCGGTCAATGGCCTGCAGGGTCAACGGCGGCGTGGTGTATTCCGCAAATATGCCCCGCTGTGAGGGCGGGCACAAGCCGGCGTGAGTAGGTTAAACGTTGAGTTTTATAAGGGCACCACGGGGTGACCAGCCCCTGCCCACCCAGCCCCACCCCTCCCACCCCCCACCCAGCCCACACAGCCCCTCCCCACCCTCCCCTCTCCACCCAGCCCCACCCCTCCCAATTTTTTGATGCACGACGGACGGACACAATAATCCCCTGTGGGCTGGTGGAACCAGGAGGTTCCTACCAGTATTAGAATGATTTGCTTTACACATCCCACTAGCCGTACACGGCCTTGCGTCTGGGAGTGCATCGTATCAGAAGCACTTGATTAACAACACAATCAAAACTCGGGACATGGTTTCAACTATTAGCGTCTCATCAACAGAGTCAGACTCCAGATGTTTACAGGCGGGGAGCGCCTCGCTCTGCTGCTGCTGCTGATGATGATGATAAACTGAGTCTCGAAGCCGGCTGTTGGGATGTGTACACACACAATATGTAAAATGTGTGTGGCTGGGCACATGTGGGAGAGAATGTGTATATTGTCTGACGCCTGTGTCTTTGCAGTTTGCGTGTTCTCCCTCAACATTTAGAAAGATGCATTTAGATAATTTCGCTGCTATACATTTCCACATGATACGCCACTTTGTTGAGCTATCACTTGTGACCAGGTTGCTTCTGAAAATAGGTTAAAATAGGTTAGGCTTTGCGTGGTAATACAAATATCGTTTAGTTTTATATGTGTATATTTTTTTAAAGTGATTTGTTTACATTTCCTATACTTTGCACTCCTGTATTGTTTGTTGTTGTAACGTTCTGACCAGCCCCTATTGGACATCTGTGAGAAAAAGAGCTTCATAGCTCATCGGATTCCTCCAGAATAAATAAACAAACGTTATCATCGTCCTGCTCTGGACGCTGTTTCGTTGCCACGGAAACACGCAGCCGCTGTCGCCACGGCAACGGGCGCGTCTCGCGGGGCGGGGCAAGGCGCGTTGGTGGGCACCACGTGACGCTCGCGGGCCAATCGCGGCGCAGGGTCACGGCGTGGGGGTCAGGCCCAGGGCAGCGCATGGCGGCGTCGGCGCCCCCGGGCAGCAACGGAGCAGGAGGAGGAGGAGGACGAGGAGCAGCAGCAGCAGGAGGAGGAGGGCAGCTCCAGCAGGTGACGGGGCGAGGCACGGGGCACGGGGCACGGCCAAGCAGGGCTCCCCTTCATTAAAGGGGGCAGCGCCGCGGCCACGGTAGAGGGAGGCGGCCAACGTCAGAGCTGGAGCAAAGGCAGCAGGGCGCAAGGTTCCAGTGTACACAAGACAAAGGTCCCCCGTGTAGCCTGAACAGACTGCTGGGGCAAGTGCTGTTAGCGAGTAGCAGCACTACGAAGGCCGACACGAGGGGGTGGGTGGGTGGCCCGCCCGCCGCTGTCTCCCCAGTGCTGATGTTGACACACACTGCACCTGGAACTCATCTTTAAGGTTGAGTTGACCTAAGGGAGACCCGTGACCGGTTAAAATATTCGTGTCCACTGCTCCCCGTCGTGAGCGGGAATGGAAATCGGCTCGCCAGGTTCGGAGCGCGGTGCGCTACTCACTGCGCCACCGCTCCCCAACTCGGTGTACGGGGCAACTTCTGAAGTTTACGGGGCAGGAGGGCACAGGGGGCACGGCCCCAGTGTGTTGGGGAGGGCAGGAGGGCACAGGGGGCACGGCTCCAGTGTGTCGGGGCAGGGCTCCAGCACAGGGGGCATGGCCCCAGTGGATCGGGCAGGGCTCCAGCACAGGGGGCACGGCCCCAGTGTGTTGGGGAGGGCAGGAGGGCACAGGGGGCACGGCTCCAGTGTGTCGGGGCAGGGCTCCAGCACAGGGGGCATGGCCCCAGTGTGTCGGGGCAGGGCTCCAGCACAGGGGGCATGGCCCCAGTGGATCGGGCAGGGCTCCAGCACAGGGGGCACGGCCCCAGTGTGTCGGGGCAGGGCTCCAGCACAGGGGGCACGGCCCCAGTGTGTTGGGGCAGGGCAGGAGGGCACAGGGGGCACGGCTCCAGTGTGTCGGGGCAGGGCTCACGGCAGGGGGCACGGCAAGGGACAGCCACTGGTTGCCGTTACGCGATGGACGCAACATTGATGTCTGCTCCTGTTCATTCATCACCGTGAACCTTGCCCTATCCGCTGTTGGCTTGAGTCTTCTCCGCACTGCCGGCAATGACTGCGCGCTGTCACCACCCGCCCTGTCGCCGCGGCTTCGTCGGCACAGTCGAATAGACGGCACTGCGGCGGGGTGGTGGTGCGGTTGTGGGTCGTGGCATCGTGCGGCGCGGCTAAACCGGGACGGGGGATCAACAGCGCGGTCCGCTGGGGCCTCATTGTGGCAAGAGCGTGTGGTGTGGGATCGGGCAGCGCGGTGTGGGGCGATGGTGGCGCGTGGTTGACGGCGTGGTCCGGCGTCGTCGTTGCAGACCAAGCTGGTGAGCGACCAGCCGTACGACGAGAGCCTCGACGTGACGGACACAGAGGAGGTGGAGACGCCGACGCCGCGACAGACCGCAGGTGACCGTCGCTGCTCCCGCCGATCTGAGACACACCGCGACCACCAGTCACAGTTCTTCGGTCCTGGGGCTCAAGGGACAGACTACTGGGCGTGTTCGTTGATGGGTGTCGCGTAACTGCGTAGGACAACGGGGTGTAGAGATATGGTTGCGTTCGGAATATGTTTAGGGATAAGGTTGAGTTGGGGTTCGGGATAGTGTGGGGCTAGTGCAGGGGGTGGCGATCGAATTCGGTAACAAGAACTCATTATTTCAAGAGCCCCAATGCACATGAATGCGAGGCGGTGGTCCTTAATAAGTAACGGTCACGAAGCAGCCCTTAAAGAGACGGAGGTTATCGACCCCTGGGCTAGTGGATGATGTTGGGTTAAGTGTAGGGGTTGGGGATAGGTTAGCTTAAGGATAGGGTTCGAGTAAAGTGTTAGGCTAAGGATAACACTAGGGATAGGGTTACGTTAAGGATAGGTTTAGGAGATGGGGTTGGGTAGGGTTAAGGAAAGGGTAAGGGATAGGTTGGGCTGGCTTAAACATCTCACTTGACTGCAGAAATGTATGTCAGTGGGGCAGTATGTAACGCTACGTCGCCACTCACACTCGCCTTCGTATCTGCCCAGCGGTGCTCTAACACCATCTGTCCACCAGTAATGTGATGATACTCACACAATGCTGATAACAATTTACAATATTGAACCTGGAGCACAGTGGCATTCTACTCAGATCCAGTGTGTAGTGAACTAAGGCATATATACTATGAATCATTTGTTGAATGTTTTATTTAGAGGGACACTTTGATTTTACATTTAAAGCTATCCTTTGTAGCTTAAACTTTAGGGGGGAAGTGGGGGCAACATCGCCCCCCCTACTGGCAGACTAATGCCCATTTTCAGGCCGGTGTTGCATTCACCTTTTCCGCACAGGGACAGCTGCCACCAGGAGGTCCCCTTGTCTGGAGTACAGCAGGCCCTTGCAAGGGTTGAGATGAGACGTGTTGTAAGGTCCTTTGATATACTGAGGCAGTGGTGGCGATGCACCCGGCTTGTAATCCAGCACAGTGGAGGTAGCGAGGGTTCGTGGATCACACAAATGCTGCGAAACTCCCTTCCCTTGGAGATCGAGGTGCCATATCCTGGCTCACCAGGAGGAGATAGTACAGAAAATGTGGACTAATATCATCTGTCCTTTCTGTATAGCATAGAGTGTCGCGCCCTCGCATGCGTGAGGTTTCTCCGGGTGCTCTGGTTTCCTCCCACGTGTGTATGAACACTCATTACTTGACCGATAATTCCTTTATCGAGGACCGCAGAACTTTGAGCTGCTGCTGCCTTCCCGCTCGCCTGCGGTTCCTCCTCGCACCTCCGAGTCGTTATCGCTCTCCGAGAGTTACCGATGCTGTGCAGCGTGCAAGTAGAGCTCATTGTTGTATTATTATAAATGCACATTATTATCCTCGATCGCGTGACCCCGTGTGACTCCCGTGTGACCCCAGCCCGAGAACCAAGTGCAGAACGGCGCTCCAAGATGTCGGAGGCCAGCGATGACGATGACGCCCAGGTGAGCGGCCCCAGACGGAGAACGGGGCAGCACATGGAGAACAGGGTGGGGAGCACACGGGGCAGTGAATGGCGAAGGGGAGAGGGCAGGCGGCAAGGCCAGGGCGGCCAGCACTCGCGCTCCTCTCCACACCTCGCCTGCTCCTGCAGTCTATGGCAGGGATGCTGCTCATTGTTCCAAGCAGCCTTTTATCCGTTAGAATGTTAATTTCCATAGTTACTTCTTATAATTCTAGATTTGAAGTTTTCGTGACTGCAAGGATTCATACTCTTTGGTTTTTTGGGTAAAATCACGTAGGTAAAAAATTTAAATAAATTAAATCTCGACGTTTCGGGCGCAACACAAGCGTCCTTCTTCAGGTGGGGACAACTTATCGAAAGCACACCGCTTAAGTGTGTCCACACTTAAGCGGTGTGCTTAAGCTAAGTTGTCCCCACCTGAAGAAGGACGCTTGTGTTGCGCCCGAAACGTCGTGATTTAATTTATTTTAATTTTTTACCTACGTGACTTTTACTTCTTATAGTACTCTGCAAAGTTATTTCCTGCTCATATGAGCATTGAGGCATTGGTTCTCATCTCCTGTTAACAGCCCTGAGCCAGTGATGACTTTTCCACATTACTATGGTGGGGGCGAGTCTATCCATATGACAACCACTGTTGACTTCACTACAACGTAGTACATATTTTATCGACCCTGGAAGGATTTAAACTCGTAACCTTCTGATTGTGAGTTGCTAGCTCTACTGCTGAGCCACCCGAGTGGATAGTAATGGGCATGATAACGTTAGTTTGGGTACAGCGGTGGAGGCTAGCACGCCTCTCTATGAATCCAGTGACCTGAATTCAATATACAGCCACAGCTGGCATTGGCGATGAGAGATATCTGAACCAGTCCTGTACCTGTAGTAATGTCTTACGGCTGGTATATCTCATCACTACCATTGTCATCGTGTCCGCGGAGTTAGTGGGTACTGCACTCCAGCAGCGCGAGACTAATGGTGGCCCCTTGGCCTGCTGACGTGTGCCTACGTGCCTGTGAAGAAGAGCCATGAGGAAGACTCTGATGAGGAGTCGGAGGAGTCCGAATCTGAAGAAGACAGAATGCACGGAGCCCCTCCCGAAGGGTACCACATGCACACACAAGACAAAGATATATATTCTTCACAGACTGCTCGGGCAAGTGCTGTCGGCAAGCATCGATGAAGGCCGGCACGGCACACGAGAGGGTGGGTGGACAGTACCTCGCCCGGCCGCCGTTATCTCCCCAGTGCTGATGTTTACATATTGCACCAGGTACTTATTTGAAGCTGAGTCGACCTAGGGGAGGCCCAGGACCAGTTCAGATAATCGTCACTGGTGTTGGCCGTGAGCGGGAACCGAACTCGGGTCGCCAGGGTTGTAGCGCAGCACACTAACCATTGTGCCGCCACTCCTGAAAACCCGCATACATACACGCACACACCCGCGTTGCGTACGCATTCCATGTGCATTCACGTTTACGCGTGTGCGTGCAGCGCGTACGACCCTGCAGATTACGAGCACCTGGCCGTGTCTGCGGAAGTGAAGGAGCTGTTCCAGTACATCACCAGGTGAGCTCACTCGACGCTCACCCGGGCCACGGGCTTGGCTCTCCCTTCTCAGGTTCGCTCAGTCTGCGATGTTATCACTCTGAATTGACATGATCGTCTCAGATCTTAGAGGCTGATCAGGGTTGAGCTTTGCAATTGGAATGTTGCGAGTTCCAATCCCTTGTTGGGGTTGACTCGGCCCATCATCCCTTTGGGATTGATAAATTGAGTGCCACTTTGTGTGGGGAAGTCAACAGTGGTCAATCGATTAATGTTTATTACGCAGAAAGTCCCATGCAGACAGTTAGTTACCCAACTAGTTTTCAAGCAAGATTCGTGTTGCATCAACACAGAACAAGAGCAAGGATGTCATAGTAATCCATAAGCAGGAACTGACAGCAACAGAACAGAGTGCGTCAGAGGTGCAGCCACAAATAGTGATAAAAAACTATTAACAAAATAAATAACAACGTTTGTTTAGGCTACAGTGGGTTACTTTACGGTCCATAGTTTGGGTTGCATGGCCACAATCACCTAAAATATTATAATAAAGTATTACCATGAGTTTATTGTCCCAATGGCCACTATGCCCCCTTGCAATGCGTGTGCCCGCATGTGCGCTGTGCCCCCTGTAATGCATGCTGCGTCTGGGGGGTGCGTGCGCGCTGCGTGCATGCAGGTACACCCCTCAGACGATCGAGCTGGACATGAAACTGAAGCCGTTCATCCCAGACTTCATCCCGGCCGTGGGCGACATCGACGCCTTCCTCAAGGTGCTTTTCTCTCCTCTCCCATCCCCGTCACACGGCGGGGCGCAGTGGTGGTGAGGGAGCTCGGTCGGTTGTGGTGGTAGTGGGAGTAGTAGTGGTGGTGATTGGAGTGGTGATGTCGGTGGTAGTGGGAGTGGTGGTATTGGTGGGAGTGGTCGAAGTAATGGAAGGGGTTTTGGTGTCTGTCTGTGTGTCTGTATGTATGTATGTGTGGGTGTGTGTATCTGTCTTTTGCATCTGTGTGTGTGGTGTGTATCTGTCTTATGTGTCTGTGTGTCTGTCTACGTGTGCGTCTCCCGGGAATAGTAGTGCAGCGGTTAGCGCGCTGCACTACGAACCCAGTGAGCCGAGTTCGATACCGCTCACGGCCAATTTTGGCGATAAATATCTGATCCATTCCTGGGCCTCCCCGAAGTCCATGTGACCTTTAAATGAGTACCTGGTGCAGTAGGCATTAGTTTTGGGGAGTCGATGGTGGCCGGAGTTGTTGTTGGCCACTTGCCTCGACTGCCTGTTAACAGCTATCTGGGGGTTCTGTGTGTGTAGGTGCCTCCTCCAGATGGCAAGCCAGACACGCTGGGTCTCACGGGTCTCGACGAGCCGTGCGCGCGTCAGTCCGACCCCACCGTGCTCACGCTGTGGCTCACGGAGAACTCCAAGCAACACGCCACTCCTGTACGTACGCACACTTGCGCACGCGCTCATAACAACGCACTCGCGTGCGCTCGCACACAAAACTAATTTCTCCCTTGGAGCGTTTTCAGGCTGTAAACACACACAGACCATCATACAGAGACATGCACAGTTACGCTGTCAGACACAGTCACACAACAGAGATGCACAAACATACAGACACACAGATATAGACACACAGTTGTTGTGAGTCATGGCACGTGTATTGACGTGGTGTGTATATTGACGCGGTGTGGCGGTGGTGTGGTTGTCTGTCGGTGGTGTGGTTGTCTGGCGGTGGGGCTTGCACGTGCAGCATGTGAAGGTGCGGAGTGTGGAGGAGGCAGAGAGGAACCCGCGCACGCTGGAGGCATGGGTGGAGAGCATCTCCGAGCTCCACCGAGCCAAGCCTCCACCCAACGTGCACTACACCAAGTGCGGCACAACTACCCAGCCACCCACCCAGTCACCCAGCCACCCACCCAGCCACCCACCCACCCAATCAGCAGTCGCCTCGCATGCTTATGACGGAGGTGTGCCCGTGCGTGTGTGTGTGAGCGTGCAGGCCGATGCCTGACATCGAGAGCCTTATGCAGGAGTGGCCCCCGGAGTTTGAGGAGCTTCTCTCCAAAGTGAGTGGCACCACGACCCCCACATTCCTCATCTTCTTCACCTTTTCACACACTGAGCACACACACTGAGCGCATTCACTGATCACACACACGTAGCACACGTAGCACATATACGTTTACGTGCCGCACTTTGGCACGTGCTCTCGCTGGAACATGCGTCCGTCGTTTCTGGTTGTGTCGTTTGTTTATGTTTGGAGGAAAGCGTCGTCGAGTGTCGGGTATCCTTCCTAGAGAGCCGACCGTGAGTTCAAGGGCCACGAGGAGGCAGGGGTTGGGAAGCTGGCCCCCCCGCCTCCGTTCTGTCTGCGTGTAAATAAAATAAATATCACTTTTTAGTCTATTGGTTTGCCAAACCAATAACATCAAGCAGAATTTGTATATGCACGGAAACCGTGGATCAGTTCCGACCTTCTTGGTCTCATTCTTGGAATCAGGATTGTGTAAATAAGGCTGCCGGATTACTCGATGTGATTTACAAAAGCACTGCATGTAGACGGATGTAGATAAGCAACCATGGGAATGATGCCTTCAACTCTCGAGGGAGGGAGGGATGTGTTGACGTTTGGCCGATGATGATTCTGGTGACGCGTGTGCAGGTCAGCCTCCCCTCGGCTGATGTCAGCTGTGACCTGCCCCAGTACGTGGACCTGGTCTGCGGTGAGTGCCCCGGTGCCCTCCCCTGCCCCCTCCCCTCCTCCCTCGCCCCCTCCCCTCCTCCCTCGCCACCTCCCCTCCTCCCTCCCACTCTTCCTCAATATTTAGATTTGCATTCACCCATATTCCAGTCCCCCCTCCCTTTTGCCTTCAAATCACGAGTTAAAACGCATATATTTGACAGGCCCTGCTTCTCCCTTTCCCCACATCGTTCTATTCCCACTGTGCGGGGCTTTGAGTTGTTTGGTCACATGATTTAGGACCGTAGAAGTAAAAGTTGTTGTTGTTTGGTGAGGAGTAGTGGTGCGTTGGTTAGTGCATTGCACTACAGACCCAGCGACCCGAGTTCTATTCCTTGCTTATGGCCGACATTGGTGATAAATATTTGAACCGGTCCTGGGCCTGTCCTAGGTAAACTCTGCCCTGAGTGAATACCTGGTGCGATGCGTAAATGAGCACTTGGGGAGACAAAGGTGGTTGGGCATAGCACCAGCACTTGCCCCAACAGTCTGTGGAGGCTGTAAGGTGGAATTTTGTCTTTGGTGGTGGTGGTGGTGATCGTGCTGTGGCTATGTTTGGGGCAGCCATCTTGGACGTACCGGTGTACAAGAGTCGCGTGCAAGCGCTGCACGTGCTCTTCACACTCTACTCCGAGTTCAAGAACTCACAGGTGAGACGACGACCGCTCGATACAACCACACTCAACAGCTCAATACAACCACACTCAACAGCTCAATACAACCACACTCAACCACTCAATACAGTCACACTCAACCACTCAATACAACCACACTCAACCACTCAATACAATCACACTCAACCACTCAATACAACCACACTCAACCACTCAATACAATCACACTCAACCACTCAATACAAGCACACTCAACAACGTGATACAACCACACTCAACCACGTGACTCAACCACACTCAACCACGTGACACAACCACACTCAAGCACGTGACACAACCACACTCAACCACGTGGTACAACCACACTCAACCACGTGACACAACCACACTCAACCATAAATTTTGATTTGAAGCTTTCGTGACTGCAGGAATTCATAGTCTTGGTTCTTTCTGTAAAGTCACGTATAAGGGAAACAATAAAATAATAAAAATATAAAACAATAAAATTATCACGACGTTTTGACTGCAACACAAGCAATCATCATCAGGTGTGAAAACGTGAGAATTTTATTGTTTTATATTTTTACTAGCATAAGTACCCGGCGTTGCCCGGGTGAAAAATATATTTCTTAATAACCTTACATATATACACAGATGGGCTGCTACCCCTGCCCCCCCCCCCCCAGCCACGATCTCCTCGGCCGCTGTGCAGTAATATGTACAGCCTATAGTGTGGTGGGGTGTCGAGGCCTAGTCCCGTGCAGAGCCTCCGGCCTCGCCTAGATTGCCCACCCGGCTGAGGCTGGGTACCGGGGCCGTTACCCCCCCCCCCCCCCCGCGCTACAATAATACTGTCTAATCGCTGTAATTTAATTATCTACCGACCCTATAATAGTAATTGCACACATTGGGGTGGCGGGGGAGTGAAGAGGACGTGAAACTTTGATGAATTTACCTCAGAGTCGCGTGGTGGGTGTCGAGGCCTAGTACCGTGCAGAGCCTCCGGCCTCGCCTAAATTGCCCACCCGGCTGAGGCTGGGTACGGGTGCCGTTCCCCCCCCCCCCCCCCGCGCTACAATAATACTGTCTAATCGCTATAATTTTATAATCTACCGACCCTATAATAGTAATTGCACACATTGTGTTGGGGGGGGAGTGAAGAGGACGTGAAACTTTGATGAATTTACCTCAGAGTCGCGTGTTAATGCGTGCGCCTATTTTTAACGGGAATTAAAAATGGCGTCCACCCCGCGGCGAATGCGTCGCTACCCGTTGCCAGGGGCAACCGCCGGACCAATCGTGTCTCGCAAATCCCTGACATTTCGTCCAATGAAACTGCGTATGGTCCGATACACAGACACACACACAGACAGACAGATTCGCGATTTTATATATATAGATTATTTTATTGTTTCCCTTCTACGTGACTTTACCGAAAGAACCAAGAATACACACTCAACCACTCAATACAACCACACTCAAACGCTCGATACAACCACACTAACCGCTCGATACAACCACACTCAACCATCGTCACAACTGCATTGTGTTCCATCATTGTGTCACGGTGTTTATTGGGCCAGGATGCGCCCTTCTCATGCGGTAGCCGGCAATGGCGGCCTCATGTCAATAGGGGGCAACAGAGGGGCTGAGCCCAGTGCTGAGAGTCGATGCGCCATAGGGTCCAACGGTTACCCTGTGGAGCAGCGTGTAAGAGGGGCAGACCCCAGACCCCAGGAGGGGGGCTGGAGGATGACATCATCCCCGGATCCTTTTCGAAGGTTCGAGAAGGAAGGCGTGGCCGGGGCGGAGCGAGCCACGGCTCTGTATAAAAGACGGACCTTTGGACGGTCCGGGAGTCGTCGTCCAGCTGAAGACAAGAAGCCTCATGAAGACTGAAGAGCCACAAGGACAGAGCCGTGCCCCTGGCAAGTGTCGGCTCTAAAAGCTATACCAGTGAAGACTGAAGAGCCCTAAGGGCAGAGCCGTGCCCCTGGCAAGTGTCGGCTCTAAAAGCTATACCAGTGAAGACTGAAGAGCCCCAAGGGCAGAGCCGTGCCCCTGGCAAGTGTCGGCTCTAAAAGCTATACCAGTGAAGACTGAAGAGCCCTAAGGGCAGAGCCGTGCCCCTGGCAAGGGTCGGCTCAAGCTTATTACCAGTGAAGATTCCAGCTTCACTCGGGGAGGACTTTCAGATTAGCCTGTAAGAGGCGTATTAGACTGGGGGGCACACTCTCCATCGTGTATCGGGTTTGAGGGGCCGTGACCCTCTGTGTTAACTGTTAATTGTTAAAATAAACCCGTGTTGCCTCGGATAAGTTTCCTCTCTGTTTTGAACCCACTACAATTGCATGGACTGCTGCCATATGTGTTATGCGGCCTCACACAAGCACAATGATCTCCCATGTAGCCTGCATAGGCCATTGGGGCAAGTTCTGTTAGCGAGCACCTATGCAAGTCTGTGGATCTCTGTGTAAGTCTGTGTCCCTGTCTGAGTCATTGATTGTGTTGCAGCACTTCAAGTGGCTGGCTGAGAAGGGGGGCGTGGGTGAGGCTGGCAGTGCCCCCCAGGCGAGTGAGCCGGAGGCCGAGACCCTGACTGTGGACTGAGAAGGCTCCCCACCACTTTCCCACACACACACCACTCACATTACATCACCAGCACACCGCATCATACCAGCACCACCCCACACACCATAAAAACCACACCAGCAGTACGGTACACCACACCTGTGGTATGCCATTCACACCACGCATATCATACCGGTGGCACATTTGCATCATACCTGCAGCATCCAACACCAGTATCGCATCATGCACCCCACACACCACTGATATGACACTAGCAGCACGCTACATTGTACCATGAGGACCCCATACGAGCAGCACACCAAACACACCACGGCAGCGGCACATCACACCAGCAGCATGGCCACACACGCGCCTGGCAGGTGCGTGTGTTCTCTGCGTTCCCCACCTGCGCCCCTTCGTCGTCTACCGTTCTCGTGTCACTGCACTGTTGTTGTCGTCTTTTATTTTCATGAAATAAACAGAAGTAAAAATGTCTCGTCATCTCAATGGGCCACAGAAGGAAATAGTGAGATAGGCTGCGTGGTAAAAGTATGTGTGTGGGTGTATATTGATTACCTGATGAGAAATGTAAACATCGCCATTAGGGAGACAAAGGCGACCGGGCGTGGTGTTGGCCACCCACCCCTTTACTGGCTGTCGCGGTTGTGCTGCACAGCTCGTCAATGTGATTGTGGGTTTACTCTGTGCCGTGCACGACATCCGACGTTTCGCTCCACGCTGCTGAGAGCTTGGATTCAGTTCCTGAAGCAGGTCCCTGCCACGTGGAGCGAAACGTTGGACGTGCCGAACGACACGAGGTCACAAATCCCGAAACAACACATCGGAGAGCTGACGTGCACAGGACCCAGAACCGAATGGGGTGACGCCAACGATGAGAAATTTGCCGAGCTGGCGTCGTCGGGTCCGAAGAGGAACTTTCATTTCCCCGAGCGAGTCTCGCTCTGAGCGAGTTTGGCAGCAGCTGTGGGACTGTGATAAGAATCGCCGTGATGGTGAAATCAACAGCGCGCGCACGGTCCTATGCGCAGTTGTTTGACCACGACTCGATGCACGGAGCCACGCTCACAGAGACATAGGCTCACAGAGACCCACAGACTCACAGACCCACAGAGACCTACAGACTCACAGACCTACAGACCCACAGAGACCTACAGACTCACAGAGACCTACAGACCCACAGAGACCCATAGACTCAGAGACCTACAGACCCACAGAGACCTACAGACTCACAGAGACCCACAGAGACCCATAGACTCAGACCTACAGACCCACAGAGACCTACAGACTCACAGAGACCTATAGACTCACAGAGACACAGACTCAGAAATCCATAGACTCATATTCTTAGGTTTTTTCGGTAAAGTCACCTAGGTGAAAGTAAATAAATAAATGAAATACATAATAATATAAATACAATTATTATTTTATTTTATAAATAATAGAAAAAAATATTATTTTATTATTATTATTATTGCTATTATGTGTATAAAATATATATTATTATTTATTTATTTTTTCGTACGTGACTTTACCGAAAAAACCTAAGAGTATGTATGAATCCTTGCAGTCACGAAAGCTTCAAATCTAGAACCCATAGAGGCATCGACTCATCCTTCCCCCTAAACCCCCCTCCCCGCCGCCCCTGGTGTCACGTGACCTACGCAGCCGCGCGCTCACCGTAGCGGTGACGTCAAGTGTCGCTATGGGGATGGAAGTCGCCCTCGGGGCTCTTGCGGCCGCGAGGCGCCCTCGGGGCGGAGAGAAGCGCAGCTCTGGAGCCTGGGCGAGAGAGACGCGGCGGGGGAGCGAGAGAGACGGCGCGGCAAGAGTCGAGGGGCAGGAGGCGAGCACGGAGGTGAGCAAGCGCCGCCTCTGTCCCTGTGTCCCTGCCTGGGTCTCTCTGCTCATGTGTCTCCCCGTGGGGTTCTCCGTGTCTCTCATTCCTGTCTCTACCTGGGTGGCTCTCCTCACGTGTCTCTCTGTGTCGATGTCTCTCACCGTGTCTCTCACTCCTGTCTCTACCTGTGGGGCTCTCCGTGTCTCTCCTCATGTGTCTCTCTGTGTCTATGTCTCTCACCGTGTCTCTGTGTCTCTCCCTGCCTCCCTGTGGGGTGCTCCGTGTCTCTCCTCATGTGTCTCTCTGTGTCTATGTCTCTCACCGTGTCTCTGTGTCTCTCCCTGCCTCCCTGTGGGGTGCTCCGTGTCTCTCCTGTCTGTACCTGTGGGGTTCTCCGTGTCTCTCCTCACGTGTCTCTCTGTGTCTATGTCTCTCACCGTGTCTCTGTGTCTATGTCTCTCACCGTGTCTCTGTGTCTATCTCTCTCACCGTGTCTCTGTGTCTCTCCCTGCCTCCCGAGGAGTTCCTCGACCCCAGGCGACTGTCCCTGTTTGTCTCCCTCGAGTCTCGCAGTGTCTCTCTGGCCGTCTCTCTCCGTTCCCCCTGGACCCGCGTCTCCCCCCCCCCCCCCACCACGGACGCTGTCTGTCTCTTCCTCTTTCCGCGTCTCTCCTCGCTTCCACACGCGTCCTCGTGCCTCCTCCAGACGCCCCACGCCTCTCTCTGCTCGCTTCTCTCAACCACGCGCCTCCTCGTGCCTTCGGGTTCCTGACCCCAGGCTCCGGGTTCCTGACCCCAGGCTCCAGGCTCCGGGTTCCTGACCCCAAGCTCCAGGCTCCGGGTTCCTGACCCCAGGCTCCGGGTTCCTGACCCCAGGCTCCGGGTTCCTGACCCCAGGCTCCGGGTTCCTGACCCCAGGCTCCGGGTTCCTGACCCCAGGCTCCAGGCTCCTGACCCCAGGCTCCGGGTTCCTGACCCCAGGCTCCAGGCTCCGGGTTCCTGACCCCAAGCTCCAGGCTCCAGGTTCCTGACCCCAGGCTCCGGGTTCCTGACCCCAGGCTCCGGGTTCCTGACCCCAGGCTCCGGGTTCCTGACCCCAGGCTCCGGGTTCCTGACCCCAGGCTCCAGGCTCCTGACCCCAGGCTCCGGGTTCCTGACCCCAGGCTCCGGGTTCCTGACCCCAGGCTCCAGGCTCCTGACCCCAAGCTCCGGGTTCCTGACCCCAGGCTCCAGGTTCCGGGTTCCTGACCCCAGGCTCCAGGCTCCGGGTTCCTGACCCCAAGCTCCAGGCTCCAGGTTCCTGACCCCAGGCTCCAGGTTCCTGACCCCAGGCTCCGGGTTCCTGACCCCAGGCTCCGGGTTCCTGACTCCAGGCTCCGGGTTCCTGACCCCAGGCTCCGGGTTCCTGACCCCAGGCTCCGGGTTCAGAGTCCGCAGACTCCGGGTTCAGAGTCCGCAGACTTCGCTGTGCGGATGCGACTCAAGTGGCTGGCGGCGATACTCGAGGCGAGTCCCTCCACCACCCCAAGTGTCCCCTAGCCCCGCACCTCCTAGCCCCGCACCTCCTAGCCCCGCACCTCCTAGCCCCGCACCTCCTAGCCCTGTACTTCCTAGCCCTGCACCTCCTAGCCCCGTACCTCCTAGCCCCGTACCTCATAGCCCTGCACCTTCTAGCCCCGCACCTCCTAGCCCCGCACCTCCTAGCCCTGTACCTCCTAGCCCTGTACCTCCTAGCCCTGCACCTCCTAGCCCCGCACTTCCTAGCCCTGTACCTCCTAGCCCCACACCTCCTAGCCCTGTACCCCTAGCCCTGGACCCCCGAGGTCTGCATCACTGAGCCCTGTACCTCCTAGCCCTGCACCTACTAGCCCCATACCTCCTAGCCCTGCACCTCCTAGCCCCGCACCTCCTAGCTCTGTACCTCCTAGCCCCGCACCTCCTAGCCCTGTACCCCTAGCCCTGGACCCCCGAGGTCTGCATCACTGAGTCCTGTACCTCCTAGCCCTGCACCTCCTAGCCCCGTACCTCCTAGCCCCGCACCTCCTAGCCCTGTACCCCTAGCCCTGGACCCCCGAGGTCTGCATCACTGAGCCCTGTACCTCCTAGCCCTGCACCTACTAGCCCCATACCTCCTAGCCCTGCACCTCCTAGCCCCGCACCTCCTAGCTCTGTACCTCCTAGCCCCGCACCTCCTAGCCCTGTACCCCTAGCCCTGGACCCCCGAGGTCTGCATCACTGAGTCCTGTACCTCCTAGCCCTGCACCTCCTAGCCCCGTACCTCCTAGCCCCGCACCTCCTAGCCCTGTACCTCCTAGCCTCGTACCTCCTAGCTCCACACCTCCTAGCCCTGTACCCTTAGCCCCGCACCTCCTAGCCCTGCACCTCCTATCTCTGGTACCCCAACCCTGCACCCCCGAGGTCTGCATCACTGAGCCCTGTCTACCTGGTTGTTCCCCGGCACTTGAAGGGGGCGGACGGTGAGACGGCGCCACGATGCCGGTGGTGATTCCTCTGAACGAAGCGATGGAGCAGATGATATTGCTCACCATGGAGATGCTGGTGGTGACGATACACATGCTGACCGTCACCATGGAGATGCTCATCGTGATGATGCGCATGCTGACGGTGCTTATGGTGCTGATGATGCGGTTGCTGCTGGCGGTGGCGACGGCGCCCGTGGCGGTGGTGGTGGAGGCGCGCGGGATGGCGCGTCGGGCGGGCCCGCTGCTGATCGGCGTGGTCTGGCTGATCGGCCCGGGCCTCGCCAACGTCCAGACGGCCGAGTTCAACAAAGTGTACAACGGCTCGGTGATGAACGGCACGAGCGCCGTGTACGACTACAGCTACGTCCTCAACAAGGTGCCCGCTCTCCCAACCCCGACGATTTCGGCGACTCGGGTTCGGTTCCCGCTCACGGCCAGTACGAGTGACAATTTTCTGAACTGGTCCTGGGCTTCCCCTAGGTGGACTCAGCCTCAAATTAGTACCTGGTGCGATGTGTGAACATTGCCACTAGGGAGACAAAGGCGGCCGGGCGTGGTGCTCGCTAATATCACTCACCCCAGCAAGTCTTGAAGGCTACACCGTCGAAATGTCGACTTCTGTGTGTGTTAGCTGGTGTCCACGTCCACGTGGCCATGTCAACCTATAACCACGTGCCACGTGTGTTGGCCCCCCTATTCACAGTCATAGCGCCCGTCCGGCCACCATTCACAGTTGATCACTTCGTTGGCAGTGGTGGGAGCAGCCTTGTGCTTCCCACGATAGCGCCCTTGATCCCTCACTTCCTGTGTACAGTGGAAGCTCGGGTGGTGGATGATGGTGGGGCCGCCGGCTCGATTGGTCACGCGAAGCGCCGGTCCGCTGCTCGTGAGCGCCATGACGCGCGTGGCCACTGCTGCTGCTACCGCGTGTTTACCAATGGCCCTAAATATAACACGGTAGATCGCGTTTGGATTCAGCATACCTGAGAGGTAGCTACAACAACAATTTATCGGTCAGCTCACCACGAGGATGAAGGCCCTCTCTGCACAGTGCTCGGTCATGCTTGTTGTTTGACCATACTTCACTATTCTGGGGGGGGGGGGGGCGTCCTAATGAGTTTAGGATATTACGCGTAACTGATGTTAGCCGTGGCCGGGAATCGAACTGGATGCTAAATTTTGTAGCATTGTACGGGACCCACTGCACTACCGCTCTGCCCCTGCTGGACAGTGACATTTTGACATCACAGTGGCGTGTGGCGTGGTGCACGGTGTGGTGTGTGATGCACGGGGTCGTGTGGTGTGCGACATGTCGGTGCGGCGGGTTTTATCCTATGTGGTGTGCCCTGTGTGGTGTGCCCTGTGTGGTGTAATGTATCGAATGTGGTGCGTGGTGTGTAGACTGCAGCAGTGCGCGTGTGGGTGCAGAGCAGCTGGAACGACTCGACCGCCCCTCTGCTCTTCGTTGTTCAGCAGCAGCAAGGGGTGATGAGCTGGCAGCTTCCTATAGTGCTGCGGGGCACGTGAGTGATGCCAGCACATCGCCAACCAGCACGAACACTCCCAGCACACACTCCCAGCACACACACACAGCACACACACACACACTCCCAGCACACACACACCCAGCACACACACCCAGCACACACTCCCAGCACACACACCCAGCACACACACACCCTGCACACACACACTCCCAGCACACACACACTCCCAGCACACACACACACACAGCACGAACACTCCCAGCACACACACACAGCACACACATAGCACACACACACCTAGCACACACACACACAGCACACAAAGACCCAGCACGCACACACACACACAGCCAGCACACACACACACAGCACACACACACAGCACACACACACAGCACACACACACACACTCCCAGCACACACACACTCAGCACACACTCCCAGCACACACACTCCCAGCACACACTCCCAGCACACACACCCAGCACACACACACACACCCAGCACACACACATACACACCCAGCACACACACACACTCCCAGCACACACACACACCCAGCACACACACACACTCCCAGCACACACACACTCAGCACACACTCCCAGCACACACACACCCAGCACACACACACCCAGCACACACAGCACACACACACACACAGCATACACACACACACACAGCCAGCACACACACACACACAGCACACACACACACACAGCACACACACACACACTCCCAGCACACACACACACAGCACACAAAGACCCAGCACGCACACACACACACAGCCAGCACACACACACACAGCACACACACACACACAGCACACACACACCCAGCACACACACACCCAGCACACACAGCACACACACACAGCACACACACACTCCCAGCACACACACACCCAGCACACACACACCCAGCACACACAGCACACACACACACACAGCATACACACACACACAGCCAGCACACACACACACAGCACACACACACACACAACACACACACACATACTCCCAGCACACACACACACAGCACACACACACACACAGCACACACACACCCAGCACACACACACCCAGCACACACACACACACACAGCACACACACACTCCCAGCACACACACACCCAGCACACACACACCCAGCACACACAGCACACACACACAGCATACACACACACACGCACACTCCCAGCACCCAGCCAGAACCCAGCCAGCACCCAGCCGTAGACCTGCCGACAAATCACATAATGCACACCCAGACAAAATATACACCACCCAGAACAGTCCACGCGCTGCCAGTAAACACCCAGCCAGAGCACACCCCACTCGGATGCACATGCCGCTCGGCACAGACAGCCTGCCTGGGCTCACACGGCAGCTGGAACACACACAACCAGTCACGGTGCCAGTTAAGCCTCACTAATTGTGCAAATTTTTACTTTCCAGCCAGGCGTCCTACATAAGCGTCTACCACCCCCCCCCCCATGGTCATGTGAACTTTTCATAAATAAACCATTGCCAAACCATTGCTCCTCTGCAATGGACCCAAGTGACCTGGATTTTAGGCCATAAACACAACACGTTTACTGTATTAACCGCGATGTGAAGGAAGCTGCCACCGCGGGGTTATGGTGAGCAGCTCACCGGAGCTGCGATTCAGCTCGCCGATCCCACCTCCCGGCGCAGCAGTCCAAACAGCGATGCCGGTTTATTGAACCCCCACCCTTACGCCGTCTCTGTCTGCCCGGCAGTGTAGTCGATCATCGGCAGGTCCCGTGTGGTGGGTGGGGTAAAGTGTGGGTATATGCCCTTCACCTCCCAGACGTCTGTCCAGCATGGAAGAGTAGGCCAAATATCACGACAGAGCTCCCTCTTCCCTGACATTTTCAGGATTATAGCCCATATACAGGTTGTGAAGCGAATTTAATTATAACAATACATATATTTAAACAAATTATATTCCAACAATATCAAAATAATCGACGTGAAAGAAATGCCAGTGGAATGTTCCAGCATCACGAGATGTTTCTGGAACGCATAGCCCACGCGGCGGTTCCACAACGTTCACTGCACAGTGGTGCATTGCAATGCACCGGTATGTCATAGAACACCGGTGTGTTGCAGCAAAGTTCCAGGTGCACCGCCGCCGCCGTTGTGCGATCAATCCACTGTTGGCTGAAGGGCCCACAGTATTCTTTTTGTTGTTGGGTGTGCTGTGAAGATAGTTGAGAAGCCGTGCGGCGTAGAGGCCGAAACAGGGACTGCCCGCTACGGGGTGACACGTGGGACACCGTGAATCTGCACGTGTCACTTCGAGGACAAAGGTCATACGTGTCAGGCTCTTTGTTTGTTCGTGTGTGTGCGCGCGTGCGTTGTTTGCGTGTCTGTGTGCGTGTGTGCGGCTCAGCACGGGAATTCCCTTCCTCTACCTGGAGGCGGGACGCACTCTGTGCACGCCGGAGCTGGCCGTGGAGCCGGGCCGCAGGCCACCTGCGGCGCCCGAGCGCCGATTCACGGTGACCGTGGGCTCCCAGGCCTCGCACGTCATCAGCTTTCAGCTCAAGGCCCACCACCTGTACCCCTTCATCCTCAAGTGAGGCCCACGGGAGCCGTCGCAAACAGATCCTGCGACCCCGCAACCACGCAACCACGCAAACCACGCAACCCACGCAACCAACGCACCCATCGCCAACCTACGCAACCACTGCAACCCCGGCAACTGACAGGACCGCGGCAAACCCACGCACCCACCGCCAACTCGCATAACCACAACCCCGGCAACCCACACAACCACAGAAACCCATACACCCACTGCATCCCTTGTTGTGTGCAACGTTTCGTACTGTGTGTGCTGTGTCCGTGACCCACGCGCTGTGTCTCGTACTGCGATACCGTTTCTCGTACTGCGATACCATGTTTCAGCTCATGCGTGTGCCGTGTCCCGTGCCAGGGCGGGAGAGATGAAGTCACTGAACGCCACACCTTCGCAGCCACAGGTGAGTGCGCAGGGATGGCGATGGGTGTGCAGGCGCAGCGGGGTGTGCGCGGAGGGGTGTGCGTTGAGGTGCGGGTGATCGGAGTGTGTGGGGGATAGCGCGAGTGCGAGTGTTGGGAATGTGAACTGCACTGTGTGAGTATGTACAACGGCTCTTACCCCAACAATCGGTTAGATGCTATGCGGAGGATTTTTATCTTTGTAAGTATATGGGGAATGGTGGTGCTGTGGTTAGCACACTGCGCTACGAACCCGGCGAACAATAACAGTGGCGACTATCCAAACCGGTCCTGGGCCTCCCCGAGGTTGACATCAACGCTTGTGAGACAAAGGCGGCCGGGCATGGTGTTGACCACCCACCCACCTGCCATACCGGCCTTCATAGATGTTCACAAACAGCACTTGCCCCAAGTCTCCTAACGGCTATATGGGGGATCTTTGTCTTTATCTTGTTGGAGTGCGAGCTCATAGTCGTGTGAGCTGTCCTTGTGCCCCGCCCCTCCCATGCCCCCTCCCCACCCCCCTTGCATGGCGTCCTCAGTACCTGCTGTACGAGTTCCGGGACGGCGAGGACTCGGTGGTGGTGGAGGTGCAGGCCCGTGGCCTGCGCCGAAACAGCACCCTGCCCTGCAGCGTCCTCTCTGTGCAGGACGTGGGGGTGAGCAGGGCGCGGGGGGAGGGGGGCTACTTGAGGTCGCGACGTCAGGCTTACACCACCACGGTCTCCTCCAGCTCATGGCGACAGCCTTCGTGCATTAGCGCCGTCTGTTTGTCAGTCTCTCCTTCTGTAGCCGGGGTGGGAGGTGCGACGACTCTCGTAGCGATGATCCATCTTGAAATCAATCTTAGCGTGACCCCCACGCCACCGCGCTCCGTCTTCCCGCTTTTCACTCTCTTTACGCTGCACTTCCCCAGTGATGGTTAAATACATCCCGCACGACGCGCTCAGCACTTAACGGTATCTGCGTCACGCTAAACGCGTGTACACGCACAACGCGTGTACACGCACGTGGGAAGACAGAGCATGGTGACGGGGGGATCGTGCTGACTGGGGTTTAAGAAACCTCGCTGAAGTGCAAAATTGCGTTTCAATTTGGGAGTCGCCGTAGAAAAAAACGGACACACTGATTGATGGCTAAGGCATTGTTGCCCTGAAAAATTACCGAATACGCAAATGCGTTGTGCCGGGACAGCTTACCGGATGGGTGCGTGTTCCATTGCACTTGCATTGTCTGCCTCTTATCTTCCGTCTCATTTGTCCTTCCAGTGGTAGTAATAATAATACTCTCAGCCTGTATTGCACCACCACCCTCCGCCGCACAGCGAGAGAGAAAATGTCTCAGAGGCGAGAAGAGGAATCGCAGATGAGGCAGGCGTCGGGCAGGTGCTGAGAAACTGGCGCTAGTAAATGTGGGAACAGAGTTTCACAACATCGGTGTGCGATCCACCAACCCTCGCTGCCGCCTTGACAACAGTGCCGGGTCACAGGCCACGCGCAGCAGCGTAGCCACCAGGAACCCAGAGGCAGCACGGCGTTGCGTGCGATCTGCACGGCTATGAAACAAATCGGTTCCCAGGCACAGTTGTTGGGTGTATGTGCCGTGAACAAAACGCTCGATTGTGATGACGGCCGTGGACTAATGGAGGCCTGGCTTCTCAGTGCCCTGTGAACGACCTGGACCAGAACGTCGACTTCTCCGGGGTTTACCAGACGATGACGTCGCGGGCAGCCATCACTGTGCAGGTGACGAGCACACCTTCGTACATACGCACCGAAGTACAAACATGAAAACAAATATCCCCTGTATAGCTTTAACAGACTGTTGGGGCAAGTGCTGTTAGCTGTTAGCGAGCAGCACCTACGAAGGCGAGCACGGCACACGAGGGGGTGCTTGTAACTTGCTGACCCCATGACCCTACGCCCCTGCTTCACATTTGTGAAAGTAACTTCGTTGCTCATCGGATTCCTCCTGCAGTCTAAATAAAGATTCTGATGTGGCCAGAGCCACGACTGGCCACCTTTGTCTGCCCAGTGCTGATATTTACACACCACACCAGGAGCAGTGTAGATGACCACGACTAAGCGGCAATACGAAGTCTGCTGGCTGGATTTGTAAAGCAGTGTGCTAACTACTGCACCGCCGCTCCCTGCATGTGTTTATATGTACACATTTATATGTATACACTGACCCACGTGTGCACATGCAGATGCATATATAACAACAACCGCCGTTCGCCACAAAGTGGCCTTGATGTCAGCACAGCGCTTGTGCCAGCCGGCCTCGGTGCACTTTGAGGCCGTGAAGTGTTTAGTTTGTTGTCATTCTCCCGCACCTCCGATTAGCACGGTTGGCTATGTACGGTGTGAAAGAAGTTCAACATACATGTGAAGTGTTGAAGGCTCGCTGCAGACAGGAGATCACTGGACACCCATTGCCGTGGGTTCACTACCTGAGATGACTGGCAGATGCACCACCTGTGCTCCCCACTGTGCCAGATGGCACTGTTGGCACCCGTGCACAGACACACACACACACGTGTATGCCGCCACCCACACACGCACACACACACAGACACACACAGACACACACACACACACGTGTATGCCGCCACCCACACACGCACACACACACACAGACACACACACACGTGTATGCCGCCACCCACACACACAGTCAACGAAGCACAGGCACGTGCCCGTATGTGTGTCTGTGCTGCTGAACGCTTTCCTGTGTGGATGAACAGTGGTGTGTGCGGTGTGGTCCTGTAGTGTGATGTGGGACATGGTATGCTGCTGGTGTAGCATGCGGTGTGGTGCTGGTGTAGCGTGCGGTGTGATGTGGGTCGTGGTAAGGTGCTGGCGTATTACTGGTACCGTTCTCCTGTCTGGTGCGGTGTGGTGCTGATGTGGTGAGGAAGTGTTGCGCCGTTGGCGCTGTGCCGTGCGTTGTTCTTGTCTCAACGTGCACCATGACACCGGTTGCATGGTGTGACGCTGGCGTTATCTGGTGCTGTTTGGTGTGCTGCGGGGTAATGGTTTGCTGTGCGGTGTGGGGCGGCGTCGCGAGCAGAAGAAGGACTGCCGCTCCGGGCAGTTCTTCGTGGTGTTTGTCGTGAAGGCGGACGACGTCACCTGCGGTGGACCCACCCCGCTCACCCCCATCAAGCCAGGTACCCGCTCACCCAACCGCCCCGCTCACCCACCCCGCTCACCCACCCACCCACCCCGCTCACCCCCATCAAGCCAGGTACCCACTCACCCACCCACTAACCCACCCACCCCGCTCACCCACCCACCGCTCCACTCACCCTGCTCACTCTTTATATCTGCATGGCGGTCGAGCCTGGAACGCGATCCGACCCAGACATCATTGATGAGTCGTGGTATGGAACGTGGAACCCTGCGTGTGTCAAATGATGATCTGACCGGGCTGAGATCGTTGCCATGCTGAGAACCTCGGTTTAATCAGATCACTTGGCGACGCTGCCACCGCTGCTGCAGTGTTGACACCAGCGGTGCACAAACATCAACAACAAAAACTCAACACAATCGCCAATAACACCACTGTGCGACTTTACGAAGAACAAAGGTGACGTTTTTGGCAGTGGTCCTTCTTCACAGCGCATGCTTAGAGAGGCTGTCTCCAACTTTACGTCTCTTGCCTCACTATTCATGTGCTCTGAAGAAGGGTCGTCGCCTGAAACGACGCCCGTGATATTGACGAAGGTGTTGAGATTGGCGTCGTCGAGGGAGGCTGCAGGGGCGTAGTCCTCGAGTGTGAAGGCGGTGCAACTGCACCACTGGGTCCCGCCCAGAAGTCTCCGGGCTACAGAAAATGGGGGAGGGGGGAGAAATGAGAGAGAGAAGCGCCCCCCCCCCCCCCCCATGTCATTCCTCGCACCTGAGAGTTTACCCTGCTGTGGCGCGTCCTCAATGTGTTGTGGCTTGCTGTGGCGCGTCCTCAATGTGTTGTGGCTTGCTGTGGCACGTCCTCAATGTGTTGTGGCTTGCTGTGGCACCTCCTCAATGTGTTGTGGCTTGCTGTGGTGTGTCCTCAATGTGTTGTGGCTTGCTGTGGCGCGTCCTCAATGTGTTGTGGCTTGCTGTGGTGTGTCCTCAATGTGTTGTGGCTTGCTGTGGCGCCTCCTCAATGTGTTGTGGCTTGCTGTGGCGTGTCCTCAATGTGTTGTGGCTTGCTGTGGTGTGTCCTCAATGTGTTGTGGCTTGCTGTGGCACGTCCTCAATGTGTTGTGGCTTGCTGTGGCGCGTCCTCAATGTGTTGTGGCTTGCTGTGGCGCGTCCTCAATGTGTTGTGGCTTGCTGTGGCGTGTCCTCAATGTGTTGTGGCTTGCTGTGGTGTGTCCTCAATGTGTTGTGGCTTGCTGTGGCACGTCCTCAATGTGTTGTGGCTTGCTGTGGCACGTCCTCAATGTGTTGTGGCTTGCTGTGGTGTGTCCTCAATGTGTTGTGGCTTGCTGTGGCACGTCCTCAATGTGTTGTGGCTTGCTGTGGCACCTCAATGTGTTGTGGCTTGCTGTGGTGTGTCCTCAATGTGTTGTGGCTTGCTGTGGCGCGTCCTCAATGTGTTGTGGCTTGCTGTGGTGTGTCCTCAATGTGTTGTGGCTTGCTGTGGTGTGTCCTCAATGTGTTGTGGCTTGCTGTGGCGCGTCCTCAATGTGTTGTGGCTTGCTGTGGCGCCTCCTCAATGTGTTGTGGCTTACTGTGGTGTCGCTTGGTGTGTGGCACACAGGAGGTGAGTGGTGTGGCTTGGTGAGCGGTGTGGCTTGGTGAGTGGTGTGGCTTGGTGAGTGGTGTGGCTTGGTGAGCGGTGTGGCTTGGTGAGTGGTGTGGCTGGGTGAGCGGTGTGGCTTAGTGAGCGGTGTGGCTTGGTGAGTGGTGTGGCTTGGTGAGCAGTGTGGCTTGGTGAGTGGTGTGGCTTGGTGAGTGGTGTGGCTTGGTGAGCGGTGTGGCTTGGTGAGTGGTGTGGCTGGGTGAGCGGTGTGGCTTAGTGAGCGGTGTGGCTTGGTGAGCGGTGTGGCTTGATGCGGCGTGCCGTGCGGTGTGCAGGAGGGGTGGTGGTTGACAGCCAGGCTCACATCAAAATGTTCAACGTGACGGTGAAAGGAACGGCCTCACGTGAGTTCTCGCACCGCCCTCCTCCTCCGGAGACCCCCACTCTGGTCCCTCACACCCCCCCCCCTCAATCTCCACCTTCGTCTTCCATCATTTCAGAGCCCCCCTCTGCGTTGAGCCGCAGCCCAGGATGCCTCTGTGTGTGTGTCTCAGTGTGTCCCTGTGTGTGTGTTTGTGTGATGTGATTCTGTCTCCGTGTGTCTGAGCCTTTTGCGCTGTGTTTCAATTGTTTGTCTTATCGTGTGTCTCATTCTGCGTCTGTGTGAATGTGTTTTGCCCGTGTGTACAGGTACACGATTATGAGATTCTATGCGTGTGTCTACTTGTGTGTGTCTACCTGTGTGTGTCGTCGTGTGTCTCATCGTGTCTCGTCGCATGCCTCGTCGTGTGTGTGTAGCGCACGCATACATCAACGCGGTGGTGTTTGGCTGCAGCCTCTTCCTGCCGTTCTACCTCATCGCCTTCATCGCCCTCGGCCTGCAGCAGTGGAGGTGACGCACGCACGGGCACAAAGACAGATCTCCCGTATAGCCATAAAGACTTGGGGCAAGTGCTGTTAGCGAGCATCGATGAAGGCCGCCACGGCGCACGAGGGGGTGGGTGGCCAGTACCGCGCCCGGTCGCCTTTGTCTCCCCAGTGGCAATATTTACACATCGCACCAGGTACTCCTTCGAGTCCGAGTCGACCTAGGGGAGGCCCAGGACCGGTTCAGATATTAGTCACCGATGTTGTCCGTGAGCCGGAATCGAATTCGAATGGTCGGGTTCGTGGCGCAGCGGCCTAACCACTGCGCTACCGCTTCCCAGCACCAGTCGAGGTGATGCACGCACGGGTACGGGCGGACACCCACACGCACACTCCCACGCACGCTCGCTGTGTGACGTCCGCTTGTGTCTGTTCCTGTCTGTGTCTGCCTATGTCTGTCTGCCCGTCTGTCTCTGTGTCCGTCCGTCCGTCGCTCCCTTCTCCAGGTCCCGCCTGTACGGGGACATGACCCTGGTGGAAACTGCGAGTCCTGAGGAGCAGAGTAAGCAAGTCTCTCGCTTTCGTTACTGGTTGACCATTGCTATTGGTCATCGTGCTCGTTGTGGTAGTTTTGTTCATTGTGGTAGTTGTGCTCGTTGTGGTAGTTGTGATTGTTGTGTAACCGTGTGGTTGTTCTATGCCCTGTGCTCTGTTTGCTGCCCACAAAACGCCGCTCGATCAGGAGCCATCGTAGGTGAGTCTCGCTGTCTGTCTGTGCTCTTTGTCTCTGTCTGTCTCAGCCCTGACTGTGTCTTTGTCTGTGCCATACTTGTGTCTCTGTCTGTGCCATACTTGTGTCTCTGTCTGTGCCATACTTGTGTCTCTGTCTGTGCCCTAATTGTGTCTGCTCTGATCTCTATCTGTGCCTCTGTTCTGTGTCTGTGCTCTGTCTCTGTCCGTTCAAAATTGTTTGGACACTAATACGTGTAGTCATAGTAGTATAAATAGCAATTATATTCGATTAGTCCATATGGTAGTCACGCTATATTTCACAGACCGGTATAGTCTGCCAGTGTGGGCCGATGGTGCCGTGGGGTTTTACTCTGTGGAGTAATCTGCGATTAAACGATGTAATAAGTTTGCACTGTGTCACCGACACAGGATCTTCGTCGTGTGCTTGGAAGCGGACGTCGCGTGGCACTCATGGGTAGCGGGAGACGCAGTGTGGGCCAGAGCAGGCGCCGGGCTCGAACCACGGACTCGCGCAGAGCTAACGCTGTAGTTTAACACGTAGCAGGCTTTCGCGACCAATGTTATTCATGATAAAGGTTTTTGGGTTAGATCGCGTCAGTATAAATGTGTCGTAACCCTCCACCACCTGACACAGCCAATTAGTCAAGGATTTGTCACGTAAACAAAGCGCCAATTGGTTACTACTTCAGCCCACCGGTGTGTTGGAGAGTAAATCCACAACATTTACAATTTGAGTAGTACGATGTTTCGCTGGTAATTACATCCAGCATCATCGGGCGATTTGCCGGTCTTAACGCCGTAGTCCCGACAGAAGCAAATCGTGGGACTCGGCATGCCCCGTAGGTCGTGGGGTTTATTTGACCATACTTCACCATCCCCGTCACTGCGAGTTTACATGGGTACTTAGAGGCGCGTGGACAAGGCCGAGAGGAACGGTGCAGGTGTCCGTGTGTGTCGTTCTCGCGTCTCTTGTCGTCCTTACCTGTGCTTGCGTCCAAGCTTGTGTCCATTCTGGCTTGTCACATGTTAACCTTGTGTCCACACGTGTCTCATTGTTGTGAGTGTGTGGGGAGGGGTGGCTTAGTGGTTAATGCCCACTGCCCTTCATGTAAACATCAGCACTGGGAAGACAAAGGCGGTCGGGCCTGGTGCTGTCCCCACCTCCACCTTTGCACACCATTCCGGCCTTCATCGGTGCTCGCTAACAGCACTTCCCCAAAATGTATTCAGGCTATCAGGGGGATCTTTGCGTGAGAGTGTGTGAACGTGTGTGAGCGCGTGTGAGCGTGCGTGAGTGTATGAGCTCCGGGCGCTTGCTTGGTCTGCAGCTGCCTGGCATCACCGCACTGCTTCCCACGTTCTGCAGTGCAATCAGGGTTGGTGGGAAAGTCCTTTCCTCCGTTCTGTCGGTCTGGGGAGGCCTCGAGGCAGTGGTGCGGGGGGCTGCAAGAAGCAGGCACCGTGACCGGGAAGTTGATTCTTTCTCTCGACGACCTCTTTGCTGCCACCTGACCTCCGTAGGTCAGGAGGTCATGGTGGATCGCACTGATGCAACCTCCTCCTCCGCACGGAGCGACTACGGCTCCATCAGCACTCCCGTGGCCAACGGTGATCACCGCTCTGTTGCCCCCACCCCCTCGCAAACTAGCACGCCGTTCATTTCCGCTCACGCGATGAGTGACAAGAATAATATGTGGTGACGTTGACGACGTGGATAAGGTGGACGAAGATCATCGAGCGCGACGGTGGCTACGATCACCGTGCAGGGCGCAGCATGAGGGCGGAACAAACTGGGTCTGCACGGAGACCCAGACCGAGAGGGCTAGATCTCGATTTTACCTTCAGTGGGGCGAGAACTTAGGACATGGGGGGGATGAGTCTCACTGTGAGAGTGAGTGGCCTCGTTGTTGTGAGCCGCAGGCCTTGTGAGATTCAGATTAGGGGTCAGGTTAGGGTTAGAGGTCGGGTTATGGGTCAGGTTAGAGGTCGGGTAAAAGCTAATGATGCCCAAGATCACCGCTCGTGTGCGATTAGTCAGCCCCGAGCTGATTGGTGAAGTCACAGATCGCGGGGGCACCGAGCAACAACACACATGGCTATTGGCTGTGTGTGTCCATAAAAATCTTCACCGAGTTCACCGATTGGCTGGCCTCGTGTTAGTGGGGGCTGTGTGGGGGTGGTGGCGTGCCCCTCACACCAACGCTCGGAGTGTCCGACTAAACGTGCGACTGCCCTAGCCGACTGGATGAGTGATTCCATGAGACCCACAGACTCGGACGCGACTACAATATAAACAGCGTCGACCAGATTCACACAACCGCACACACTCCCCACTCCTCACCCAGGCTCTCCTCACTCACACGCTCACCCAGACACCCCGACCGCAAACTAGCTCTACATTTTAGCTTTATTCACTCGTGTAGCCTCTCACCCTCTCGCTTGCAAACTCGACAACCTACTCATCCACTCACTCCACTTTGGGTGCTATACATTTCCACGTGATAAGCCACTTCGTTATGCTATCATTTGTGGCCAGGTCGCTTCTGAAAAAGAGCTATACAGCTTCGTGGAGCTTACCCGGTAAAATAGATAGTTTAGTTTCGTTCACTCATCCACTCACCCACTCACTCATCCACTCACCAACCCACCCACTCTCCAAAACTCCGCTCGCTCACCTGCTCGCTCACTTGCCCGTTCCTCTGTTGCTGTCACGTGAATCGGACCTTGGCGGGAGGCGAGGGGATGTTTCTCGCTCGTGCGCGACTGCTTCTGCTGCTGCCCCTATTTACTCTCCATCCGCATTTCCGGGCGCACACAAACATGTTTGTACAAAGACAAAGATTGTCTGTGTAGTCCACGCAGGCTGTGAAGGTTGGTATGGTACATGAATGGGCGGTGTGGCCAACATCACGCCTGGTCGACTTCGTCTCTCCAGTGCTGATGTTTACTGCGTTCCGCACTGGGTCCTGCTTTTAATGCTGTGTCGACACGGGAGAGGCACAGGTCGGTTGGGATATCGGTCGCTACTGCGTAGCTTTACGGGTCGTTCCGCGCATCGTTCGGCCCGACGTCCGACGTTTCGCCGCACGCGCTCGGGAGCTTCTTCCGGAACCGGCGTGACTAAAACCGGAGAAGCTTCCGGCACGTGCGGCGAAATGTCGGGACGTCGCGAGCCGACGGCGACACGCGCATTGACCGCCGCTCGACCCGCTGCGCCCGTCCGTCCAGACGGGGCGGCGAACGTGGAGGTGGGGGTCGCGGGGGGTCGCCGCTCGGGCCGCGCCAAGGCTGCGGGGCCGGCGGCGACGAGGCTGGAGAGTTCCTCGTCGGAGGAGGAGGGCGAGGATCTCTCCGAGGACGAGGACCAGGACTACGACACCCTGGAGGACGTGCTGAGTGACAAGAACGTCATCCGCAGCAAGGTGGCCGAGCGCGGGAGCCGCCGCCCGCTCGCACGCACGCACCCACACAGACAAAGGGCCCCATCCCCCACAGTGTAGCCTGCGAAGGCCGTTGGGGCAAGTGCTGTTAGTGAGAGCCTGCGAGGGCCGGCACGGCGCAAGGAGGGGGTCGTGTGGCTGACTCCATGCGCACTTGGCCGTCTTTGTCTCCCCGTTGCTGATGTGTACTCCACACCGCAGAGGATATTCACTTAATGCTGAGTCGACATAGGGGAGGCCCAAAACTTGGGTCGTGGAATTCGTAGCACAGTGCCTTAACCACTACGCTACCGCACCCCACATAGGTGGTAACTCACAGCACTTGCCCCGACAGTCTGTTAAGATTACACGGGGGATCTTTGTGTGTGCGTACGTGCGTGCTGCAGGCGTGTCTGTACGTGTCAGATCTCTCTCGAAAGCGAGCGACCGTCATCGGACGCAAGTACCGCATCTACTGCTGGTAAGGACACCACACACGTACAACTGCCATTAACGCGGTTGGCTACGTACGGTGCGAAATAAGTTCAACATACATACACAAAGACAGACAAGAGGCTGCGTGCCCACATCATCATACTTGTGTGCCTGTGCTCAGGGTCTTTGGGGTGGTGGCGATGCGCCGGTGACGTTCGGGTCAATCCAGCCTTGAGCCACTTCATAGGTGCTTGCTCACAGTACTTGCCCCAACAGTCTGGAATAGGCTATGTAGGGGACCTTTATCTTTGTGTGCTAAATAACAACCCGATGCACCTGGCTCCATCCCGTGACCTCCTGCTAGCAGCAGCGAGCCTCCCGCACTCCACGTGATGGCCCAGAGCTGCACCTAGCCTGGCGCGAGTACCACGGTGACGCTGTTGTGACGCGTCGTTGCGCTGTTGTGACGCTGTTGTGACGCTGTTGTGACGCTGTTGTGACGCGTCGTTGCGTTGTTGCGCCACAGGAACCTGCTGACGGTGGGGGTGTTCTACGTGCTGCCCGTCATTCAGCTCGTGCTCACCTACCAGAACGTGAGCACCCCGCCGCCACCACCACCTCCACCTCGTTCACCCGGAGTTGCGGTGCAGGGGGCTCCCCCCTGCGGAGGCTACACACGGGGGGGGGGATCTCTGTCTTTGTCCTCCTGTGCCGTGCCGACCTTCATCGGTGCTTACAAACGGCACTTGGCCCAAAAGGACATACGGGGAATCTTTGTCTTTCTCCTGCTCATGTGGGGAGTGGTGGCACAATGGTTTGTGCACCGTGCTATGAACCCAGCGACCTGAGTTCGATTCCCGCTGACGATCAATAACAGCGCCGACTATTTGAACCGGTCCCGGGCGTCCCCTAGGTCGACTGAGCATCAAATCGGTAATAGTTGCGGTGTGTAGACATCGCCACTAGGAAGACCAAGGTGGCCAAGCGTGGTGCGCCAACGGTCTGTTTAAGGCTACACGGGAGGTCTTTGTCTCCGTCTGCTCACGTGCGCGCATACAGGTGCTGCACACGACCGGCGACCAGGACATCTGCTACTACAACTTCCTGTGTGCGAGGCCCTTGGGGATGCTCAGGTGGGCAGCGTGCCGGGCGAGGGTGGCACTGGGATGGGGCCGGCGGCCTCGGGCCGTCTGCGATCGCCGTGGGCGTCGGTTCGCCCGCTCACTCGCTCGCGCCAGCGCTTGATTGGCTGCATCCTGGATGAGGTGGATGAGGTGGATAAGTGGAAGGGCAAAGTAGGGCTGAGAATGCTGTGTTTGAATCCGGGTGCCAGCTGCCTGTGATTTAGCCGGGTTCTCAAGTTTAAATGAGGTGATGATCTCAGCCTGGTCGTCAGAGACCCATAGACTCACATAGCGATCCACAGACTCGTACAGCTGTGATTAAATCGAGTTCTCAAGTTCAAGTTAGGTGATGGTCTCATCCTCGTCACGAACTACCGTGCAAAAATAAAGAAAAACTCAGAAATTCTCTTTGATTAATTTGGCGACTGAGAATTAGGCATAGCTGGGCAAGGGGGAAGCACAGGTCACTTGGAGGAGGGATCTCCGAGGTAGTTCTGTGATCTCTTCTTCCGCAGGCCATTCGGTGTGGATTCGAGGTTACTTGAAGCAATCTCCGTGGTAGCTCTGTGATATCCGCTTCCACGGGCCGTTCTTCAACACGGAGCGTTGCGCTGCTCTGCAAGATTTAGAAATGGATTCTACATCTCGTGACAAAGGCGGCCGGGCGTGGTGCTGGCCACCCACCCCCCACCTCGTGTTCGTGTTGTTCTTCAGAGACGCTGGCTAACATCACTTGCCCCAACGGTCTGTTGAAGGCTATATGGGGGACCTGTGTCTCTGTGTCTCTGCAGTTCGTTTAACAACGTGTTCAGCAACCTGGGCTACTTCCTGCTGGGGCTGCTCTTCCTGCTGATCGTCGGCTTCCGGGAGTTTTCCCACCAGCTAGCCGTCCGGAAGGATCCCGCGCACCTCCAGGTCTGTGAAGGCTATACAGGTCGTCTTTGTCATTGTTTCTATGGGGAAGCGGCGACGCAGTGATTAGCGCGTTGTGCCACAAATCCGACGGTGACCCGAGTTCGATTTCCGCTCACCACCACCATCGGTGACGAATATTTTGAACCCGTCCTGGGTCTCTCTCCTTGGCCAGCTCGGCCTGGTACGGCGATGTTGACATGTCAGCACTGGGTGGGGGGACAGGCGGCGGGGGGCGTGTTGTGTTGGCCACGCCGCCTCAAAGTCGCGATGTGCCGGCGGCCTGCGTGGGCGCCGCTCGCAAACGGCACTTGCCCCAACAGTCTGGTGAAGGCCACCACGGTGGGGTGGGGGTCTTTGTCTTTGTGCAGGACCACGGCCTCCCCAAGCACTTTGGCCTCTTCTACTCGATGGGCTTTGCGCTCATGATGGAGGGTGTGCTCAGCGCCTGCTACCACGTCTGCCCCAACTACTCCAACTTCCAGTTCGGTACGAGCGCCGAGTGCCGTCGTTGCGCCGTCGACGTCGTCGCCGTTGGCCGCCTTCATCGCGTGTGCGGTGTAAATGTGTTATTTTAATTATTAAACGTATTTATTTATCCAGGAAGCCACGCTGAGTCATAGGGCTGCTTTTCAGGAGGGTCTTGCCATGACATTGGGGTGGTTTTTTTGGGAGGTTTTCAGCCGATTAGCGACGAGTTGTGTTTATTATTTACGTGGGGAGGAAACTGGAGCACACAGAGATAATCCACGCCATGCAGGAGGGGGCAACACTCTATCCCCGTACAGTTTGAAACAGATGGCAATTGGACCGCTTGCTGTACTGCAATCCCCTGGCGAGCCAGGATATGGCACCTCGATGCCCAGCCAGGGGAAGGCAGTTTCACAACATCCGTGTGCGATCCACCAACCCTCGCTGCTGCCTCCACAACAGTACGGTGTCACAATGTCTGAGTTTGCTGCCGATACGGCCTTTGAGTACGCAATGTTACGTCATATACTGTGCGTACTCTGTGCACCGTGTTGCCGCACAGCGGTTAGCGTGTTCTGCGTTGCGAACCCGATGACCCGAGTTCGATTCCCGCTCGTCGTGACCACTCACGGTGGCGAATGTGCAAACCGCTCTTGGACCTCCTCCTGGAGGTTGACCCGGCATGAACCGAGCACCTGGTGCGATGTGTGTAAACATCAACGCGTGGCGGTAGCCACACCACCACCTCGTAGGTGTGACGTGCGGGCGATCCATAGTTAAACGGTCCATTCGGGTGACACGGGGGATCTTCGCGTCTGTGCGTTGCCGTGCGCGTGTGCGACGTGCGACCGCGTGCAGACACGGCGTTCATGTACATCATCGCGGGGCTCTGCATGCTGAAGCTCTACCAGAAGCGCCACTCGGACGTCAACGCCAGCGCCTACAAGGCCTATGCCTCCTTCGCCGTTGTCATCTTCTTCGCCGTGCTCGGCGTGGTGAGACAGCTGTCTGGGGATGTGTGGGGCTGCCCAGGCCTGGGCAGAGCTGTGTATGGCTGTGCAGGGCTGTGCAGGGCTGTGTAGGGCTATGCACGGCTGTGCAGGGCTGTGTATGGCTTGCAGGCCTGTGCAGGTCTGTGTAGGGTGGCAGTACCGTGGAGATGCTCATGCCGCAGCAACACCCTGGGTTTGATTCTCAACTCGGGCTCCTTTCTGAGTGGAGTTTGTATGTTCTCCCCCTATTCGAGTGAGTCAGTGAGTGAGTTAGTTGTGTATGTTATTTCCCTATTTGAGTAAGTGAGTGAGTGTGGTTTGTATGTTCTCCCTGTGCTCTGCATGTTTTTTCTCTGTTTTTGCAGTTTCCTGCCACAGCCACAAAACCATGCACACAACGCAGCCGGATGCTGAACCATTTCCTGCAAAATCACTCAACTAGGAATCCCACACAGCATGAGCTTCGCCTCGTACTGCAGAAAACTTCACAGGACCCTCCTGAAGTTTTTCGTGGGTGACCAAGCGCAGTGGTAACAACAATAACACTCTGTGTGTGTGCTTGTGTGCAGGTGGTGGCGAAGAGCGCCGTGTGGTTCTGGATCCTCTGCACCATCGTCCACATCCTGGCGGCTCTGGCGCTCAGCTTCCACATCTACCACGTGGGGCGCTGGAGGTTCAGTGAGTGTGCCGCAGTACACCCCCTGCAGGCACACCCTGCACAGCACCGCGTGACCACGCACGTGTCATGCCTCTCACTCAGTCCTATAGCGGGGGGGAGGGGGGGTTGTTGGGGAGGGTGGGCGGCACCATGGCACAGGCAGACTACAAAACGAATGTACAGCGATGATACTGGGGGGGTCTTTATCTTTGTCCCTGTGTGCGTGTGCGCGTGTCCAGGCCTGGGTATTTTCCGGACGATAGCGCACGTGTTCTACACGGACTGCATCCGGCAGTGCAACCGGCCCATGCACATGGCAAGAGACACACACACTCACGCGCAGTCACACACATTCACACACATTCACGCACATGCACTCACACATGCGCACAGACCTTCACTCACACACGTGCACAAACCTTCACTCACAAATGCTCACACACGCGCACACACAACTCACACTAATAGACGCGTACACATCCTCACATACGCACGCGCTAACACACACGTAGGAGATTGTATGTGTGAGTGGGAGATCGTGTGTGTAAGTGGGAGAATGTGTGTGTGTTGGAGATCACAACAACGAGCGGAGCGCCGGGTGGCTATTGCACAGCAAGTTGGCACAGTAGGGGGCACAGGTGGTGCATCGGCCAGTCATCTCAGTCAGTCAAACCAGTGGCACCTGGGTCTGCCCCGTGACCTCCTGCCAGCGGGCATTCGACACTGCACGTGGCCTCAACGTACACATAGCCTGGCACATGCGCCGTGGTGACGTCACCACCACTTAGTGGCGAATGGTGGTTGTTGTGGTTGTTGATCATGTGTGTGAGCGGGAGATCGTGTGTGAGTGGGAGGTCGTGTGTGTGTGAGTAGGAGGTCGTATGTGTGAGTGGGAGATTGTGTGTGTGTGTGTGTTCTGGGCACGTGCAAGCGTGTGTGACTGTGTACGTGGTGTGTGCTGTGCGTGACTGTATACATGATGCGTGCTGTGCGTGTGTCTCTTACAGGACAGGCTCATTCTGCTGCTGCTCGGCAATGCTTTTAACTGGTCCTAGTGAGTACACGAATCTTCGCACATTACTACCACTACCGTGATCATCACTCGCCGATTCTCACTGTGTTATTGCTATCGTGGTTAGTCGATGGAAATTTAGACACAAGCCACAGTAATGCGACTGTGGCCATGCCACCCAAACTATGGACCACACTGTAAACCCGCTGTGCTCTGCGCTCCTTCAACAGGAGGAGGAACAGCAAAACTACACGAACTCTCTCCTGACACCCTCTCGTCGTGGCCAGCAGACTGCGGATAGTAGCTTTAGCTGCTGATCGCATTGCTCCTTCCAGCATTCGCGAGTATATAATCGTACAATTTTCCGTGTCATTAATAATCTCGTGCCAACCGCCAGTGCGATATGGGGCATGGTGTATCGGCCGCGGGACTTCGACAGCTACCTGCTCGCCATCTTTATGTGCAACCTGCTCCTCTACTCGGCCTTCTACATCATTATGAAGGTACATTGTCATCATCGTCATCATCGTCATCATCGTCATCATCGTCATCATCGTCATCAGCAGCACACGAGCAAAACTGATGGCAGCAGCAGCAGCATCGTCATCATCACATTAGTCTCAAAGCCACACAGTTGCAGCGTTATCACCGTAATAGCATTGCTCCGATCACGTGGTGCTCCTTAAGGATATCATCGTTGTCGTCGCTCGTCTCACCTTGGTCATCTCCTCGGGACTCTTACCCCATCACGGCCAAATCGTCATCATATTAACCTTCATCACGTCCTCATCATCTGGCCTGCCCTCCATGTAGTGGCAAGCGTTTCTTACCCCGCATGTCTCTTGTGTGACTGTGTCTCCCCATTTTCCCCCGTGTGACTGTGTGTGTCTCTGTGTGTCTGCGTGTGTGTCTGTCCCCGCGTGTAGATCCGCAGCGGGGAGTCTATCCGCCCGACACCACTGCTCTGCATCCTGGCAGCTTCGGTGGCCTGGGGCTTCGCGATGTACTTCTTCTTCCAGGGGCTTACCAGCTGGGAGGTCAGCTTGACCTCTCACCCCACCGCTCCCCCCCTCACCCCCCTGATCCTTTGCACGCAGACCCGAGAGAAGACTGCTTGCGACGCGCGGCAGTGGGGATGCGATCCCCATTGTCGAGAACAATTCTGTATCTTGCCATCAGGTTGTTCTGCGTCATTTGCGTTGCGCGAGAGCGAGACCGCTCTTCGTCTGTGCCAGCAGCCGTGACGCCACGCAGAGCCACCGCTCGTGGCAGGAAACCTCGGGTGTGACGTCGCAGAAGTGACGTCGTGTTGTCGGATCGGACCCCAACACTTCGCATCTGCCCGGGCCAATTTGTAGCCGGAGTGTCATCAGGAAGTGTCATGTGTGCGTCGAGATTTTCACGCATCACGAGCCGTGCGTCACACTCGTGCTTGACAGGCGTGCGTGACAGCCGTGCGTGACAGCCGTGCGTGACAGCCGTGCGTCACGGTCGTGCTTGACAGCCGTGCGTGACAGTGGTGCGTCACAGCCATACGTCACAGCCGTGTGTCACAGCCGTGTGTCATAGCCATGCGTCGTGTGTGGCGGCCGTGCGGTGCAGGAGACCGCCGCACAGTCTCGCGAGCGCAACAAGGAGTGCGTGCTGCTCAAGTTTTACGACCACCACGACATCTGGCACTTCCTCTCCTCCATCGCCATGTTCTTGTCCTTCATGGTACACACACCTGCTCCTACACACACGCATTTACGCATTCGCATACAAGCATTCGTGTATACGCATTCACACACCTGCACGTATAAATGCATGTACACACACCATACAAATGCATGATATTTACACATCGCATCAGGTACACATTTGAGGCCGAGTTGATCTAACGACACCCACGACCGGTTCAGATGATCGTTACTGGTGCTGAGTCGAACTCGGGTTGCTGGGTTTGCAGCATAATGCACTAACCACTAAACTACCACTCCCCACGTGTGTGTGGTGTGTGTAGGTGCTGCTGACGCTGGATGACGACTTGGACTCCACTCGGAGAGACCGGATCCTCGTCTTCTGAGCGCCGATCCACGTGGAGCCCCTCCCCTTGGTCCCCCCTGCCTCACCATGGAGCCCCTCCCCCCGCTCCCCCCTGCCTCACCATGGAGCCCCTCCCCCCGCTCCCCCCTGCCTCACCATGGAGCCCCTCCCCTTGCCCCCCCTGCCTCACCATGGAGCCCCTCCCCCCGCTCCCCCTGCCTCACCATGGAGCCCCTCCCCCCACTCCCCCCTGCCTCACCATGGAGCCCCTCCCCTTGCTCCCCCCTGCCTCACCATGGAGCCCCTCCCCCCGCTCCCCCTGCCTCACCATGGAGCCCCTCCCCCCGCTCCCCCTGCCTCACCATGGAGCCCCTCCCCTTGCCCCCCCTGCCTCACCATGGAGCCCCTCCCCCTGCTGCTCCCTGCCTCACCATGGAGCCCCTCCCCTTGCCCCCCCTGCCTCACCATGGAGCCCCTCCCCCCGCTCCCCCTGCCTCACCATGGAGCCCCTCCCCTTGGTCCCCCCTGCCTCACCATGGAGCCCCTCCCCTTGCCCCCCCTGCCTCACCATGGAGCCCCTCCCCCCGCTCCCCCTGCCTCATCATGGAGCCACCCGGACCGGATCCGGGCAGCACGTGGCTCCAGCACGGTTATTGCCAGATTCGTCGGGGTTCGTCACCGTTCAGCACCGGAGCTTCTTCTGACGCCAGGAACTTTTACGCCCGGGCAGAAGCTATGGCTGGACTCGCACCAACACCGGAAAATAAACCCCACCCAACATTTATTTAAATACGATTATTTTCACTTCGCTAATTTCTTCTGGCTTGATAGTAAAATAAAACACGGTCTTCACATTTTTTTACAACGTGCTTGAAGAGATATTTGAAGAGCTGCCGTTACAGACAATACGGACGGACAGACAGACGGGCCAAGCGTGGCGTCTGTGGGTTGAGATGCCGACGTTCTGTGGCGAGGCAGGACGAGGTGATGATGATGATGATGACTGATGCGACGCACATTTTCTCGTTCCGCCTCTCGGAGGTACGATTGCACAAAGTCTCCGCGTCGGGCGAGGGCCACGCATCGCGAAAGCCGTCCAGGGGTGCGGACGCGACGTGCGTCGTGCCGTCGCGCGGTTGTGTTTACAGCGTGTGCGCGTCTGTGTGTGCGTGTCTTTGTGTGCGCGTCTTTGTGTGCGCGCGTGTATGTGTGCGCGTCTTTGTGTGCGCGTGTGTATGTGTGCGTGTGTGTCTGCGTGCGTGCGATAAAGTGAGGAGCAGTGACGCAGCGGTTAGCGCGCTGCACTACAAACCGGGCGACCCGAGTTCGATTCCCCGCGCCCAGCCAAATCAGAAACGAATATCTGAACCGGTTCTGGGCCTCCTCGAGGTCAACTCGGCATTACATGAGTACCTGATGCGGTGTGTCCACGTCACCGCTGGGGGAGACAAAGGCGGCCGGGCATGGTGCTGGCCACACCAAGGGGGGATTAGTGCGAGCGTGCGTTAATTACTTCGCGAGTTCTCCGAGCGCCCAGTACGTTTTTTGCCAAACCTCCACCAAAGCGATGCCCCCCCCCCACCCCTCGCATCCGCAGGGCACGACCCCCGACCCCCTGCACCCCCATCCCTCGCACTCGGTCGTGTTTCATTTTCGTGTTTTGCCAGGCCAGTTCCTGCTTAGTTTGTTTTTTTCCGAACTGATCTCTTCGGATTGTGAATATTGACGAACAATAAATTGTTTGATTAAACCCGTTCGCGTGGTCGTTCCTCGCTGCCCGCTCCACTCAACCTGCTTGTGCGAGCAGCGTGCTCCCCCTGCGCTCCGCACATGATCACCCACGCTCACGCCGCGGCCTCGAACTTACCTCAACAATCCAAACCCCGATGGAGTTCTCAATCGGCGCATGGTCGGTCAAATCTGAAGGATCTGGATCAGAAAGCTGCTAATGCTGGCTGTGATCTCCAGTGAGACGTTTTTACAACATTGTCAAAATGTCGCTTGCTTTTCAACATTCATCCTCCGGATTGGCTGAAAAACAAAATCCACTGGCACATTTGTCAAGCCATGTTATAATGATTATTCATCTGGTGCCTGGCATAGGGCTGCCATGCAAGGTGCCATTCCATAGAACACAACATAATTCCAGAAAGTATAACATCAGTTTTATAGACTCGCATTTAAAATCACCAACAATTATTTCAGTAATTCACCACCACCACTCATGTTCGCTACAATGTGGCAACTTGATTTCATTCAATCGCTGCCTCGGAAGCACAACCACGAGCTTGGAAGGCTGCCAGGAGGTGCGCTGGCGCTACTCGCAATTGTTGTGCAATTCCCTGTTCATGAAGATGTTTTCAGCCAATTAGCGAGCGTTTATACACGTGGGAGGGAAAATGGAGCACCCGGAGAAACCCCACGCGAGCGAGGGGGCAACGCTCTATCCCAGCGGTCGGGAACCTATGGCTCGCGAGCCATATATGGCTCTTCCGGTGACGGCATATGGCTCCCAGACAATTTTGAGTTGAAAAAAATAATGATAAAAAAAAATAAAATCGGTTTGGAACTGATTTTAAAATACTTGTGATATTGCTTAATAATACTGTGTCATTTTAAAGTAAACAGAAATTAGTTTTGAAGATAAAATTTCTCGGATCACGGGTCCCGTGACCAAAAGTCGCATTAAAAGTAAGACATATTTAATTTATTATACGTTAAAAATACTATATGGCTCTCATTGAAATATATTTAGAAATATTTGGCTTTTATGGCTCTCCCAGTCAAAAAGGTTCCCGACCCCTGCTCTATCCCTTCACAGAGAAGTGGCAGATGATATCACTCGGCACATTGCTGTACTCTACTGCCTTCTGATGGCGAGCCCGGGTATGGGTCCTCGATGCTCACGGGACAAAGCGTTGTCGTCTGTATGATCCGCCAACTCTCACCGTCTCCACGGTGCTGGGTTACAGCCAGCCACGTGCGGCGCCCCTCTGTGAGACACGGCTCAGAACTCGTTTTGTTTTCCAACTTTGAATTGATAATCAAAATGGTCAAGTGTGAAGCGTTCAAACCTCGCTCACAATGCACTGCTAAGAAGGGCCATTGATCGAACGACGCCTCTTGATTCATGTTCCTTTTAAGGCCCCACTGTTCAATTTCGATTTAAAGCTTTCGTGACTGCAGGGAATCGTATTATTTTTTTCAAATTTTCTTGCTGTGGTCTTTCATACCTGATGATGATTGCTCGTGTTGCAATCGAAACGTGATAATTTAATTGTTTTATTTTTATTATTTTATTATTTCCCTTCTACGTGACTTTACCGAAAGAACCAAGAATATGAGCCCCACTGTTCGTTTTTTTCTTCAAAGCCGAGGTTTTTAGTGGTTTCTTGTTAATTCACAGCGTTGCCATGGAAACGATATCACTCCGGTCCAGGCGACTTGAGGGCCACGTGACGTCACAATGCCGAGAATATCCGGCGCGATTATGCAATCGGTATGACGTCACGCGCGCGATTTCTTAACGGCCGCGTCATCACGCCGAAGTGACGACGCTGATGAGCGAAGTCACGATCAGTGAAACGAATTATTTGGCGATGCTGCTGCGTTGGCAGTGATGCACAGACACAATGAACGAAGAAAATACGACGTTTCGGATAATGCCCCTTCATTGCTAAAATAGCCACTACCTAAAACATTGGATTTGATATATATTTACTTGAAGGGTCACAGCGATGATGATTATTTGTTAAGCGCGTGACGTCATTTTCAAGCGTGCCAGTGACGTCACGACCCTGCACCACCATTGATCGCGATGACACAAATGACGCAACCCCCCCGTGACGTCACGCGGCAAAGCCAGGTGCAGGAGACGCAGCGCCGGGGCGGGATAGCGCAGGGGGCGAGGAGGTGAAGAGGTGAGGGAGGTGGTGGTGGTGGTGAGGGGAGCGGTGAGGAGGATGTGGTGAAGGGAGAGGTGAGGTGGTGAGGCAAGAGGGAGGCGAAGAGGTGAGGAGTTGGTGAAGAGGTGAGGGAGGTGAGGCAAAGCGGCGAGGGAGCAGAGAGGGAGCAGTGAGGGAGGAGGTGAGTGAGGAGGCGAGGGATGTCGCGAACGGCGCTCGCGCCTCTCCCGCTCCGCCACCTCCGCCTCGCCGCCGCGGTCGCCCTGGCGCTGCACCTCCTCCTCCTCTTCGCGCCACACGCCTCGGCCAAGATCGTGCGCGGCTCCGTGCGCGCGCCCGAGGTGCGCGCACGTGAATCCTGTGTGTCCGACCCCCCCCCCAGACCCACCAGGACCCCCCCCCCAGACTCCCCCCCCCCAGACCCACCAGGACCCCCCCCCAGACCCAGCAGGACCCCCCCTAGACCCCCCCCCCAGACCCACCAGGACCCCCCCCCCCAGACCCCCCCCCCAGACCCACCAGGACCCCCCCCAGACCAAGCAGGACCCCCCCTAGACCCCCCCCAGACCCACCAGGACCCCCCCCCAGACTCCCCCCCCCCAGACCCACCAGGACCCCCCCCCCAGACTCCCCCCCCCCCAGACCCACCAGGACCCCCCCCAGACCCAGCAGGACCCCCCCTAGACCCCCCCCCCAGACCCACCAGGACCCCCCCCCCCAGACCCCCCCCCCAGACCCACCAGGACCCCCCCCAGACCCAGCAGGACCCCCCCTAGACCCCCCCCAGACCCACCAGGACCCCCCCCCCAGACTCCCCCCCCCCAGACCCACCAGGACCCCCCCCAGACCCAGCAGGACCCCCCCTAGACCCCCCCCAGACCCACCAGGACCCCCCCCCCCAGACTCCCCCCCCCCCAGACCCACCAGGACCCCCCAGACCCCCCCCCAGACCCACCAGGACCCCCCCTAGACCCCCCCCAGACCCACCAGGACCCACCCCCAGACCCCCCCCCCCCGCCAGACCCCCCCCCCCCGACCCACCAGGACCCCCCTCCCCAGACCCCCCCCCCCCAGACCACCCCCCCCAGACCCACCAGGACCCCCCCCCCAGACTGACCACGACCCCCCCGTGACTGAAATTTTGTGACACGTGACTGAAATGTTGTTTCTGGAGACTGAGCACGTGACCTGGCACTAATGTGTGTGCGCGCCCTGTGTGTGTGTGCGCACATGGTAATGTGGGGATGCGTGTGAGTCGACAGGTGTTTGTGTTCACGCGTGTATTTGTGTTTATCGGGGTGTGTACACGTGCGTGTGCACACGTGGTGTGTTGACAGGACTGTGTACCTGTGGCTAGGTGCACACACAGGTGCACACACAGGTGCACGCGCGTGTGTCCACTTGGGTGTGCATAGACGTGGGTGCTTTAACCCGGCGATGTACACGTGTGTGCCCATGTATGCCTGTGTGTTTGTGTTTGCCGTGGTTCATACGCTGCGCCTTAAACCCGGCTAAGTTCAGTTTCCACCCACGGCTAACATCAGTGGCGAGTTAAAATTGAACATGCACTGGGCCTCCCCTAGGACATCAGTCTACGCCGAGTACCTTGTGCAGAATGTCAACATCAACACTGGGGAGACGTGTGGCCTGCCGTGGTGCCTTCTGCGGCACCCCAACATGCACTCTGTCGACCTTAACAGGTTTTCGCAAACAGCACTTTCAATGTGGGATGACTTTGTCCACGCGTCCCCCCCCCCCGTGTCCCCCCCGTGTCTAGGACTGGCTCTTCCTCACGCGCTTCTGTTTTCTGACCGACTATGGAAAGATGGAATTCCTCTTCCGATACCCTGAGGTGAGTGGTCTTGGTTGGCCTCGTGTCCACCCCCATGTGTCCACCCCCATGTGTCCACCCCGTGTGTCCACCCCCATGTGTGTCCACCCCCATGTGTGTCCACCCCCATGTGTGTACACCCCCATGTGTGTACACCCCCGTGTGTACACCTGTGTACACCCCCGTGTGTCTACCCTGTGTGTACACCCCCATGTGTGTACACCCTGTGTGTACACCCCTATGTGTTTACCCTGTGTGTACACCCCCATGTGTGTCCACCCCCATGTGTGTACACCCCCGTGTGTACACCTCCTGTGTACACCCCCGTGTGTGTCCACCCCCATGTGTGTACACTCCTGTGTGTACACCTGTGTACACCTGTGTACACCCACCGTGTGTACACCCCCGTGTGTCTACCCTCGTGTGTCCACCCCCGTGTGTGTACACCCCCGTGTGTGTACACCTGTGTACACCTCCTGTGTACACCCCCCGTGTGTACACCCCCATGTGTCCTCGCCGTACCCACCAGGGATAGTGAGTGTAGTGTCCATCTCGAATGTCTGTGGGGAGACGGAGCATCTGATTAATATTAACGAGCGCGAGTGGATCGTGAGAGTCACGAGGGAGCGATGTCCGTGTCACGAATGGAGAGAGCGGTGGTAGAGCGGTTAGCACGCTGCGCGGCGAACCCAAAGATGAGTTTGATTTCCAGTCACAGCCAACATCGTTGACAGATATCTGAACTCACCCCTATGTCCACTCAGCCTAAACATTTGTTTATGCTGCTGTGTGCAATCATCAGCACTGGGGAAACAAAGACGGCTGTGCGTGGTACTGTCCAATACCACACCCTCGTGTGCCGTTACAGCCTTAATAGGTACTCGCTAACAGCACTTGCCCCAAAACACCGTTAAAGGCTACACAGGGAATATTTGTCCTGGTGTGCAGGCGCTATGTTGCCAGAACGTGCTGCTGTACTTTGACGACCCGTCGCAGTGGCCCGCCGTCTACAAGCAGCCCTCGCAGGTGAGTAACCACACAGCTGAACCACAGCCACCAACAGCAGCAGCAGCAGGGCCTGTAGTAAATAACAACAACAAGCTGGCAAGCCAGTCCCTTAACCCAGCCTCTGATATGTTAAGATATGCAGCATCTGGTTTGCACAGGGGAGGGGGGAGGGGTTCAGAGTGGGGGTGGCCACACAGGAGTCACTTGATTTACTGGAGGTTTGAGCTTATTTGGTGGTATAGAGATGTACCTTTGTGTTCTTGCGTGTACCTGCGCGTACCTGTGAGCACCTGCGCGTACCTGTTACAAGACCCGTGCTCGCCTGTGCGTTGTGTGAGCAGAGCTGCCAGCAGAAGGAACAGGTCCTACGGCCAGAAAACAACCAGGTGATCAACCTGACGACAGAGTACACCTGGTCGGGCTGCGAGGTGAGTCCACCTGCTTGTGTTGCTGGGTGTCTCTGTCAGTGCACCGCCGTGTTGTTGCTGTGTTATGTTGATGTGTTATGTTGATGTGTTATGTTGCTGTGTTACTGCTGTGACTGTCACCCACCACTGCCCCGCCGCCTGTCCCCGCTGCCTGTTGCCGCCGCCTGTCGCCCCTCAGGTCGTGGAGGGAATGTTGGAGTGTCGAGGCTCGCGGAGTTTCCGCTCGGTGCGTGAGCGCTGGTGGTACATCGTGCTGAGCAAGTGCGAAGTAAGTCTGGCACACGCATGTAAGTTACACACACGTGTGCACCTCGCGTACACCCACGCGTGTGCGTGTACATCACACACAACACGCTCGTATAACACGCGTACGTACGGTCATCACACCCACCACCTGAACGTTTTACGTGTGTGTGCATGAGCGTGTGTGTGTGGTGTATACGTACATGTATAAGCAGTGTGGGTATATGTGTGGAGTGGTGGCACAGTGATTAGTGCACTGTGTTTCGAACCCGGAGATCCAAGTTCGATTACTGCTCAAGGCCAACATCAGTGATAAATTTTTGAACCGGTTCTGGGCCTCCTCTAGGTCGACTTAGCCTTAAATGAGTACCTGTTAAGACTATAGGGGGCATCTTTGTCTTTGCATGTCCATACATATGCGTGTGTGTGTGGTGGAGAGTGGTGGCGCAGTGGTTAGCATACTGTGCTGCAAACCCGGTGACCCTGATTCAATTCCTGCTCATGGCCAACATCAGTGGCATCTTTGTCTGTTGCTGCCAAGGGTGGGGGTTTGGTCGTGGACTTTGAGCTCACGCTGACCAATGGAGACTCCTTCTGGACTCGGCACTTCTCTGCGGACGAGTTCGGTACGGATCTGGTGAAAGCATGGACACACGCACGCACAGATACACACGCACACATGCACACACATGCACGTACACACACTAACAGCACTTGCCCCAACAGTCTGTTTAGGCTATACGGGGATCTTTGTCCTGTACATGCTTGCACGTGCGTGTGTTTTCAGGAATCCTGCAGGCAGACATCACGTACCTGCTCGTCTTCTCGGCTGTTCTCGCTGTGTCTTGCTACTTTGCGGGTGACGTACACACACCCACGCACACACTCATGTCAGGCAGGAGAAACTCGCCAACCACACACAGATACCACACTCACCGACTCATAGGAGTAACTCAACAACCACACCATCCATACTCACCACACTCACCTTTACACAGGTGACTCACCGATATATTAATAGTGAAAAGTGATTTCCTGCTCAAATTAGCATTGAGGCATAAATTCTCATTTCATGGTTACAGCCCTGTTGAACCAGCGGTGTAAATTACACATTCGTATGGCAGACTTCAGTCATATGTCGACACTATATGAATCTACGTTGTATTGAACAGACTCGCAAAGAGACCCTTGGACTCGCATAGAAACCCATATACTCACACAGACACCAGATCCACATGGAGACCCCACAGGCTCAAGTAGAGACCCACAGATTCACATAGAGACCTATGCCCCCTCAACACAAAGCGCCCAGTGCGTCTGTCCAGCTCCTTGAGACGCAGTCACACTCACCGTCTTACACACGCTTCACACTTCCAAGGGCCTGGACCTGCATGCCTTTCAGTCTCCTTGGCCAACAGCTATTGCCCTCGCCACACTGCCCCGTGCCCCCTATGTGCGCGCACGCGCTGCACCATCACCAGGGTGTCGCTGCCCTCCGGCGTGCAGACGCAGGAGCAGCTTTACTGGACACCTGTGAAAAAGAGCTTTAGAGCTCATTGGATTCCACGAGTAAAAATCAATATTCTGATTGTGATTGTGTGTTGTATTGTATTATCTTCTGGTCTCTGTGATCCCGGTCTCGCAGACTTGCTGAGGAAGCGTCAGCTCTTCCACTCCACATACAAACTGTTCATGGCGGCTGCGGGGATGCAAGGCACGTGCTAGCACGCACGCGTATACATGTATATGTGCGGGTGCCTGGGTGGACGCGGACGCTTGTTTACGTGCAGACGAGTGTACGCGGGCGGGCATGTGGTTGGGTACATTGGTTTGGACGGGCGAGTTAGTGAGCAGGTGAGTGAGTGAGGGAGTGGGTGGGTGAGTGAACAGATAGAGTTAGTGTGCAGTGGGTGGGCAGGTGTAAGCGACTGGTGAGTCTGGGTGGATGAGTGAATGGTCAGTTTGGGTGAGGATGTGGTGGATCGTGATGAATAAGTATTAATGAGTGAGTTAGAGGGGTGGACCGCTGTGTGGGGGGAGTGAGAGGGGGTGAGTGAGTGAATGGACGAGTGAGTGGGTGAATGGACGAGTGAGTGGGTGGGTGAGTGGGTGGGTGAGTGGGTGAATGGACGAGTGAGTGAGTGGGTGGGTGAGCGGGTGAGAGAGCGAGCTACCTGCTCAAATACTCACATTCCCCCCCCCTCCTCATCTCCACAGTGCTGAGCCTCCTACTGATGTGCATCTACTGGGGAGGGTACGCACGCACGGGCAGTGGGAACCAGCCCGTGCGCGTACTGGGTGAGTGGACGCACCAGCACCACACACCGCCTGTGCGAGCCAGAGGGGTGGTCTGTTGTGTGCGTGCGTATGTATGTGTGGCTAAAGCATAGCAAGTTGCCACAGTAGGGGGCACAGGTGGTGCATCAGCCAGTCATCTCAGTCATCCCAGTCAGTCGACCCATGGCACCTGGGTCTGCCCCGTGACCTCCTGCCGGCGGGCGTTCGACACTTCACGTGGCCTCAAGGTGCACATGGCCTGGCACAAGCGTCGTGGTGACGTCACCGCCACTTAGTGGTGAATGGCGGTTGTTGTTGTGTGTGTCTCTGTATTTTATTGATGTGCTATGAAGAAGGGCCATTGAACGGAACATCGTCTGTTATACTTTCTCTTTGTGAGGAGCGGTAGTGTCGCTGTTAGTGCGCTGTACTACGAACCCGGCGACCCGAGTTTGATTCTCCCTCACGAACAACACCGGTGACGATTATCTGAGCCGGATTCCTGGGCCTCCCATAGGTCGAATCAATCTCAATTGTGTACCTGGTGCGATGTGGCGGCGCATGGTGCTGGCCACCCACTCCCTCGTGTCCCACACAGTGCCGGCCTTCATCGGTGCTGCTCGCTCAAAGTACTTGCCCCAACAGTCCGTTAAAGGCTACGGGGGGGGGGCGGGGTGTTTGTGTGCACTGTGCAGGTAAGTTGCTCTTCTCAGCCAGCTTCCTCACCTTCCTGCTCCTGCTCATCCTGCTGGGGAAGGGCTTCACGGTTACGCGGTACGCACGCACGCACGCAAACACAAATGCACACACAAGCATCCACACACACGCACTTACACCCACACACACACTCCGTTTCATTGCACGTGTCAGCATGCGTATGTAAGTGCGTGTAACAGTTTCACTGCGTGTATATGTGTGTGTGTGAATGCACCTTGACCCATGCCCCACCGCTAGCGGTAATCGCGAGTTGCGCCGTGTCGCCCCCGCTGCCCGCCGTGCAGGGGCCGCATCAGCCACGCGGGGGTGGTGAAGCTCACCGTGTACATGACGCTCTACACCACCACCTACGCCAGCCTCTTCATCTACGAGGCAAAGGTGAGCGGAGCGCTCGCCCCGGTGGACGAGTGAGCGGATACTGTGCGGCGTGTTACACGTTGAAATCGCGCATTGGTTGTGGAGTGGTTAGTGCACTGCTCTGCAAACCCAGCAACCCGAGTTCGATTCCCGCTAACAGCACATGTCCGTGACAAATATCTGAACCGGTTCTGGACCTCCCCTAGATCGACTGGGTCTTAAATGAGTCTCGGGTGCGGTTTTAAACAGCATTGGGGGGAGATGGAGGCGGCTGGGCGTGGTGCTGGCCACCTACTCCCTCGTGCGCCATGCGGTTTTTCATAGGTGCTACTCACGAAGAGCTCTTGCCCCAACAGTCTGTTATAGCCTACACGGGGGATGTTTGTCGTTTGCTTTTGTGTGTACTGAGCCTGGCACGAGCGCTGCTGCTGCTGTTGTGTGTGTAGTGGTTTGACCCGGGCCAGGTGCTGTACACCTACGAGTCTCCCGTGGGCTATGGCCTCATGCTGATGCAGCTGACGGCCTACGTGTGGTTCTGCTGCTCCGTGTACCGCACGCTGCAGCGCCACCCCGACAAGCAGCGCTTCTATGTGCGCTTCTTCGTCGCCTACACTTTCTGGTGAGATGCAGAAAGAGAGAGAGACACAGAGAGAGAGATGGCCAGTGCTTTTGGCTCGTTAGAACCGCGTGGCTCATTAAAGTGGTGGCTGTTAACCCCCTCACCCCTTCCCTTGTGGAGGTTTTTCTCGGTGCCGGTCGTGGCTCTAATCGCGAACTTTGTGATGGCGAAGTGGGAGCGCGAGAAGATGGTGAACGACATCCAGCTGGGCATCCACCTCTACGCCCACGCCGTCTTCTTGGTGAGGCAGCGGCGGCGGGCACGCAGATGCGCGCCGTGGTACCATTACGATTATTATGGCATGTGAACTGCGAACCTCGGCAACCACAAGCGGCAAACACGTTACCGCTGTGCGCAGTCATGCAGAACTCCTGTACTCGCTCACTTACCCACTCAGTCTCTCACTCAGCTACTCACCCACTCACCCACTCGCCCACTCACTCGCTCACCCACCCACTCCTACGCGTGTCTCCCCCTTTCCTTCTGCACCGACCGCAGGTGATGACCCGGCCGTCCGCCGCCAATCGGAACTTCCCGTTCCACGTGCGCACCTCCCAGATCGGGGCGCTGGGAGCGGCGCTGCCCGGGGACGAGTGCGCGTTCGCGCAGCACGCCTACGGGCCCGGCGCGCGGGGGGGTGGCGACGCGCGGGGGGGCGACTCGCTACAGCAGCAGCAGCAGCATCACGCCTACAGCAACGGCAACTTCGTGTCCGACTCGGTGGGACCCAACCTCACCGAGCTGTTCTGCGTCTCCGGCTCCAAGGTCCGTCTCACTTTCTCGGTCTTCCTTTGTCTCACTCCATCGCACTCTTGTCTGTATGCGTCTATGTCTACAGCATGTGTGTTTTTGTATGCGCCTGTGCCTGTGTATATGTGAGTGTGTATGTCTCTTTGCTTACGTGTGTCTGTATGTGTGTGTATCTATATGTCTATATATGTCAGTATGTGTGTCTTTGTGTATTTATGTTTTTGTGTTGATATGTCTCTATGTCAATGTCTCTGCATGTATATCTCTTTGTCTCTCTGTGTGCGTCACCATATATATCTCTACGTGAGTGCGTGCAGAGTGGCTCTATGTGTATCTCTGTTTCTGTCTATATCTCTGATGTCTCCGTGTGGCTGTGTGCGTGCAGGGCGCTCTGTTCGCGCCGGGGGGCTCAATGAGCAGCTTCGTGGATCTGGGCTCCCCCGTGGCCGAATCCTCCGATCCCGGGACCCCAAACCCGGACGGGAGCCCCGCGGGGAGGGCCCGGGGCCCCACCAGCCTCCCCGCCTAACCTGGGTGGCAGGGGCCCTCCCCTCGCACGCGTCTCACGGATAACGCGCACGGAACACAGACAACACGGAGATTACGGCGTCGGTCTCTCTTACCGGCCGGATAGAAGGTGCTCCTTTCAGAGCCGGATCACACCGGCGGCGTCACCCGCGGCGTCACCGCCGGAGTTTTTGTGCCAAAACCGCCGGGCCCCGCGGCCCCCGGGGCTGCTCGGGGCCAGGAGGTGGGGGTGTGCGGGGGGCCTGGCTCGGCGGGGGGCTCCGAGGGTTCCACCGCTGGCGTCGCCATGGCAACGCTCTCGACGCGCGATCGTCCGGGATGGCGACGCGGTGGTCGAGCGGTAGCGCAGCGATTTTGCCGCTCGTTGCGGAGGTTAGCGATACCAGCCCCCGTGGCTGCCCCCCCCCCCGGTTAATACTGCGGTGCGTATTGAGCATTAATAATTCTGCGCGCCGTCTGATTTATAGCAGACGCGTTAAAGATCCCGTGGTGTTATTCAAAATAGAGTAGTGTGTGTATGCCAGCGTCATGGTCCAAACTTGATAACATTTAAAAAAATATAAATAACTCGTCAAAGAATTTAAGCCACATAGCGACGTTGCTCCCTACTGTGAAACAACTCCAGGCTGTGTTTTAGAAACACAGCAGCACCTTGCTTGGCGACGATTGCCCTGCTGCACTGCGGGATGGCGCGAACACCAAGTGATGTAGCGTGGGGTCAGGGGTGAAATGTGCAAAGCAAATGTGAATTCCTTTACGAAACAATATCTTGTTGACCTACATATAATACTCAGCCCCATCATTCCTCTGGGGGTCGATACAATGCGCTCCCGGTGGCTGGGATTTTTCGCGATGCTGAGTTCGCCAACCGATTCGCGACCTGCCTCTTCGTGGCGAGTGGCAGCGCCTCTCGTGGTTGCAGGGCTCACGCGAGCAACGTTACGCCCCGCGAGCGGATTCCGATGCACGCACGACGCGGCGCTCGTCGTGGGCTTGCGAGACATTCGCTGCGAGTCAAAATATCCTGTGCGAGTCCACTTGTCCTCATCCTGCCGGTGCTGCTGGTGGCAGTGCTGGGGCGGTGCTGCTGGTGGTATTGGTGCCGGTGGTGCTATATCAGTATTGGCAATGTTGTACTGCTGCTGGTGGTGATACTGATGGTGTTGGTGGTTGTAGTGTTGGTGCTGATGGTTCTCGTGGGGGTGATACTGGTGGCCGTGTTGGTATGGGGAGCGGAAGCGCAGTGGTTAGCGCACTGCGATACGAACCCAGAGATCTGGGTTAGATTCACGCTCAAGAAATATGAACTGGTCCTGGGCCTCCCCTAGGTCAACTCAGCCTTAACGAATACCCTGTATGGTGTGTAAACAGCACTGGGAGACAAAGGCGGCCGAGCGTGGCCACCCACCCCCTTGCGTGCCATGTCGCCCTTCATGTGTGTTCGCTAACAGCACTTGCCCCAACAGTCTGTTATGGGCTACACGGGAGACCGTTGCTTTGGTGGGGGTGGTGACGGTGGTACTGCAGCTGATAGTCGTGTTGGTGGTAGTGCTGCTGATGTTATTGGTGGTGGGGCTGTTGGTGGTGGTGTGAATTGTGGCGCTACTGCGGCCGATTGTTGTTGAGCTCGGCAGTATTTTTTTGCCGGGTCGCTGGTGGCGGTTTGACTGCCGTAAGGTGGCACTTGATTCGCAGCCACAGGTCTAGCGTCGATAGGTATACTGGACGTGGTGTGCCGGGTGAGAACATAGAGCCCTGGCTAATACTAAAATTAATCCCGCATCGGTGCTGGGCTGCTGCTCGCAGAGACGCGAGGAGAGACGTGCTGGTCATTATTCATCCATTTCAATCCCGGATTTGATTTTTTTCCATCTCCTAAATTTTCCATGGAGAACGGCAGCGATTTGTTAAACGCGACGGGTGAGGAGGGTTCAGCGTGTGTGTAGTGTCCACGGTTTGTGTGTGTGGGGGGGTATTTGAGTTTGGATCGTATTCACTGTGTGTGTATGGAATATGTGGGTTTGCATGGCGTGTGTGTATGGTATGCATCGTGTGTGTATGGTATGCATAGTGTGTGTGTATGGAATATGTGGTTTTGCATGGCGCACGTGTGTATGTTATGCATAGTGTGTGTGTATGGAGTATGTGGATTTGCATGGCGTGTGTGTTTAGTATGCATAGTGTGTGTATGGTATGCATAGTGTGTGTATGTTATGCATAGTGTGTGTGTATGGAGTATGTGGGTTTGCATGGCGTGTGTGTTTAGTATGCATAGTGTGTGTATGGTATGCATAGTGTGTGTATGGTATGCATAGTGTGTGTGTATGGAGTATGTGGGTTTGCATGGCGTGTGTGTATGGTATGCATAGTGTGTGTGTATGGAGTATGTGGGTTTGCATGGCGTGTGTGTGTATGGTATTCAGGGCGTGTGTATGGTATGCCCAGGGCTGTGTGTATGGAGCGCACGGCGTGGGTGTGCACACGCGAGGTTCATGTGTGCACAGTGCAGCCGCCGTGTTTGCCTCCCGTCTCCTGCCATCACGCGTGCCCCGATCTCTTTGTCCCGGTTACCCCGGCAACCAGCCAGGCGATCGCCCCGCAGGGTCGGCACACTCCGCCGCAGGGCCGCGGTCACGCCAGCCCTGGCCCCAACCGCCGCCCCAACGCTGCGGTCGCCCTAGAGCATTGCCCCTAATCCCATCTCTCACTCTCGCCCTAATCCAACCATAGCTCAAACTAACCGTAGCTATAACCATAACCCGAGCCCTGACGCTAAATAACCGTAGGCCTTGCCTTAAACCTCGCCCTTGACCTAACTGCCACCACAGAACTAACCGTAAGCCTAACCACAACCTTAGTCCAAATTACGTTCCAAATCTTATCCATAAACCCAACCCCGAAACATCGCCCTCGCCTATTCAGCTGCTGGGCATTGTGCGCTTTAGGATGCGCTTCTGCAGCCGTCTGGAATGCTCTGCCTTCCGATATTAGGATGCTACTGGAGCTATGCACTTTTAAATCGAGATTGAAAACTCATTTTCTTGGGACTGCTTTTTGTGTTTAGTTTGTTGTCGTCCTGCACCTGCGATAAGCACGGTTGGCTACGTACGGTGCGAAAGAAGTTCAACATACAACCTGGCCTAGCTCGAACCCTAGCTCCTGGTATCCCCGTGTCTCCCCATATCCCAGTGCCTCCTTTCCCATTGTGTCCCTGTGTCTCCCACTGTGTCCTGTGTCTCCCTCGTATGGTGTCCCCGTGTATCCCGTGGGGTCCCCCCCCCCATGTCCTGAACCATTGGTGGTGTCCCGGTGTTTCCCTTCCCTACGGGTCCCGTGTCACGTCTGGTGGCCCTCCGGGACCGTTGTTGCTGTGCTGTGTGCTGTCTTCTTCTATATCGGGTGTCAATGCGACCATTCGTGTTTTTTCTACATTCACAGTATTATACAAACATGAGCGTGTCGTGTGCATGCGGTGTCACTCAGTCGGTATTTATTCGCGTTCGCGATCGCAGTATTCAGCAGCGACGTGGAGTCGCTCTGCTCGCTCCCCCCGCTAGCAGTGCTCGGGTTATTATTATATTATTAACCTTTACTGATTTTCCCAGGAAGCCACACTGAGTGGGAAGGACTGGGTTTTTTTCTGGAGGGTTTCTGCATTATATGTATGTTTTTTTTTTAATTATATTAAACATGTGTTCAGCCGACTGATGAGTGTTCATGGGGCTAGCCAACTGGTTTTCCCAGGGATTGCGTCAGCTTCCACCGTGGGACTATATACACAGTATATCCAGTGTATATCATCTATTTATATTCCTTTAGACTCGGACTTTAGTGAGAAGGCCAAAGGCCCATGGAGCTAAACCCTGCCATGCCTCCCATCACGGGCCCTGCTCCACAGGGTCGACACCAGGCAGGCCGCCTCGTGTAGCCAACCAGACCCCAAGCACCACTGGGCCAACGTGGGAGCATCACCACGACCACCACCACCACCACCCGCTCTGTGGATGCGCTCCGGCGACTCGCTGCGACGTCGCCCTTCGTCCACAAGTGCCGCCGCCTGACGGGACTCGGAGACCTCCCTGCCTCCCGCGATGTCGCTTCTGTTGAGGATGTTGAGGCTGTTGATGATGTTGAGGATGTTGATGCTGTCGCTGCTGTCGAGGCTGTTGAGGCTGTTGATGATGTTGAGGCTTCCGCTGCTGTTGAGGCTGTCGCTGCTGTCGAGGCTGTTGAGGATGTCGAGGCTGTTGAGGATGTTGAGGCTGTTGATGATGTTGAGGCTGTTGATGTTGAGGCTGTTGATGTTGAGGCTGTCGCTGCTGTCGAGGCTGTTGAGGATGTTGAGGCTGTTGATGATGTTGAGGCTGTCGCTGCTGTCGAGGCTGTTGAGGATGTTGAGGCTGTTGAGGATGTTGAGGCTGTTGATGATGTTGAGGCTGTTGATGTTGAGGCTGTCGCTGCTGTCGAGGCTGTTGAGGATGTTGAGGCTGTTGAGGATGTTGAGGCTGTTGATGATGTTGAGGCTGTCGCTGCTGTCGAGGCTGTCGCTGCTGTCGAGGCTGTTGATGATGTTGAGGCTGTTGATGATGTTGAGGCTGTTGATGATGTTGAGGCTGTCGCTGCTGTCGAGGCTGTCGCTGCTGTCGAGGCTGTTGATGATGTTGAGGCTGTTGATGATGTTGAGGCTGTTGATGATGTCGAGGCAGCTGCCACAAGACGACAATACTACTACTAATAATGACGGTGATAATGGGAACAATAAGTTCGACAGCTCGGGGTCTCAAGCGCGAGCTGCCCATGCTGGAAACATCACCAGGGATGGTGCCCAGTTATATCGGATATCGAGAAATAAAAAGAGATCTGTCAGTTCTTCACGGGGACATTAAAAGTCCCGTTTGTCACTTGCCTAATCATGAGAATAATCCACCACCACGCAACACACTGGCCTAGCACTGGTGCGACAAGGCCACGGATGAGGCTGTTTGCATGTTTTGCCACAAGCATGTTGTGTGGCCAATGCAAACTCGATGCCTTGCAAGAGACGTGCCTGTTTGGCGTTTGGACATCTTGACACCCGTTTTATCGTTACCGGTAAAAAAGGTCCCATACACATATCCAGTCTGGGTTGCAGCATCGAGTGCTCTCACTATTTAAGTGTCGACCCAACGTTGATAGACGGCCCATTGTCGATCGACCGCTGGATGAAGGCCTCCCCACGCAGCCGTGGTGGTGGTGGTGGCGGTGTGACCACACTGCGATGGAATGTTCGGCGCCAGGCTCCGTGCGCTTCAATCGCAGTGGGGACATCCAAGGTCCCTTGGACGCCACCGCGAGAGTTGGTGACTGCGTCCCGGCGGCGTGCTGCTCCAGCTGAGGGAGGCGGCAAGACCACTCGCCTGGGACGAGGGGCGCCGCGACTGCGGAGTCGTGGCAGGACCCTCCTGGAAATAAATGAAACGGTCACGGCACTCGATGAGGCCTCCCTGGCCAAACTGATTCACTCGCAAATCGGCTGATTTAATTAACGTGCACTGATTCATTCGGATACAAAAAAAAACAGCTGAAACGTTCATAAGTGATTCACTCGCAAATCGGCTGATTTAATTCACGTTCACTTATTCGTTCACATTTAAAACAGCGGAATGATTAATAATGAACTGATTCGCTCAAAAATTAAGTCACTCATTCACTCGCCCACATCAGGTGATTAATTCACAACTCACTCATTCACTCGCGCACACATCAGGCCATTCATTCATAATTAACTCATTCACTCGCGCACACATCAGGCCATTCATTCATAATTAACTCATTCACTCGCGCACACATCAGGCCATTCATTCATAATTAACTCATTCACTCGCGCACACATCAGGCCATTCATAATTAACCCACTCATTCACTCGACCACAGGTGATTAATTCACAACCCACTCATTCACTCGCGCACACATCAGGCCATTCATTCATAATTAACTCATTCACTCGCGCACACATCAGGCCATTCATTCACAACTCACTCATTCACTCGCGCACACATCAGGCCATTCATTCATAATTAACTCACTCATTCACTCGACCACACGTGATTAATTCACAACCCACTCATTCACTGGCGCACACATCAGGCCATTCATTCATAATTAACTCATTCACTCGCGCACACATCAGGCCATTCATTCATAATTAACTCATTCACTCGCGCACACATCAGGCCATTCATGCATAATTAACTCATTCACTCGCGCACACATCAGGCCATTCATTCATAATTAACTCATTCACTCGCGCACACATCAGGTCATTCATTCACAACTCACTCATTCACTCGCGCACACATCAGGCCATTCATTCATAATTAACTCACTCATTCACTCGACCACAGGTGATTCATTCACAACTCACTCATTCACTCGCGCACACATCAGGCCATTCATTCATAACTAACCCACTCATTCACAACCACGCACGGCGGGTGGTCACGTGACGTCCGCGCGCGTCTCCATGGAGACGAGGGACGCCGGGAATCGGGAATCTCGCCACTCCGACCGAGCCCCGCACGAACCTCGCGTGGCGCTGCCCGCCCGGGAGATCGAACCGTGAGTGGCGGGAGGCTGAGAGGCTGAGGGCAGGAGGCTGAGGGCAGGAGGCTGAGAGGGTGAGGGAGGCTGAGAGGGCGGGAGGGTTGAGGCGATCTCGGCGTGAGTTCAATGGAAACCGCGGCGCCTCCCGTGCGAGGTTGCGGGTCAGGGTTCACGAGGGGTCTCCGTGCTGCTCCACGAGTCCCGCTGATTGCTCGAGGAGTTGATTAACGAGGCGGCTACATCGGGTTAATTGGTGGTGGGGGGGGGGATTAACGAGGTGGTGATTAACGAGGCTCGTGGGGAGTTGAGCTGCTGCTGCTGCTGGGACCGCGCTGAGAGAGAGAGCGCCCACACATGCAGATGGGGGCACTGGCGTGGTACAGGCGTGGTGTGTGTGTCTTATACTGCTGCCTGCATGTGTGTGTTGTATCTGTGCGTGTGTGGTGTGTGTGTGTGTTATACTGCTGCCTGCATGTGTGTGTTGTATCTGTGCGTGTGGTGCATGTGTGTGTTGTATCTGTGCGTGTGTGGTGTGTGTGTCTTATACTGCTGCCTGCATGTGTGTGTTGTATATGTGCGTGTGTGTGTTGTATCTGTGCGTGTGGTGCATGTGTGTGTTGTATCTGTGCGTGTGGTGCATGTGTGTGTTGTATCTGTGCGTGTGGTGCATGTGTGTGTTGTATATGTGCGTGTGGTGCATGTGTGTGTTGTATCTGTGCGTGTGGTGCATGTGTGTGTTGTATCTGTGCGTGTGGTGCATGTGTGTGTTGTATCTGTGCGTGTGGTGCATGTGTGTGTTGTATCTGTGCGTGTGGTGCATGTGTGTGTTGTATCTGTGCGTGTGTGGTGTGTGTGTCTTATACTGCTGCCTGCATGTGTGTGTTGTATCTGTGCGTGTGGTGCATGTGTGTGTTGTATCTGTGCGTGTGTGGTGTGTGTGTCTTATACTGCTGCCTGCATGTGTGTGTTGTATCTGTGCGTGTGGTGCATGTGTGTGTTGTATCTGTGCGTGTGGTGCATGTATGTGTTGTATATGTGCGTGTGGTGCATGTGTGTGTTGTATCTGTGCGTGTGGTGCATGTGTGTGTTGTATCTGTGCGTGTGGTGCATGTGTGTGTTGTATCTGTGCGTGTGGTGCATGTGTGTGTTGTATCTGTGCGTGTGTGGTGTGTGTGTGTGTTATACTGCTGCCTGCATGTGTGTGTTGTATATGTGCGTGTGGTGTGTGTGTGTGTTGTATCTGTGCGTGTGGTGTGTGTGTGTGTTGTATCTGTGCGTGTGGTGTGTGTGTGTGTTGTATCTGTGCGTGTGTGGTGTGTGTGTCTTATACTGCTGCCTGCATATGTGTGTTGTATCTGTGCGTGTGGTGTGTGTGTGTGTGTTGTATCTGTGCGTGTGTGGTGTGTGTGTGTTGTATATGTGCGTGTGGTGTGTGGTGTGTGTGTGTTGTATCTGTGGTGTGTGGTGTATCTGTGCGTGTGGTGTGTGTGTGTTGTATATGTGCGTGTGTGGTGTGTGTGTTGTATCTGTGCGTGTGTGGTGTGTGTGTGTTGTATCTGTGCGTGTGTGGTGTTTGTGTGTTGTATCTGTGCGTGTGTGGTGTGTGTTGTATCTGTGCGTGTGTGGTGCGTGTGTGTTGTATCTGTGCGTGTGTGGTGTGTGTGTGTGTTGTATCCCGCTGTGCGCGTGTCCCATTCATCAGAGCAGACACGCACAGAGAAACACGGTGACAGCGGCCATGGTGGACTCGAGCACGGACGAGCAACTCGGTCGCTTCTTGGGCAGAGTGGACGACGTCGGTGAGGCTCTCGCACGCCACGGGTGGGCAGGGCAGGGTATTGCCGTGTGACGCGGGACGAAGGCCCCCTTTCCACTGTCACATCCGAGCCGAGCCAGCGCCTATGACAGCGGTGGTTTTCCACCGGCCAGAACTAAACCTCGGGGCCAAGCAGGGCCAGGGGCAAATGACGTAATCGCTGCGTGTGACGTCGGTCGGTACGCGCTGAGGAAGCGGCGTCTTCGCTCGTTCACTGCGCGTGACTTGGATGGCACGGCACGGTTTCTGCAGTGGAAAAAAACAACATGGCGCCTCCTGAGCCACGATGGCCTGGGTCAGGACAGCTCTGACTCGGTTCAGATGTGCCAGTGGGAAAAGGGGTACCAGCGTGACCTCTGTGCACGTGTCGCCCAGCTGACCTGCTCGCCCGCATGAACTCTCCGGACGAGCAGCTCCGGAGAGCGGCGCTGGCGGAGGCCGACCGCACCATCCAGCAGCTCCATGACGATCAGGAGGAGGTTGACGGTTGCCGGGTACGCCTGGACCGCACAGTCATTTCCGCGGCACCGGCGGCGGCGGCGGGCAGCATGGTGAGGAACGCAGCCTCCACTCTCGCCAGACGTTGCGGAGTTCCATGCGGTCGTCGACCTGAACACGACCACCACCATCATCGTCATCAGGTGTATCCTGATGACGATGATGATCAGGGTCATGATCAACATGAATATTAATTGGCTGAAAACATCTTCATATAGAGGTCCGCAGAGCTTGGGGAACTGCGTGGCTGCTGCATTCCCGCTCGTCTATGGTTCCTCTTCCCCAGAGCGAGGAGCGAACGCTGTGCGGTGGCACGACATTACAATTTGGAATTATATAGTTTTTTGTCATCAATGGTGTCATCATCATCATCAGGGATGTTGCGATGCAATGGGTTCATCGTTTTAAACTTGACTTTCTAACCGTGTAAGTAGGGTTTACTACGAACGTGGTTGTCATTGGTGTTTAATTGCGGTTGCTTAATTGTGGTTGTTTCATTGTGGTTGTTTTCAGGAAGGAAACCCGTGCCCGGAGATGAGCCAAGGTAGCGGTGTGGCCACCACGCATGCACACCACAACATCTCATGCCAACCACACGTAGAGAGTAACTAATTAATTCACGTGAAGCAAGGTCATTGCCTGAAACGTCGACTTAATTTATTTTATTTTAAGGCTCCCCCACACGCACAATGTTCTTTTTGGCGATTGTCTTATGTATGCTTGTGCCACTGCAGCATCAGCAGCACCAAATCCAATTTTTGCTACAGACATCAGCAGATAATTTCTCTGTTCGTTGCATTCTTCTGTCCCTGCTATGCGTCGTGAATCCCCCGTGCAACCTTAAGGGCTCCAGCATTCGCGTTTTACCAACCATCAACCTCCCCTTCGCTGTGTTTATGCTCCCATTGCTTGTTGCCACATCGTCAAGTTTGTTTCTCCCGACTGGCAGAATAGTGCCCACCTGCAGGCTGGTGCTGTGCACACCACGTGCCGCAACAGGGACAGCTGCCACCGGGGGTCCCCTACGCTGGACTGCAGCAGGGCACTGAAATGGTTGAGATGTGATGTGAGGCGGGTAGACTTGCCAAGGCGTTCAAGTGCCCTGTCTATGGCAATCAGCTGAAGCCTCCAGTAAATCACGTGGCTTCTGTGGGACCACCCCGACTCTGAAACCCTCTCCCCGCCCGCCGTGAAAGCAGACTCTGATGCTCCTCTACGTGGCTGGCTCCTGCTCACTCCTTCCTCTCTTCCCTTCCCTCCCATCACCACCACCACCACCATCTCATCCCTGACATCTTCGCCAGATACTTTCTCCCCCTCCTCCCCTTCCCGCACCGACGCTCCTCCTTCCTTGTTCTCCCTGCCACTGCTCATCTTGAGCCGTGCCCTCGTCGTTGTCCGTCTTGGGGACTTCCATCCCGGCATTCCTTTTCCTTTACCGCTCATCTTGCCCGGACTGCCCTTTGCACCACGGACTCCACTCTGCTTCCCGTGGGTGGTGTCGTGTCACTCTCCTCCGTGTCACTCTCACAGACTCCTCCGTGTCACTGTCACACTCTCACAGACGCCTTCGTATCACTGCTGGAGAAGGATGCGCGCGAGAGGGCGGACCGCCGGAGGGAGAACGAACGCCTGGCGTTGGGTACGAGATGCAGACATTGCACATCCCATGGGCCACCACACGGCCATCTGGGAAGTGAATTTGTTCATGCCAGCAGAGTCAAGGCTGGCTTATAACCCACACTGGTGACTTGCCAGATGTCTGTGGGTAAGGAGGCCTCCCTTTCTGTTACCAGCGCCATGCCAAGGAAGCAGAAGAGAGTCGGCCCCCCGTAGCCACCTGGCCACCTCCACATCTGCCTCTGGTGCTCACTGTGGACCCCCCCACCCCCCCTCCCCCCCCGAGGCTGCCCTGTGGGGTCGCGGGTGAAAGGCCCATTCGCTGTTGTTGAAAGGTTCGGGCCCTGGGACTGACTGGTGGGTGGGCCTCAGCCCCATCGGAACGGGGACGCCAAAGTAGCTAGATGTTAACTACCTCGCCTAGTACACGAGAGGTCGTGGGATCGATCCTAACCCTGACGCCTGCTGTGTTTTTGGAGTTTGCATGTCATTCTCTCCCAGTGGCCGCATTGATTTTTCTCCGGGTCCTCCGGGTTTTCCCTCCACATTTAGAATCGACATCACGCCTTCGGAGTATTTGGCTGCTACAAATATCCACGTGATAAGCCACTTCGTTGAGCTATCATTTGTGGCCAGGTCGCTTCTGAAAAATAGCGACATAGCTCAGTGGGCCTTACCTGGTGAAATAAAAAATAGTTTATAGCTTTATAGTTCTGGAATCGTAGCGGCGGCTACCACCGCCCCGCACCGCCGCGTGGCCTCTGTCCCGCGAGTGACGCGGTGGCCGCTCCTCCCCTGCGCGCCAGGCCTCAAGGAGCGTGGTAACAACGCGTTCCGGGAGGGAGACTTCGCCTCGGCGCTGGCGCGCTACTCGGAGGGCCTGGACGCGTGCCGCGATCTGGAGGTGCTCTACACGAACCGCGCACAGGTGTGTTGAAGGAGGGGGCCGATCAAGGGGTTGGGAGGGCAGCTGTGGGAGTGACGTAGCTCGGTTTCGCTAGAATCTGGACATCTGTGAAAAAGAGCCTAATAGCTAGTCTGATAATTACTCCGATTCTGAGAATCGTAGTTTTTCCCATCTCTGATGACCGTTAGAACAGCAAAATAAATCCCGTAGCTCCTGGTTGGCGGCAATGTCGAGCGACGACCACGGTCAGTTCGAATGTGAAAGTGCAGCGCCGAGAAGCGAAGGCGACCGCCGCCGCTGCTGCCGCTGCCGCCACAGCGGCGGCGTGACGGTCGGCAGCCACGCTGGCCCCGCGGTGCCGAGGTCGCCGGTTGGATTCCATCTCCCGTGGCGGCAGCTGAGAAGACGGCGGTGCAAGTCTCTGAAATCAGCCCCCCCCCCCCCCCCACACGCCTCCTTTCCACGCAGCGGTATGAACGTTTAGTTTCACGGCGCGGGTACCCCCGCCTCTTCCTCGAGCTCTGGTGCGCGTGGATCGTCGGGCGCAATCCCACTCCCGAGGGGCTCTCGGCTGGGGAGTGCAGGAGACCGCTCCACCAGCAGCGGCGTGTGGGGGAGGCACTTTAACCTTTGACCACAGAAACGATGGAAAACGTCACCACGCGGTCACCGAGGCCGCCGTTCGGCTTGTACATCCGTAGGCGCTGCTGCTCGCCGACAGCACTTGTCCCAACAGTCCGTTGAAGGCTATGCGGGGTATCTTTGTCTCTGCGTGCGCGTGCACAGACGTTCCTGAAGCTGGGCCGGCCCGCGGAGGCGCTAGCGGACTGCGAGTGGGCGCTGCGGGTAAGCGAGCGAGCCCAACGCACCGCGGTAGCGTGCGACGAGCGGGTGGCGGGTTGAGGCGTGCGGTGCAGTGGCGCCGCTTGACGCGCACAGAGCACGCCGGGCGCCTACCCGCCCCCTAAACGAGACCCCCCCCCCCACCTACTCCCAATCAATGCAGTCCATATCAACATCGCACACTCGAGATCCTCCATGGACTCACCCCAGCCTACTGCTCCCCTCTCATCTCACTCCTCTCCACGCACTGCCCTACCTGTCCCCTCTCATCTCACTCCCCTCCATGCACTCGCCTGCCTCTCCCCTCTCATCGCACTCCCCTTCACGCACTCCCCTGCCTCTCCCCTCTCATCTCACTCCCCTCCACGCACTCCCCTGCCTCTCCCCTCTCATCTCACTCCCCTCCACGCACTCTCCTGCCTCTCCCCTCTCATCTCACTCCCCTCCACGCACTCCCCTGCCTCTCCCCTCTCATCTCACTCCCCTCCACGCACTCTCCTGTCTCTCCCCTCTCATCTCACTCCCCTACCTCTCCCCTCTCATCTCACTCCCCTTCACGCACTCCCCTACCTCTCCCCTCTCATCTCACTCCCCTCCACGCACTCCCCTGCCTCTCCCCTCTCATCTCACTCCCCTCCACGCACTCTCCTGCCTCTCCCCTCTCATCTCACTCCCCTACCTCTCCCCTCTCATCTCACTCCCCTTCACGCACTCCCCTACCTCTCCCCTCTCATCTCACTCCCCTCCACGCACTCTCCTGCCTCTCCCCTCTCATCTCACTCCCCTTCACGCACTCCCCTACCTCTCCCCTCTCATCGCACTCCCCTTCACGCACTCCCTGCCTCTCCCCTCTCATCTCACTCCCCTCCACGCACTCCCCTGCCTCTCCCCTCTCATCTCACTCCCCTCCACGCACTCTCCTGCCTCTCCCCTCTCATCTCACTCCCCTCCACGCACTCCCCTGCCTCTCCCCTCTCATCTCACTCCCCTCCACGCACTCTCCTGCCTCTCCCCTCTCATCTCACTCCCCTACCTCTCCCCTCTCATCTCACCCCCCTTCACGCACTCCCCTACCTCTCCCCTCTCATCTCACTCCCCTCCACGCACTCTCCTGCCTCTCCCCTCTCATCTCTCTCCCCTTCACGCACTTTCCTACCTCTCCCCTCTCATCTCACTCCTCTCCACGCACTCTCCTGCCTCTCCCCTCTCATCTCACTCCCCTTCACGCACTCCCCTACCTCTCCCCTCTGATCTCACTCCCCTCCACGCACTCTCCTGCCTCTCCCCTCTCATCTCACTCCTCTCCACGCACTCCCCTACCTCTCCCCTCTCATCTCACTCCCCTCCACGCACTCTCCTGCCTCTCCCCTCTCATCTCACTCCCCTTCACGCACTCCCCTACCTCTCCCCTCTCATCTCACTCCCCTCCACGCACTCTCCTGCCTCTCCCCTCTCATCTCACTCCTCTCCACGCACTCCCCTACCTCTCCCCTCTCATCTCACTCCCCTCCACGCACTCTCCTGCCTCTCCCCTCTCATCTCACTCCCCTTCACGCACTCCCCTACCTCTCCCCTCTCATCTCACTCCTCTCCACGCACTCCCCTGCCTCTCCCCTCTCATCTGACTCAAGTCTTCGTCGTGTCGCCAGTGTTGTTGATGCAGAGCACCAACTATACTAATATTACATCGAGGTGGTTGAGCCTGTTGATTGCGTCAGGAGTAGCGGATTGGTGAATCATCGCTGTGGTGATGCCTCCTCTTCCGAATGTGTGAATCGTCCACGTTCAACGTCCCATGGTCTATTCTGGGTGGTGACCCGCATTCGCACACCCGACATCTGTATCTGCCATGGTCAGTGAGTTAGTGACGAGGAGAGTGAGTGGGTGTCTAAGTAATTGTGTAAGTGAGCGGTAGTGTAGTGGTTAGCGCGCTGCACTACGAACCTGGCGTCCTGAACCGGTCCTGGGCCTCCCCTAGGTCGACTCAGCCTCAAATGAGTACCTAGTGCAGTGTGTAAACATCGTCCCTGGGGAGACAAAGGCGGCCGGGTGTGGTGTTGGCCACCCACCCCCTCGCGTGCCGTGCCTGCCTTGGTAGGTGCTCGCTAACAGCACTTGCCCCAACAGTCTGTTAAGGCTACACGGGGGATCTTTATCTTTGTTTAAGTGAGTGAGTGAGGAGAGTGAGTGGGTGTGTGTCTAAGTGAGTGTCTAAGCGAGTGTCTAAGTGAGTGAGTGGGTGTGTGTCTAAGTGAGTGAGTGGGTGAGTGTCTGAGTGAGTGGGTGAGTGAGTGGGTGAGTGAGCGTCTGAGTGAGTGTCTAAGTGAGTGTCTGAGTTTCGATTTAAAGCTTTCGTGACTGCAGGGATTCATCGTCTTGGTTCTTTCGGTAAAGTCACATATAAGGGAAGTAAAAATAAAACATAATAAAATAATTCTCACGACGTTTCGGCCACAACGCAAACAGCCGTCCTTAGGTGAAAACCAGGTCTGTCGCCTCGACAGACCTGGTTTTGTGTAAGTGAGTGAGTGTCTAAGTGAGTGTCTGAGCGAGTGAGTGGGTGAGTGTCTGAGTGAGTGAGTGGGTGAGTGTCTAAGCGAGTGTCTAAGTGAGTGTCTGAGCGAGTGAGTGGGTGAGTGTCTGAGTGAGTGAGTGGGTGAGTGTCTGAGTGAGTGTCTAAGCGAGTGTCTAAGTGAGTGTCTGAGTGAGTGAGTGGGTGAGTGTTTGAGTGAGTGGGTGGGTGAATGTCTGAGTGTCTAAGCGAGCTGCTGCTGCTGTCGCTGCCAGCAGCAGCTGCAGAGCCGCGTGGTGGCGCGCGCGCTCCACGCGCCGCCCCCCGCGCCTCCACTGCGGCACGGAGCGCGGTGACGTCACGCACTGCGGCAAGGCGCTGCGGGCCGGGGGGAGGGGGCTTAGCGGGGGCTGTGTGGGGGGGCTGTGGGGGGGGTGTTCGTGGTTTCGGGGCTCCGAGCAGCGAGCGTGGCTGTGACTGTCTTCCTTGTGGGCGGCACGGCGCACGATGGCGCGGGGAAAACAACAGGGACAGACAACAACACTGACAACAACACGGACAACAACACGGGGGGTGTATCGCTCAGCGTGGCTCGGCGGGGGGCCACGGCGGACGAGGAAGCGAGCCGCGTTGGGCTCGCGTGAGAGTGAGGCTGGTGTGAGGGTGAGGCTCGCATGAGAGTGAGGCTGAGAGTGAGGCTCGCGTAAGGCTGGCGTGAGAGTGGCGTGAGAGTGAGAGTGAGGCTGAGAGTGAGGCTGGCGTGAGAGTGAGGCTGAGAGTGAGGCTCGCGTAAGGCTGGCGTGAGAGTGGCGTGAGAGTGAGAGTGAGGCTGAGAGTGAGGCTGGCGTGAGAGTGAGGCTGAGAGTGAGGCTCGCGTGAGAGTGGCGTGAGAGTGAGGCTGGCGTGAGAGTGGCGTGAGAGTGAGGCTGGCGTGAGGGTGAAGCTGAGAGTGAGGCTGGCGTGAGAGTGGCGTGAGAGTGAGGCTGGCGTGAGAGTGGCGTGAGAGTGAGGCTGGCGTGAGAGTGAAGCTGAGAGTGAGGCTGGCGTGAGAGTGGCGTGAGAGTGAGGCTGGCGTGAGAGTGGCGTGAGAGTGAGGCTGGCGTGAGAGTGAGGCTGGCGTGAGAGTGGCGTGAGAGTGGCGTGAGAGTGAGGCTGGCGTGAGAGTGGCGTGAGAGTGAGGCTGGCGTGAGGGTGAAGCTGAGAGTGAGGCTGGCGTGAGAGTGGCGTGAGAGTGAGGCTGGCGTGAGAGTGGCGTGAGAGTGAGGCTGAGAGTGCTGCAAGGCGCCTTCTCACTGGTGTCGGGGGGGGGGGGGTCCCGTTGTAGCCGCCCTGTGGGCAACAGGATATCAGGAGAAATGAGATAATTAAAGGTATAACCAATTACATAACAGCCGGAGCAATGCCATTAGCCGCGCGGCTAATTGGGATTGAGATGGAGGCAGGACCTGGCGAGAGAGCGCAGAGCCAGCCCCGCGGCCGGGACGCGGAGATGTTCGGGCAGTGGAGGGGGCGAGGGCAGTGGCTCCCCCCCTACCAGCCCCCCCCCCTACCAGCCCCCCCCCCTACCAGCCCAGGTGTGAGCGGTGTTGGTGTTGTTGGAGGCCCCCAGTTGTGTCAGGGCAGAGGTCGCAAACGGGTTTTGATTCCTTACCCGTACCCGGCCGCACCAGGGTCGCAAACGGCTACCCGTATCCGGCCGGGTACGGGTAGCCGGGTATCGGGTAGGGTACGGGTATCGGGTAGGGTAGCCGGGTATCGGGTAGGGTACGGGTATCGGGTAGGGTACGGGTATCGGGTAGGGTACGAGTATCGGGTAGGGGACGGGTATCGGGTAGGGTACGGGTATCGGGTAGGGTACGGGTATCGGGTCGGGTACGGGTAGGGTACGGGTATCGGGTACCCGATTGCGACCTCTGTGTCAGGGCGAGGGCGGCAGCAGCTGCGGCGGCGTCCACGGCGCCGAGCCGGGCCGGTGGGGAGGTTCGCAGTGAACGCTGCGGCAGCTGCGAGAGAGGCGCTCCCACTCCAGCGGCGATAACGAGCGGACTGCCGGCAACCTGCAGGGCTCTGTCTGCCTCCAGTGTGAGCATCGCGGAGGGGTGATGATGTTCATGACGGGCGATCTGCAGCGTCTCTCACGGAGAGGCCTGTCAAGCTGTCCCGCACTGTCCCACCGACTGTCCCGGAATGTCCCACCGACCTTCATACCAGAGCGGCTATTCGTGGCTATTAATCCGCGCAGGCTTTGGGGCCCTTTGGACAATGTCGGGACTCTGGGCCCCTTCTCTTAGCTGTCAGTGAAATATTCCAATCGCCCCACCCCCCGACACTTGACAAGTAAAATATCGAACATTTGCAAGGTGATATCCGCGTCCTCTATCAACGCCTCCAGTAAATTACTCAACGCCATTCTCCACGGGCCCAGGCAATGTGTCCCGTGGCCCCCCGCGGAGCCAGACAAATTACTTCTCTCAAATCATCCCGCACGCCG